GTAGCGCTGGGACAGCTTTGGCCTCAGAGGTAGTGAGCGTAGCTTCCACTCGTCCTCCTTTCTCTTCTGTGATCTTCCGACATAATCTCTGCAAGCCCTCGACGTTGTTTGTGTGGACGGGAAGCTGATGCACCGAAGTGCCCTCTAGTGTGCCTTCCGGAAAAGTCCAGCGCTGGAGAGCGCCGGGACTGGCGTGGAGCACATCCTCAACATCTGGGCCGGCTAGTGTGGACGAAAATGGGACGTTGAAGGACAGATTGACTGTAGGATCGATACTAGTCGGCGGTGTCATGGGCGGCGCACCGTGTGGTCGGCGAAAAGCCATGTCGGTGTGAGGTCTGGACATCCCGAAAGTCGGCGTCATTCGTTCCCAACCATGACGGGCTTGGCCCGTGAAGTTGGATATCTTGTGCATGACTAGGTAGAGAAATCTCTAACCCCTTGAGCAAGTCGAGGGGATAGAGAAAGAGTGGATGGATTGGGTTGGGGGGTGGGAAGGAATCAGGCCGTTCTCGACAGGGATGGGAATGACCAGTGTGGGCGTTTCGACCCGGGAATGGTGGAAACGAAGATCGATGGGGCCAACCAACGCAAATCTCTAATATGAGAAGGAAAGCGAAATGAGATCAAAGTCACTAGGGAAAAAAATGTATATATCTCTCAAAAAGAAATATGAAGAGAAATTGAAAAAGAAAAGGAAACAAAACAAGGGAAAGAAAAATAAATCGTCAGTCCTTTGCGGGTCTTCTAGGTCTTCTACTTGATTTTGCGGTTTTTGACTTATATTCCTTTCTAGTTGACACCTTATGTTGTACGGAGCAAAGATATAGCTGTTGAAAGGGATTTCAAAGGTCTTAAGAGTTCAAGGCCCCTGTAATATCTTCTTCTCGAATCCACATTGCCATTCAAGAATGCAGGATCTTGAATGTTCATTCGCAAGGGTCTTCTTGGCAGATAGAATCAGTCCAATATTGGATTGTTAATACTGTCAATACCCAATACAGCCAATCTCATCTTGTATGAGCTACCTGGCAACCTTGGAAGGATCCCAGTAAAGCCCGAGTTTGAGTTATGAATCGTGTCTCATACCCTGCTTCATCACGTGTCTGAAAGTGATGAGATGTCGTGGAGTGACCATTCTGCGCCTCTCTCAAGGCTGGATTTGGCTTTAGTGCAGGGCTCCAGGCACTTCGGGATCCGATTCATTCCGTACCGTACCTAGCATACGCGGGTCGATCATTTCATAGGCTCCGGGATATAGAACCCTGTATGCCACCGTATCTGAATCCACTGGCCTAGAAGCGGTGATAGGACGCCCATCACTGCGACCGGCTGGGCCGGGGGGAGGGAAACTGAGGGGTCAAGCCCAGGCATGTGGCCAAGGTTGATCATATCGCCGTTAAGGATATTCTGATTTCTGACTATGTTGTAGACTCCACGGCTCCGGGGGACCACCTGTTGTGCTTCTGATACAAGTGTCAATCATATGCACACAATGCATGCAATGGACCGGGGAACTGAGAACACCAATTGCCTTGTCTAGGTGGGATAATTTCCCCCTCAAATAGTCGACGTCATCTTCTCGTATAGGTGGTAGTGGGTCACTTCTTCAGCTCAAGGACTCGACAATTCCGACTGGACCGTTTTGAAAATCAGACTGCAGGGTCTCCTAGTTTCAAAGAGGGGACTCATCACATCGGCCCTGTTTTGGCTTGTAGATCAAGCTTCAAAGTGTTTCATGGAAATGTGAGTGAAACCGTCAATTGGTGTATCAAGTATAGAAGGTTTTTTACTTATCTTCTCAGACCAATTTGGGAATCTGAACTTAGTACGGCGGAATAAGTCGTCCAATCTCACCATGGATATAGAACGACAACGGCAAATATGACAGGGCTTATGAAGGGATGAAGGGATCATTCATGAAATTTCTGATCACTACAAGCCTTTTCAACTCCACGGAGTAACTCTACTGTATGGGTCGCTTAGGCCGATCGACAGCTACAGGTCGTCGATCATCGCCATTCTCCCGCAGAACTATGTACTCCGTACGTTGTACGTTGACCTCTTCGGCAAATGTCTAACAATGACCGCTATTAACGGTTACCTATATTATAACACAACTGCGTCTGAAGTGTTATAGTGTTCAAAAGGATCTTCTTAATGTGGTAGAAGCACCAGTCTACGTTGTATACCCGCCCATGTACAATACATGTAGTGATCTAACCCCGGCTATTAATAGCGACGGCTTCCATCAATTCTAGCTTCAAATTCATAAACTTCCGCATACAGGTCACTGCATAAGAGCGAGGCACTACCAATTGTCCCACAGATCTTTTAACCTGTTATAGCATACTAGTTCATGTCCCCGTTTGTAATTGCTCAACTTGCGGGTGAACGGAATTACATGAGTTGCCTCGGGTACATCTAGATTGTGATATCTTAGTTCAAGAAAGACCTGTGTATTGTGTACTAGTGATACGAAACGCCAGCCATTCATGGATTCATTGATTTGTTTTTCGGCTCCCCGAAGCGTCGAATCAGCATCGGGACCAATGGAACAGAAGCTTGTCTGAATCATACGGCAAATCGTGCCTAAGTCTATATAGTGATGTTGAGAGTGTGACAGAGCTCTGGTCTCTAGGGTCATGAGCAATCGTTCCAAGTTGAATTACACTCGAAATGAGTTCGATATATATAGATGATCTGTTGATCCGATGAGCACCACCATGTTGGACCTCACATGGCGCGCTATATACGAGCTTGTCAAGGCACGGAGGTCGATAAGCACGGAAAATCTGATTGGTATATTAGCACTGTAGAAAATTTGGCTGCTTGTGGCTACAACTATTGTTTTCTGAGACAGCAATGTGAATTCCATCCATAATCCTTCACAACCCAATTCACTATTAAGGATCCATCCTGCCGTCTGCTGTCATATTAGAACTACAAAGACCCAGTGGGACGAGTTCGATGATTCGATAGTTTATCTCAGCATCAATTCAGAAAATAGCCATGAAAGTGCTATATGGAACCTGTTCGCAGTGGGTTCACGAAGTGAGAGCTTCCAAGACCTACCTACATAGTTAAGTGTTTCCCGGTTCACCTACAGCCCATCCCATCTTACCAATCACCCTTTCTTGACCCTCTACATCTTCTCTTGCCAACACTATCTCCCCACTTCGGTCTCAGTGACTCGCAGATGGTCAAGGCCACAGGTTTTGACCTTCTTGACAGAAATAACATTCAGGCTCCACATGGGCGTGCTTTGTAGTAAGTTAACACCTATACCTGGCCGTCCTTCTATATGACGCTTGTTTGTCCCCAGATACCTTTTTGCAAATGATGATTGAAATTACATGCTGAGCTACAATGACGAAGAAATTGTCACTCTGATGCGAGATGTGAAGGGCGAACTAGAATCACAATATAGAGACTTACTGGACCAAATGATCATTTTCCAAAATTCACCATTGGCTAACCTGGTCCTTCAACTTTGACAGATTTCCTTTCCTATATGACCAAGTCAAGTTTTCATCAAAGCTAGCGAGAAACCTCCATATGACTTCCAGATAAAACAGGGACTAGTGGGGACCAAGCCTTCTTGTCTTCGTGGACCTCGTCTCTTCATCCATGTCTGTGGATTGCGATATCCCAGATACTCAGGCGACCTTCGGCTCAGATCAGGTGTCACATAAAATGGGCCAGAATCATCCATGTGTTCGTTGAGCTACATTTTCTCTTTTATCAGATCGTCAAATGGATTCATTCAGGCTGAAGCTGAGAGCTACTTGTGGGTATGATTCAGGCTAGGACTCATTAAATACTGTTGAAACGCCTTGACATTTCTTTGATTCAATGCCTACGATATGGTCTGCCCCACACGTCTTCCCTTATGATTCTCCCAGTTCCCTCTCAGGTCCCTCACGCCAACTTATGTGATAACAAGGGCTTTGTGGAGCTGGAAGTCCTTGATATCACCGTGGCAATCTGAGGCGATGCACCTGATGCGTATGTCCCCGGTATGAAGCTGTTCATTTTCGAGACAGGCATACTTCATTGTTTTACTCGCACATGATGAAAACTTCATGTCGAAAAGTTCATGCAAGCAATTTACCTCATTCCGATGTGAAAGCAACTATGGCTATCCCATTCTTTCTTCATTTCAACCTTGAAGCCGATACTACAATTCACCGGCTTTGACTGAGTATGACAGGCTAATTGGGCAACCACACCGGTACAAGCATACCCCACAGATTGCTTGGATCCTCTCAGTCTTGCAAGACAAGTATCCTGCCAGCTCTTAGGGGGTGAGTTGGAACTCGTTGTGCTGCGATTTGATATGTCTTTGTGCACCAACTCTTGGCCCTCCGGAAACGCTTGATTCAAAATGCTCAAATGATGATATCTGGCCATCTGATGTGGACTGAATATAAGTCCCTAAGGGCAATCTACCTTGGCTTCTCCTAGTGCCTCCGGATTCTCTTGAGTTGTACACAACCAGATGACGATCTATTTGCAGGTAAAAGCACGATACAGCAATTCGACACCGAGTGCCCTTGTTAATATTGAGCAAACAATGAGTTCAAAACGCCCACGCAAATTGTGACCCTCTGGGTTCTGGTATTCCCGTATATGCCAACTTTCTCGAAGACACTTTCGTCATGCCGAGAACTTGCGAACGATGCCTCTAGCAGTGAAATCCAATCATGTCCACAATGTAGATAAGTCTCCATAGCCAACGCAAGTGCAAAGTGGCTAACGGGAACGAAGGTCTGACTAGAGTCCGTCGATGTAAATCCCACCAATGTATTACACGAGCACGAGTAATCGACAGAGATCGCAAGATCTTTAAATGAGAAGATACTTTACAACCAGTACGTGGTAGTAAGATAATAGTTTTAGAACCTTGCAAGTTGTATTGCCTAAGGCTGGAAAAATACATTTAGATACAGTCAAGATATGCTGAGTAGATGAAAAAACACCCCAAGCGCGACACGCTACTAGTAACGCTGTGGGCCCCGTTGAATGGTATCATTAGCACCGTCCAACGCAATGCGATCCCCTTCTTCACCTTCACCTTCATAGTACCGTCTATCCCGAATGTAGTACGGTCTTTCAACGTATTCCCCGACTTGTCTGTCCTCCATGAAGATGCTGGGCTCGCGGCCCGGGCCAGTTGGTCTCACACTCCCAACTCGCTGAACAATCTCATGTGAGTCTTCATAGCGAGGTTGTGGAGGACGAACACTGGCTGTCCGAATTATTCTCTCCTGGGGTACTCCACGCTCATCAACATAGACGGCATGGCGAGGAAGATACTCCGCTACTTGTACACTGCTGCTGCGTGAGTAAGGTTCATGGCCTTCCAAAGCCAAAGGAGCAGCGTAGCCTTGTCTCTCATGGGCTGCTACGGGACGAGCATATTCTGACGTCACTCGCCTGTAGACTGGCTGGGGCGGGGGCATTTCATGCACATAATGTCGTTCACCGTAGGGGTCTTGCACAACCGAAGGCGCACGAACACTACCCGCGTGATGATGCACTCTTTCATCATAAACATCCTTTGGCATTTGAGAGACTGGCCGGTGAGGTGGCGGGGGCGGAGGAGCCATCGGCTGGAGTCTTGGTGCCTGCAGCAACTCATAGTACTGAGTGCCATGCTCATCAACCACGATCCGACGTTGGGGTGGTGCCATCATTCGTGCTGGCGGTGCCTCTTCGTAATAAGTCTCCCGGTATGTTGGGGGTGGCATGTCATCCGCGGTAATGTAACGATGCTGTGCGTAAGGAGGGGCTTCTTCGTAGTACCTTGGCCGCTCTTGGACCGGGCGTTCCACAATGTATGATGCCGCTCGAACTGGGCGTGGATGGGCCTCAATATACTCACGAGCATAATCTGATTGCCGAGCATACTGTGAACTTGCCAATCGTCGAAGATCGGCTTCTTCCCGGATTGGTCGCCTGATGCTCAGACGAGATATCGTGCGCTGGGGACCAGCATCTGGTAGGGGCCCGTGGTACGGTTCAACCTCGTAAATTGGCTCTCGCACTGGTGGTCCGCGACTTTCGTATACTGGAGTATAATGGGGGGACGCGATGTCAATGTAGATGGGGCGCTCTGCAGGGTTTCGGCCGCGAACAGCAGTATGATCGTCGGCAAATGGTGGCGGCGAAACAGGTTCCTCTTTGATGAATGCCTCGACAGGTTCTGCATTTTGTGTCCTGTGTGAGATTGGACGGGGCCCTTCATCACCTTCACGCAGCCTCCTCCGTTTCCGGGACATAACTGGAAAGACCGGTGAATTGGGGCTGCCACGAGCAGAATCAGGTTCCAAGTACACCTGATCAGAACCTTGTTCAGATCTTTCATCCCGAATTTGCTGGACAGAAGGAACCTTAGCAGTGGCCAGGGGTGACACTCGAGATGGCCTGGGAGCTGCCGGTGATGTGATATGGTTTCGAACTACCTTCACGCTTGCAGGAGAGGGGGGGCTTCCGAATATCTCGGGTTCGATCGGTGTACCTGGCATCTGGCCTAGACTTTCTTGCAGCAGCACTTTCTACCCCACGGGGATATTCACGATGATCCACTGGCGGCGCCGCTGGAGCAGGTGGGGAATATTCGGGTTCGTCCACGGTCTCGAACTGATGCGAATCGCGGAAGCGGCTGACGGGAGCCTCGGCTTTGTGGTAGCGGCCCTGCTTCTGAGAATGGGGGTGACGCTGGTCAGCAACAAGGTAAGCATCTGGCATTTCCTGGTCAGATCCAGGACGGTTGAGAGCTTCAAGTCGCTGCAACTCATCTGCGTAATGGGTTACTGGAGCACGCGTGGCAGGTCCTGTGGGTGGAATTATAGCCACGGGAGATAATTTTTCTTGTCCGCCAGTCTGGGGAGGCGAGTCAGGAGCTCTACTGGAGTAAAATGAATTGTCGTCGAAAGAGTCACTGGCTGCACCACCAGGACCACTGGTCTCAGACACATCGCTCAGCGAGAGTGGTTTCACCGCTTCAAGAGCTTGTTTGAAAACCTCCGAGACATCAAAATCGGGCTTCGTGTCTTGAACCGCAGGTCTCTGCTTGGTCTCTTGTTTTTTCAGCTCCACTTGATCACGCAGTGCTCTTTCCAACCTCTGCCTTTGTAACTGTAATTCCGCCCTGATTAGGTCATCGGACTTGGTCAGAAAGATAGGATCGATCTCGGATGTAGGTTTTGAAGCCACACGGGCGGGTTGTGGTACTGCAGGCAAGGCGCTTCTGGCCGAGGCACTCTGCGAGCTATTGTAAGGCTGTTTTGTAGCCGCAGCCACAGGCGCATTCGCGGATACAGCTTTCGGGGTAGGGTTTTTAGGTAAATGAGTTCGAAGAGTGACATTTTGAACATTTCTCCCAGACTTGCGCACCAGGTGCTGGGGGACATTGAGCCGGGGATGAGTGCCCGAGAAAACTTGGTCATTGATGGCTAAAATTTTTTCATACTCCCGTACCTCATCATCCGGTGTAGGGGCTGAGATAGCCATGGGACCTGCTGGAAGGTGAGTTGCTGGCCCATGAGTTGCGGCCATGGTCCGAGAGAAAGCTAGGGAAAGGGATCGGTGAAGCTAGAACAAGATGAGAGAGACTGGAAGCAGATAAGTTTGCTAACGCGTGAACACACGTTCAATATCCACTCAGTCCAATCTACGATTGAGAAAGACTCTGAGAGTTGGATGGTAGAGCAAATAATGAAGTGGTTTAAAAAGTCCACCATGCTGGCCGTTTGGACGCTAGATCTGATTAGGTAAGGTCACGGGTTAGTGTTGGACATTGGGAAAGTAAAGGAGAGAAGAGAAAGCCGACCTTACTTTTATCTCTTCTTTGACCTATGCATCGTTCATTTGCATTATTCTCCTGTCGGCTTATTAGACCTATTGTAACCTTGTCTGGACCTTCACCTGTTTATCTACCCCTGCGATTCCATAATCTAAGATCGATGGCAACCAACGGCACCAACGGAGTCAATGACTCACGCCCAATCTTTTTCTTTGATATTGACAACTGTGTGAGTCGAGAGAGCTCAAAGTTGGTATCTTGGTCACTAATTACTACGTGTTCCTACAGCTCTATTCTAAGTGTCAGTGGTCTTGATTTCCGCTCTTTATGGGCTACTACTAACGGTGGTACTTCCGCGCAGCTTGCAACATCCACGATGAGATGCAGACACTGATCAGTGAGTGAAGCCGACACACAATATGCTGGAACATATAACTAATGCAACCTCACTTCTGTTAGATAGATTTTTTGTCAAACATCTTGACCTTAACTCGGAAGATGCCCACATGCTGCACCAGAAGTACTACAAGGAGTATGGGCTAGCCATTGAAGGCCTGACCCGTCACCACAAGATCGACCCGCTTGCGTTCAACCGTGAGGTTGATGATGCTCTACCTCTTGACAATATCCTCAAGCCTGATCCCAAGCTGCGCAAACTGTTGGAGAACCTGGATACAACAAAGGTGAAGCCATGGCTGCTCACGAACGCCTATATTACCCACGCAAAGCGCGTGGTGAAGCTACTTGGTATCGAGGATCTGTTCGAAGGCGTTACTTATTGTGATTATGGAAATTTACCCTTGGTCTGCAAACCTAGTCAGGATATGTACGCCAAAGCGGAAAAGGAAGCTGGTGCTCCGAGCACGGATCAGTGTTATTTTGTTGGTATGTCATTCTTCACCATACGATCATGACAGTTTTGGACTCTCTGATTCTGATGGCGTTCAACCAGATGATTCCCACTTGAATTGTGTACATGCGCACGCTCGCGGATGGACTACCGCTCATCTTGTCGAACCGGGTATTCCTATACCACACAAGCCGGCTTCGAAGTACACGATCTCTAGCCTCGAAGAACTTCAAGTGCTTTTCCCACAAGCCTTCAAAAAGCAACCAGAAAGCGATGCTGCTTAAATGAGGACATGGCCATGATTTTCTTTGTTTATTCCCCCTAGACTTTTGGTTTACGACTATGAACGTTTATGATTATGGGCCTCTTTATATAGCCAAATACACAAGGCTTTGGATGATCTGAAATGAAGTCAGGAGTTTAACCCTGCTCTAATTACATAATGAAGAAATCATTAACCGTATCTCCCATAAATGCGTGTAGTGATCTACATCGTATATTAGAAGTTCTGCCTCAGGCAGTGAACAATCACTTGACGCGCTCCGCTGGTCTCAGGAGGTGCCGTATTTCCGTTCTTTCAACAACCAAAACTTCTCGATTATCGCTCAAGAGCTCGTTGTAGCTCTTGAAGTAGTGTCAACATGTCTGGCCAAGCCTTACTTGTAGGCACGGTGATTGAGCTGCCTGATGGACGGCAAGCAACAGTGCGTTTCATTGGCACCACCCACTTTGCGGACGGACAGTGGATAGGCCTTGAGCTAGATGAGGCCACGGGCAAAAATGATGGCGCAGTACAAGGAGAACGGTATTTTGATTGCGATCCAGGATACGGCATGTTCGTTCGCCCAACAGTGGTTGGTAAGATTGTCCAGCCCGGGCCGGAGAGTAAACAAACCACCAAACCATCCACCAGCGCTGCAGGTAGCAAAGCGCAACTTAAACCCGGAGTCTCCGCCGCTATGCGAAAGCAATCTGGGCTACCTCCGACAACAGCGAGGCGACAGAGTACCAATGCGGCGTCCACTCCTACTTCGGCGCCGAAGGGTGTGGCCGCTCGATCGTCTCTCCGAGTATGTAATGTCCTACAATGACATCCTCTGATATTATGCTAACCTGGACTCCAACTTTTTTAGTCGCCAACAAAGTCCCCAACGAAACAGCTTGCGACGACTGCGAGTCAGGCTACTCGCCCGTCCATCGGGGGTACTTCCCGTACCTCTACAGTGGCGTCCAATCGACCTCGACTAGCTCCCAGCACCAGAAGCTCCCTAGGCCCTTCTCCTACACAATCTGCAGCATCTAGAGGCTCGAGACCCTCGGTGTCCGGACCAGCATCCCGAACATCAAGGCCAGGCTCCCAAAGTACCGTTGCTTCATCAACAGCAGGATTGACCAAGCGCCCTTCACTACGGCAGGTTGGCAACACAAAGGTATCCGATGGAGGAGACACGGGCATAAGCGGGCAGTCCGGAGATCCAACCGATACTGAGTCGCCTGACACTGAAGGGGAGGGTGCACAAGATGAAGCCACTGCGCCGAAGACCTCTCGACAATCGATGACAGCTACACGCACAGCGACCTCTCGTTCCGGAGCCCAACACTCCGCATCTCAACGCCAAGGGCAGAGCGGTGCAGTCAATCGCGAGCTTGAAGAACTCAATACCAAACTCAGAGTCATGGAAAAGAAACGAGCCGACGACAAAGAGAAGTTGAAGACCCTCGAGCAGCTCCAGACTGAGCGTGATAAATTCGAAACGATCATCCAAAAACTGCAAGCCAAGTATCAACCGCAGCAACTGGAAGTCACTGAGCTGCGCAAAAGGCTAAAAGAACTTGAGACTCGCTCTGACAGCTTGGACCGTATGCAGGCAGAACATGAGTCGCTCATGGAAATGGCTACTCTTGACCGCGAAATGGCAGAGGAGACAGCGGAAGCATTCAAGCACGAGTGTTCAGAGCTACGATCAAAGTTGGACGAGCTGAGCTTGGAGGTGGAGGTGCTCCGAGAGGAGAATGAAGAATACAGCCAGGAAACAACTCCTGAGGATCGAACCACTCATGGGTGGCTCCAGATGGAGAAAACCAATGAACGTCTCCGCGAGGCACTCATTCGTTTGAGGGATATGACACAGCAGCAGGAGTCAGACCTCAAGGCCCAAATCAAAGAATTGGAAGAGGACCTCGAGGAGTACGCCGCTGTCAAAAGTGACTACGAGGCCGCAAAGGAGAGAATCTTGGTCGCTGAGACCAATGTCGACGATCTTAAGCAGCAGCTAGAGACGGCACTGGGGGCCGAAGAAATGATTGAAGAACTAGCAGACAAGAACATGCGCTACCAGGACGAGATTAATGAGCTGAAAGCTGCCATCGAAGACTTGGAATCTCTCAAAGAGATAAGTGATGAGATGGAGTACACCCATATCGAAACTGAGAAGCAACTCCAAGAAGAACTTGAGTACCGAGAAGGTGTATTCAACGATCAATGTCGAAAAATTACACAACAGGATGAAGTGATCGAAGACCTTGAGTACACATTAACTCGTTTCAGAGATTTAGTGACAACCTTGCAGTGTGACTTGGACGATATGCGCACAACCAAGCAAGTGTCAGAGGCGGAGACAACCGAAAATGCAATGCGCCACCGCCAGATGCAGGATTTGAATATGAAACTACAGGCCAATCAATCGAAGGCCCTGACCAAATCTATCGATGTCGAATTGAACCGTATGGAGTCTGAGGAAAATGCACAGCACCTTTCAATAGTCAAGCTCTATCTTCCGGAGTATTTTGAAGGCGAAAGGAATTCCATTCAAGCCTTGCTTCGATTCAAGCGTGTCGGATTTAAAGCCAATGTCATGAGCAGCACTCTACAAGACAAGGGATCTGAGCACTCAGTAGTCTCCAACGAGGAACTTTTTCAAGCCCATGTGGTTTTGGAATACCTTATGTGGATCTCAAATGTGTGTGATCGGTTTGTGAACTACATCACAACTTGCTCGCCCGAACAATTTGGTAGCATCAAGGTTGCATTGTTCGAAATGGAACCGGTTGAGCGCATGTTGAACTTTTGGATCGAGCCAATGAAGAAAGATGAAATGAATCTTGCAAAGCTTGCAGTGGAATTGCAGCGGTCTATTGCTCTCCTCGCACACCTTGCTGAGACCCTCCTTCCTTCCAGCTTAGAGATGTTTGCCGATGATCTGTGTATGCGGGCTCGTTTATCTCAATTATACATTGAGCATTCGGCCGGTGCGGTTTCACGCGTTAAGCTCATTATCGGCTCCAAAATGGCTGCGGCGGCAGAAGGCGACGAAGAAAATGTGCTTTCCCTGGATAAATTGGACGCTTTTATCCCCCAGGCCCGCGGATACAAGGTCGCGATGGGTAAGATCAGCCGGTCACTTGATGATCTGCGTTCAAGATCACTTGCACTTCCGAAAGAGGCCGACGAACCTTTCAAGAAAATCGAAAGTGAGACCAGGCAACTTTCAGAGCTGGCCCGAAAACTTGGCGAAGACCTTGTTGTTCTCACAAGTGATGAAGGTCGTACGGAACCCTTCAGCCCGGAGGAGATTCTGGACTGCATGTCTCAAGCTGCTATGTCTTTTGCCCCATCTTCCGAAACCCCGGGTGAAAGCAACGATCCTGTTTCATTGCTCTTTGCCAGATTACGGGACATAGGCGCCCAGTTTGAGGAGCTCGATTCCATCTCGTCAGATTTGTCTCGCACAACAGAGTTTGAAAGAGCTGCATTCCCCTGGATTGCCCGTGCTGCGGAATTGAAGTCCAACAAAATGACATCCCCTGATGCAGACGAGGAGATCCGTCAATTGAGAAATGAGATTCACGAGGCATCAGCCGCACTTGGAGTCAAGGACAATACGCTTGAAGAGCAGGGTCTGAAGATTGAGCACCTTGAATCTAGGATGCGAGAGGCAAGCAAAAAGGCTGCCATGGTCAAAGATCTCGAAGTCAAGATCGAGAAAATTGAGACAGCAGGGGTTGAGCTCGAAAAAATTGTCGAGCAACAAAAGAAGGAGCTTCAGGCAGCTGAAGCAGAGCGAGATGAGTTCATGGCTCGTCTGGAGCGAATGAAGCGCATGTCTGGAACAACAGGTCTAACAGCCACGGGTAATAGCGCTGTTATTGCCAGTGAGGCCTCTCTAGCTGCAATGGACGAGAACGAGTCTCTTCGTGCTGAGGTGGAAAGCCTCCAAGCAGCCGTGCGTTTCCTACGCGAGGAAAACCGCCGTTCTAACATTCTTGACCCATACTCCGTCCAGCGATCCACTGAAATGCACGCCTGGCTTGATGCCCCACTCACGCGTGCCAAACCAACACCTGAACAAGAGAAGATCCAACGCACCGCTCTCGAAAGTCGGGACGTCATGACTCATCTCCTCAAACTGACCAAAGAGTCCCGTGTCACCGATCTCAAGTCCACGATGGCTGCTCCTGCTAATGACGATAATGACCACACCGGCCGCATTGCCTGGCGCCCGTCCAAGACTCGCCTCCGTTACCAGGTACTCCAGCAACGCGAAAACTTCGAGCACTGGGCCGAATGGCGCGATGAAATTGTGAATCACGAACGTGAACAGGACCGTCTGGCCGCCGCTAAGCAGGAACGTGCACTGCGTGATCGCGTCTCCCGACATGCTCACAAGGCTTCCGTCGAATTTCCTCAGGGCTTAGGTCATGGCATGATGGGTCGTGCCTGGCAGATTCTGGGCATGCAAAAACACCGTAAAACCGGCTCCATAAGCACACCTGCCCCGGACGGTGTAGAGGTAGTGACCGCTGACTGAAGTTTTGATCTCGGTTTCTAAAAGCCAGGACATCGATCTTTTGTGGTTGTGCATGATATTCATCCTTTTGTAACATGTACCTTATTTGTCTTTCCGGAAGCTACATTGTCCTTTTTGAGATACCCTGCAGAGATAGTTAGCGTCAGATTTTGTGTACAATCAATCGAGGTATGTTCCAGATGAGTCAAATATAATGGCCATATACCATATGCATCACTCTGGACCTTGAACTTTGCGTTTCTGTTGCATCAATGTTCTCCTCACTACTAAGATATGTCCTAGAATTGTGTTCCTGTACCTATTGAAGATCTCATGTAGTCATCTCAATACTATATTCATTATTACTTCCTAGGTAAGCTATGTGCCTTGATCAATCTCCTCAAATAGCAAAGACTATCCAACCGGAATAGAACTAGGGGTATTCCATAAAAGTCCAGAAGCAAACACCCAGCAAACATCCAACCATTCCTAAAAAACAAAAAGCACAAATTTCTAACCGAAAGAGGGAAGGAAGGAGACAGTACCCATTATCACAATCCTATAATTATCCAAGGTATCCTCCACAGGGAAGCTTCAGAAAACTCAAAACGCCAACCCAATACCGGACTCCTGGTACCGCATATGTCCATTGTCGTGATACGAAGAGAACTTATGGTGCTGCTGTTGGCCCTCAAAGATGGTCGGGTAGCAGACGGCAGAGTCAACGTCCTTTTCAGCAGCAGACGAGGAGACCTGGAATGAGGTGCGGGGGGTGATAGCGCTAGAGAAGACACTAGAAATGGAGCTATTGTTCCGTACTCTTGCGCCGCCAGTGATGGTCGTGGTAGTCGATGCGACTGTGGTGCCACTCAGCGTGCGAGTTCGTTCCCAATTGAACCCGTTGTCGTCGGGAAGATACGCTTGTTTCGGGGGTGTAGAGGGCTTGATGGGTGTAGGGAACATCCATTGATTTACACGATTGGAGATAGAAGAGCGGACTGAATCGAATGTGTCTCGGTTATCGGGCAGTGGAATGGAGGGACGGCGTAGAGATGAGATTTGTGATCGCATCGTGCGTGAGCTGGCTGACGAAGGACTATCCTTGGACATCGCCGAGTGGTTGGATGGAGATGTATTAGGCGATTCTGTATACAAACTCTTGGATGCAGGTGGAGTTCGAGGTGCTTTTTCCCAGGGCTGACTTGTGTTTGGGTCGTTTGGCCATGGGGTGTTCAGCGTAAGCTGATTCCCTTCCGACTTTGACCTACCATGGACTGGGGATGCTGCCTGAGTTTCTGAAAGAGGGGTGTCGGTGGAAGTGAGCGTGGAGAAATGCGGGACCAGAGTACTAGCGATGCGAACAGGTTCTTTTACAAGCGACGATTCCAAGTTTCCAAGTGATCGTCGTTTCTGGGACCCGACTGGCTTGCGAGAGACTACAAATGCCTTTTGGCAATATCGATCTCGAATGCCGGTTGAAGTCGTCAGGGCACGAGGAGGCACTGGTAGCGTCTTGCGCTGGGTACTCTCGTTGAGCTGGAAATCTTCAAATGAAGGCAGGTCTGATAATCGATTGCCTGATCGATGAATGCGGAGGTCCAATGGTTGATAGGTTGGTGGTGGAGGAGAGTGAATGGACTGAGACGGGTGATCATGGAAGGATTGCACTCTGCGAAAGTCCGAAGGTGCGCCAATCTTCAATGGGGTGGTTGAAGATCGATTCAAAGTCATGCTTGCCCGGTTAGAGGCTCGCGAGGCCAAGTTCCGACTGTCGTTGAACCATGATGACAGTGAGTTCCGATGTTGATGGATACTTGGACTGGGGAGGTCATCGTATACCACCAGCTTCATGGGTGGGACAAGGTGTGGTTGAGTGTGGCATGCTTTCATTTCCCGTTCAATACCTGCGATGTATATTAGTCAATCATCTCTGTAGTTTTGATGTAGTCGGACACATACCGTTCCCGGATTGTCTAGGTTGACAGCCATCCTCACCCGGTAGACATGTCAAGCATGATCGTATCCAGCCAGTGAATAACGACCCCGCCGTCTCCAAAGCCAGCATGATGGCGACCAGCGCAAGAAATCAATCCATCACCTTAGAGGGAATGGAAAGAAAGAAAGAAAGGAAAGGGACAAACCCGTTGCACAGGCAAATCAGCCCCTCAGACGGGATAGAAACATCCTATAAGCCAGGTCCAACATGAGCGATTTGCCCAATTCGTCTGGGCACACATCCTTATGGGCACTAATGAGCAGGGGCTAGGCCTAGTAAAGAAATACATCCTGACGCCAGCGCATTTAGCAGCATTGATCATCGGTTACGGAGCTGATTAGAGCATTGCTATTCGTTGGCGCCCTGTGGAGTGGTCACATCTGTGCATATCCTTTCAAGCTATACCCTGTCAAGACTGTCAAGTACTTTTTTTTTCTCGTGATGAGAAAGTTGGGCGCTTACAGAGATTGACAGGGGATTGCTATTTATAACTTCTTGTTTCATAATATTTCGTATTCTTGCGTAGAAAGATATATACAGGAGTCATAGATATATCAGACCAAGAAAGAATAAATGAAGAAATGAGTAAATAAGGTAGATTATCATGGTTCAGAATTCATCAAAAGACAAAGTACACTACAAAACATGCTACTTGCCCCATACATTGTCCTGCTCTAAGTCGTCGTAGGCCCATTTAGGCCGATCTTCGTCATGATTAGACTCGGGCAGTGTTGATTCGGCTTCAGTCTCCTCTTCGATTGGCTCTCCGGAGGGTCTTCTGGAAATCGGAGCCAGGATTAATAAATCTGCTCCGATATAACTAGCGCTGATACCAGCCGATTATTGGAGAACTTACGCGAATCGTCGAGGTTCAGGTTCTGCCCAGGCAGACCCGTATTCTCTCTGTATTTGAGCTCGATCTTCTTCTTCAGCCTCTGTGTTCTCCACAACAAGGTCAACCAGCTGGCTGCGCTGCGTACCGCTGGAGCCAGTGGAGCTGACGTTTCGCTGCAAGGGACCGGGAGTCGCCGAGCTCGGGCCAGGCTTATTGGACTTCGACTTGGGACTTTGCCGGCTCTCACTTTCTGACGTGCGACTCTTCCTGTGCCTACGGGCCTTTTTGACATCTGCCCCTCGGTTTGAATCTTGATTTCTTCGCGAGGGTAACAACCGTTGATCCCTTGGCACCTCGTTGGCGGTAATCACCGGGTACTATGCATGGTCAGCATCACAATCACAATGAACACATTGCTCCGACATCAACTTACATTCCAATCTCCAAATTCCAGTGCGCGAGCATTGAGAAATAGTCGCTCATCCTCATCGTCCATTGCGGTTTCATCGATTTCGCTATAAGATCGGAATCGCTCTCTCGAGGTTTGACTGGGCCGTTTACTTCTGGGGCCGCTCTCACTGGGCTCGCCACTCAGTAGGGGGTGCGGCTGTTGGCTTCACCCGGTCTAGGAATCCAGTATTTTGCCTTACCTCCACGCTCATACCTCATGCCGTCCATTACTCGCTTGACCCGCGACTCGGACTCCTCATGAGGGATGATATTATCACCGGAGTCAAAGAGTCGGTATCCGTAATTCTTACCGCGAATAGTGAGCTTGGTGTCTTCAATCAAATCTCGCACGCCAAACGCGTCGCGCAGCGCGTATTTTACGGGCATGCGTGCAGCTGAAATGGTCGGGTCCGCATAGTCATGCCACGAAAATGCATACCAGTGAGCCATAGCGAAAAATGGCATCTCAAAACAAATAAGACTGTCCTGAATGGCCGCCGCGAGGTTGTCAGGGGTGTACCCAGCAACATTGCCAAGTGCTCCTAGCCACTGCAGGATCGACAGGAAGAAGCCTTGCCAGTATGAAGCAAAGATAATGAGTTTGATGCAGAGAAATTTGGGGATTGGGCGGAATGGCGTGAGATCGTCATGTAGACACACCCAGAACATGGCCAAGGAGTAGAGACTGATCGTGACGCTAACATTATATATGATCCCTGTCCAGAGGTATCCAGAGCTTAGCCCAATATAGCCCTCCTGGTATGTGTCGGTTGCCTTCATTATGATGGAGGCAAGAGCTAGAATGGGCTTCAACCAAGCATACTGCAGGATACCACGTTTGACAGCGAGAAATGTATGTGGATCGGAGACGTCAATCTTTGGTAGGAAGTGATTGAGAGGCCAGGCATGGGAGATAGGAGGGCGGCCGTGGGCCATGATAATCACGGCCCGCTCGCCACCGAGGAAATTGATGAGGAGCTGGAAGAAGGTATAGATGGTGAATGCCTACCAATGCCATCCGTTAATACGGGCCTTTCCTACAATCAGCTAGGGCCCTGCTTACCTCGTAGATGTCACGAACAGGATCCAGAAATTGAGCTGCCGTTAGCGACACGATGCTCGTCCATGATGATACTGCGTAAATCGGGACCCTAAGTTCAATCAGCACTGCTCTTTGTTCCCACCCCCTGACCTAGTATCGGAGCCAATCCTCACATCAACAATATGCGCACCACGTAGCGTTGAAGCAAGGGTTTCCGGTAGTTTTTGCTGTATACATGGTGAGCTGTATTTCGGGATTTGGGACGGTGTAGGCTCGTACGTTTGAAACCATATGGACCTGCGGTTCGAGAAAACATGTCAGCTCGGGTGTCTACAACGATTGGACTTATGAGTTAAGGATACGCAGCATATATTAGACTCACACAAAAGACAAGAGCGAGGAAACCAAGGCCGAGACACCTGTGACAATGATGATTGCGCGTGCCAGGCTGGAGCCTGTTCCTCCGCTAGCTGCGGTCATGATTGCTGAGATCTAGGGACAAGTACGGTTTAGGGACCGCTTTTTGCCTGCGGAGATAATCCAGCTCATTCCGCAGAATTGATAGAGACGTAAAACATGTTGGTCAAGACCGAAATGGGGAGAAAATCAAGCTGGGGAAGGTTGGTTTGGAATGAGGAGGCGTGTTGTCCGATGACGATCTTCTCGTGACACCGCTCTCGGACTGCCTAAACAACGTCTTCACCTTGCGACTTCCAGGATATTTGACCCAGCCACTTTGGTGTCGATGATTGAGAGGTCAATATTGGCTCGTCATTCGCGTTCTATCGCGCTGGCGGTGTCCATGTTGGCTGGCAGAGAGAGATGGCTAGTACAAGCTTGACATCGGCTTTCCTGACGCCAGATCCAAGCTTCAATTGGTATGGAATCGTTGCTCGGGCCTAGGCTGTTATACTCACCAATCTAGGTTCTTTCTCTTGGAACTGATTGTCTCCTGCATTCTGTAAGTTTGCGCTGCTCGACACGGCCGGATTACGCTGATCACAGGCATAGCGCCCTGTTCTTTTTGCTCTATTTCAATCGACTCTTCGCGAATCTCATCTCCTATGCGATCCGAGCATACACCTGGCATTACTACCGCGCATACGTTGATATCAACGCACTGCAAATCTCCCTACTTGGAGGGAGAATCTTCTTCAAGGGCATTCGGTACCATGGCGTGAACGAGACTATATTTATCCATGGAGGATTCATAACATGGCGCTATTGGACGCGAGCAGTCGAGCGAAATGACTTGACAGGGATTCGACACAAGGCAAGCCCCGCTCATAATACCTCAAGTAAAGGACATGTGAGGTCCCCGGGCGATGGAACGGATGACAATCTGGGGGAGCAAGGTGGCATGAGAAATACTTCCAAATTGCCGTGCCGGATCACTATCAACACATATGGCCTTGAATGGTTCATCTACAACCGGACTCCCGCTTATGATAGTCTTCTTGCTGGCTTTGGATACTCCCCCAAGGATGTTGATTTAGACGACGTCAATCCCAAACCCCCAGGGTCTCGCGCGACGGCAGAAAATGGCGACGCAAGCAACGCCTTTGGTTTTGAAGATACGTCTAGCCATCAGCCAACCATGAAACCCATGTCAGAGCGCAGCATGAGTGAGAGTGGCGAGGCTGCGTCACAGAGGAATAAGATCGGTGAATCAGAACTATCGGACCCTGTGTCCAATATGTTACAACTCCTCCCTGTGAAGCTGGATTGCCAAAAAGGAGCCATTGTCATGGGAAACGAGCATACCCGATCTGTGTTGACAACGACATTCGACACTGGAACAGGCACCATCGATGCTTCCAATTCGGGCCCTCTTGATTTATATCGTCAAGTATTTTCATTTCAATTCAAAAATCCAGTGGTCCAAATGCGACCAAACCCGGACTTCAAACAGAACCAGTTGGCGACTGCTAAAGACTTGGGTGCCGTGCAAGAGAAAGAGCCCACATCGAAGAAAAAGCCGCAACATATGTTCAACTATCAATTCCAGAGGCGCAGAGTATGGCACAGCATTCGAGACTTGGTCCCGTATTTCCAGACATCTGTCGAATCGTTCCATAACGATGGTAAACACACCAATAGTATGCCGAGAAGCCAGGCGGAGTTTCCCGAAGTCCGCTGGACCGGTCTCTCCCGATATCTTGACGAAGGGAGCGAGGATGACCATGAGAAATGGAACTCAGTTGAATATGGCAGGTTTTCTACCATCTTGGATAGCCCTAGCTTGAATATTACCTACTTCTGGGACATCCCTGGACGAGTCGTGATTCAACCAACGTCAACTGCTCGGCCTCAACCAGCGGATAACAATATCAACTACGCTGCTCCTCCAGAATGGGGGATTGACATCAAGATTGACGGAGGTACGATAAATTACGGACCATGGGCTGATAGGGAGCGGGTTGGGCTGCAGAATGTCTTTTTTCCAAACTTCTACCGCAACGCTGAGCCAACAGAGCAACTAGTCCTTGGTGTTCTGCGACAAAGCACATCATTTAGGTTGCGCGTGGAAATCAACGAGGCGTTGACATTACGCATTCCAACACGAGAGCCTTCCAAGGATTGGCAGTGGAAGGGCCGTGCTGATGCCGTTGGGGGTGCATCGAGAGCAAAGAAACCAAGTGATCAAAAAAAGGCTCGAGCCAAAGAAGGTGAAAAGGGCTATCTTGGGCCTGAAATTCGCCCGTTTGGGTGGCTTTCCCTTTGTGTTGCCGCCGACTCTACCATCAATTATACCATGGACATGGTGGGGTCGAGCGCTGGGTTTCGAAATGAACTCTCTATCGACTTGCGAGAGTCGAGGTTATCATCCAGCATCAATCATGGATTGCTCTGGGAGTGTCCTCGGCAACAAGTCACTTGCGATCTGTCCAACCCGCTCTCCTGGAATAGTCTTCGCTCCTGGAAATTTACGGTTGAAAGCCAAGACCTACAGCTTTTCCTTCTACGCGACCACATATTCCTTGTTACAGACCTTGTCAGTGACTGGGCCTCGGGACCGCCCTCGGACTACTACACATTTGTGCCTTTTATCTACAACCTCGATCTCAATTTTTCCAACTTCCAACTTTACATTAATGTCAATGACCGAAACATCATCAATAATCCTTCGGATCTAGATGATAACCGATTTATTGCCATCGAGGGCAAGCGCCTGACGTCAAATATTATGATACCATTGAACAAATACCAACCTGAACAAAATGCCATCGAGTTCAGGGTCAACCTTGAAGATGGCGGCGTGGACTACACAACTCCTCTATGGGATACCCTGCACGAGTTCTTGCCGCAAAAATCCATGGCTACCCTCGAGAATTTGTTCATTGACGGCTCTTATAATTATTTCCAGTCAACGTCCCCGGAATTGACCGACACGCTAATGCTCAACATCGATGGCCATTTACCTCGTCTATACCTTTTTGGGTTCTTGATCAAGAGTTTCATGACCGTCAGAGAGAACTATTTTGGTGAGGAGCTGCACTTTAAGACACTTGAAGAATACCAAGAGCTGGTCTATGCCGACGAGCCGCCATCAAACCCCCCACAGGGGTCAACCCAAACCGAAAGTCGAATGACATGGATGTGCTTGTGCATGTCACAGTTGACGGCCCCCGTGCTTTACTTCCTGTGAATATCTATGACAACTCAAAGTGTATGGGAATCAGCGCTGCCTCACTCGAAGCGGATCTACGCTTCACTAATTATTATATGGACTTGCAGTTTTCTGTCACCCCAGTGAAGATTGATTTGGAGGCCACCCAGCTGGATGGCCCTTCCACTATCTCTAGCACTCAGCTGTTCATCGATGGAATCTCGGTCTACGGGCATCGTCTGTTTGGCTTGCCGCCACTTGAACCAACCTACGTTTGCAATTGGGATTTTGACGTTGGTAGAATTGTCGGAGAATGCTCCACCGAGTTTTTGGCCTGCTTGACTTCATCTTTGAAGAGCTTTGATTTCTCGTTTGACAATGAGGAAAATGCTTTGCCAACGCTCTTCCCTGAGCTTTTATTTGACGTCACTTTCTTGAGAGCCAAGATTGATTCTATCCATGTATCCGTGCTACTGGACCAAACAGCTGTGATTTTGAGCACACAGCCCCTGAATGTGCACTTCAATGATTGGGCAAATACCAAGTTTTCGAAACGCATGAGCCTTCGAGTCCCGGATATTTCCATCGCTGCCGTTGAACGTCAGTCTGTCAATCAGTACAATCCATCGGCGGGAGAAATGATCTCCCCCATAGGACTTTTCCAGTTCACAATTGGGCTGAAAATGGCTTTGCGGAAATCTGATATTGCCGAAAGTCGACGACTTCAGCAAGAACATATCAAAACCCATGATCAGCGGACTCACAGGGCACAGTGGTTGCTCTTTGACTGGGAGGAAACTGGGCCAGCTTCAACGCTTCCTCCTGACGAAGACGTACTCCCTCCAACCATGGCTATACCTTCAATGCCTGAGCCTATTCATGACAGGCATGGCTCAATTGATGCGCCGTCATATCACAGAGCTTCAGGGCCCCGTTCTAGTGGAAGCGCCAAGAGTTTTCTTGTCCAGTCAGAAGCATCAAGTATGAACAGTGTCCGGATACACACTACCAAAAGCCCCAGAGTAGCCTCAGATCCTGTTCCCAAATCACGGCCTTTTCTGCCTACCAGAGGATCGACCGCGTCCGTCGCAAAACCCAACCGGTCGAGAGATGGTCCAAACTCCGGGTTTCGGGCAGGCGCATTCTCTTCCTCTCCAACAACAGACGCAAACCCATGGATAATGCCATTTTTCTCATACTACAAGCTTCATTTGGATACATCTGAGCTTCCCTTGCCATTCACGGATGAAGGTGACACGATGAACGAAGACTCTGCAATGAATCAGAAGTCCGTGTTTCTAACATTCGATGATGATCAAACGAAATACACAAATCTTGCGTGCGATATCCCGTTGGGTATTCGAGGATTTTGTACATCCAAATTCCTTCTGACTCTAGCTGCCTTACTGGATGGGTTAGAACCGAAGCATCCTACACGAATCATCGACTCGCTTCAAGAGGATGTGATATCGAGCATTGTTGGCTACGATAATGCCATGAGCCAACCAAGAATTTCAACAGCTGTTGCTCTTCGCGTTCCATCTATTCAATTCCGACTAGTCGACCTGTCTGAGGCCCCTAACAACAAACAAATCAAGTTCCGCGATGAATATAGCATCGAGATCCGTCGTCTGAATACTGAGTTCCAAAGGAAGGTTCAACGCCGCAAAGGCGATCTGCTCGAAGGTCTCAAACAAGGAGTGACGATTCATGCGGCAGCGGACCATGTCTCAATTTTTGTCGAGGGCAGTGGAGCAGATTCTTTTCACGAGAAAGCCATGTTTAATTCTCACTTGGAAGATATGAACTTTTGGCTTGTGACCTCGCCAAATGTTCGCTCTAATCTTCAAATGCGAACATTCAATACAATAACATCAGCAAAGTCGGTAGAGCGTCTCGCATTTCTTGTTCGTCGCGCCACGACCATGTTTGATTCTGTCGCGTCGTCATTTCAGCAGCTTTTAACATCCAGCGAGAAGCGCGTACAATACCTCTTGTACTCTCTCACCCAATCGGCTACTGATATACCTGATCCAATCTTTCTTGCTCGCATATCTTATGTTCTCAGGGTTGCTTCGACTCACCTGCGGCAGCATGACTCGTGGAAAATAATATCTCGCATTCGCAAGATTTACAACAGCCTACCTTCTCATCAGAAGCGTGAGTTGGAGCAGAAATGCCTATGTGACAGTTTCCCTCTGCCAGCGAATGCCAAAAAGGCTGTATTATCTGGCTTTGACCACTGGCGAGCTTGGGACCTGGCACATGTTGCCAAAAGCTATGCCATGCGCCGTGTTTGGCCACACGCCGCTGAACGGCAGCAGACCTCGCGGCCTTCAATGTTCCTTTCTTCTACTATCCACACATTCCGATTTTCCATGGATCCTGGTCCGAGAGAAAGCGACTTGATCATAGGGAATTTGTCTACTGTTGCATCATTTGCTTCAGACTTGCCTGAAGGTGAAGGGGTGCTGGGTAAGCACCTCATTACCCTACAGTCCTATTGTGGATCAACAGCTCTGAGGCTGCGCTGGGAAATTCTGGACCTTGTTGAAGGGGTGGTCAAGGTTATGTCAAATATCACACTTGAATCCTCGCCGGGCCATGTGCCAAGTGACAAGGTCCAAGATAAGACCCCGACCGAGCTGCAGTTCATTTTTGGCACCGATTTCGGTTCCATCACTCTTGACGGTATTAATGTTAAGCTTGCCATGATAGCGAAAGCTCTCCGAGGATCGATTGTGCATAAGTCGCTTGGTGCCAAAAAATCAGAACACGAAGACCTCGCTATATTGTTTAGCGCTGAGGGGTGCTCATCTGAGCTTCAAAGTCAATCCATGACTCTGATGCTCTCGAGAATTGCTAACCCATACATCTACCTTTCGCTTACATCAGATGAAGATACCAACGAATGCAGACATGATTGGAAGCTCGCTGGGTCTTGCAGGAAGCTTCGCTATGACATGAAAGAGGATCCTGTCAGCTTGGCACACACAGCGGACAGACTTATCGCGGACGAAGTTAGATATATCCGACAACTTGTGGATAGTGTCAAAGTACCAAAGCCGAAATCCGACCAGAGCCTCGCGTCAAATAAACCTACTCGTGACACCTTCCATGCGGCAATGTTCCTAGAAGACTATCGGTTTACCTTCAGCCTTCTGCCATCTTTGACCTACTGTGTGTCGGGTGAGGTAGCTCGCATGTCAGTGATGCCTGCAGAAGCATCCAAAATCGAGGTTGACTTTGATGTGAAGAAGAACTCGCATATGTTCGTATCGGGTGAAGGCGATAGATTCAATGTTTTGTCAATGTTGGAGATACCTCCCGTAAATGGGCGAATCCTTGCCAACTTCTTGTCAGAACGCAAGGAAGTGGAGGTCGATGTCACGATTGAACTCATCCGCCTGGAAACCAGTGCTATGCGCAGTCTCCTTGCTGTTCTGACAGGTCCTGATGTTTCCCATTTGATTTGCGACCTCAAGCAGAATTTAGATGTTCTCCAGTCACACTTGAAAGACGTGCTGTCGATACAGAGGGAGCCCCCAAAGCCCAAAGCAGCATCTGGTACCGAGGAGATTCTCTACAAATCTCGCCTTACAATGGCTGGACTCGAAGTTCATGCCATCGCGCCTGGTCTTAATAGCAAAGGTTACTCTGCCGAGATGATATTCAGTCTTGGAATGATGCGTATGCGACTTCAAAACGGACTAGACCGAGGATACCCCATGGAGCATCCCGAGTTCAACATCGATGCGTCTCAAATTAGGTTCGACCTGCTAAGACGAACAAACGCTGATACCCAATTATATGGTGGCTTCTCTGCTGGAGTGAAACTTCAGGGAACCTCTGCGGTCCGCGAGAATGGGGAGATTACAAGAGCATACCATTTTACCAGCGACAGGTTCGATGTCGAACTATTCGCTGAGACAGCAGCCCTCGTGGTCGACATTGCCGTATACACACAAGAGCGCATCAAGACCTTGGACCTTTCCCACGAAGTCAAGCGCCTTAGAAAATTGAGACATGTTGGACACATTGATACAAATGACGGGGCCCCCGCTGCCCCCGAAATTCATGTCAACGATGAGTCCACCTCGGAGACATTCCTCAATGCTCTTTACTCTTTACAATTTCGGACTATTACAGTCGCTTGGAATATGGCCGCGATGCACAACAAGTCTGGTCGACAGCCCGAGGACTTGGTCTTTTCAATCCAGCAAGTCGAGTTGTCCAACAAGAAGAAGAAGAATGCAGCCAAACTTCGAATTGAAAACATGCAACTTCAGATGGTACCATTCGGAACGGACAGAGGAAAGCGCTCGCTAAATTCAGCCCTTATGCCAGAGTTGGTCTTCAACGTGGCGTACTCCTCTATAGGGAAGGAATTGTCGCTTGTTTTTCAAGCAGCTGGCAAATCTCTCGACATTCGCGCTACGTCGGAGTTTATCATTCCGGCCAGTATGATACGAGACTCAATTGCCACCGCAAGCGAGGCGCTTCGTGATGGCAAGGCTGTTTGGGCAACCAGAGCAGACTCTCCCGAAAATACCAATATCAACAAAGATCGCAACCTCTTCGGCAACAGACGATTGCGGTCTCTCCTCGTCGATGTTGACTTTGCAGGTGCTACTGTCACGCTTCAAGGAAAGCTTGGCCATGATCACCAGACATTGTTAGCAGCCACATGGAAGGGTAGCCGACTCTCCGACGCAAAGTATGGCCAATATGTACAAGGCGATGCAGCGACCACAGCAACCCTCCGAGCACCGGGAGTGGCGTTCAAAGTTCAATTCGAGGACAACGGTACTGATGATCCTGCACTGAATGCGGAGCTGAAGGTTGACCCCTCGACGAACACATTGTATCCTACCCTTGTTCCTCTCGTCAAGCAAATGACCGCCACGGTAAAGGAAATCATGGGCAGCCAGCAGGGCCAGTCCCGAAGGCCATCTACAGCAGCGAAGCTACAATCACAGAAACTGATGCAGGAGAAGCCATTTGGCGCCGCCGATCCGACCAGCATCCTTGGTCGATGCAAGGTAAACCTGGGACTGCTGTTTTGCAAGCAGGAGTTTAGTTTGAGCTGTCAGCCTATTGCAAGGGTCGCAGCAACTGCAAGGTTTGAAAGTGTCTACGTGACTGTCAACACGGTCTTATCAGAAGAGCATGGTCGGTTCCTTGCTCTCTCTTTAGCATTCAATAGTTTGGAAGCATCTGTAAAGCATGTGTACTCCAATGAATCGACCGCAAGCTTCGAAGTCAAGTCTATGGTGTTGTCTTTGATGAACAGCAAGCACCTTGGCCGAATGAACGGAATGTCAGCTATCTTGCATGTCAGTCCAATGAAGGTCGCCGTCAATGCCAAACAAGTTCAAGACTCTTTGCTCTTCAAGGAGATTTGGCTTCCATCCGACAATGAGACTACTTCGAATGAGCCCGACCAGTCAGAACCGTCTGAAGCGCAAACCTATATCGTGCAGCGATACCAACAGGTTGCCTCAGCGTCCGCATTCCCCTGGAACACTACCATCGCGATTGAGAAGCTCGAGATTCAACTCGATTTAGGCTCGACGCTAGGCAAGGCACAATTTGCCATTGTTGATTTGTGGGTATCTACCAGCAAGACATCCGACAATGAGCAGAACATGTGTATCAATTTTGGATCAGTTGCCATCGAGAGTAAGGGTCGCATGAGTGGCATTGTCGAACTCGGAAAGCTGAAGATTCATACCTCCATCGAATGGCCCGACTCCCCTGGAACGGGACGCACACCGTTGATTCAAGCCACGATTGCCTTTCAACACCTCCAAGCCAAGGTGTCATTTGACTACCAACCTTTCTTGGTTGCACATATCGCGATGTTCAATTTCTTGATGTACAATGTTCGAAACACGTCCGACGCGCAGAGTCAGCGCCTTTTCAGTATTCTAGAAGGCGACAAAGTCCAGCTATTCTGCACATCTCTAACAGCATCACAAACTTTGGCGCTATTCCAGGCTTGGCAACGCTTGATTCAAGACGTTCAGGCCGCCTACAAAGCATCACTACTCGAGGTAGAACGGTACCTCCGTCGAAAGTCTTCTACCCTTCCCGAGCGCCTCGAAGTCAGCGCCAAGGATCTAGCAAAGAAAGACAACGACCGACCTGAAAAAGCACCCATCTCTCTACACACCGGTGTCGTCGTAAAAATCCACCACGTTAACCTGGGAACATTCCCCAGCTCATTCTTCGACAACCAGATCTTCAAGGTAGAAGCCCACGATGCCGAGGCCCGATTCGCCGTCTCGCTCGAAGCAAACAAAATCCACAGTGCCCTAGGCCTAACATTGGGCCAACTTCGCGTAGCACTATCCAGCATCACGCGACCCACATCAGCCCAACTTGACGAAATCGCAGTGGACGAGATCGCCGAGCGAGCCGCAGCATCTCGTGGCGGAACAATTCTCAAAGTGCCCCGACTAGTCGCGAGCATGGAAACCTGGCAGGTTCCAGGAACCCATCAGATCGACTACCTATTCCGCAGCACGTTCGAGGGCAAAGTCGATGTCGGCTGGAACTACTCGCGCATCAGCTTTATCCGCGATATGTGGGAGGCGCACTCGCGTGCGCTCGCGTCGCGACTTGGCAAGCCTTTGCCGCCGTCTGCGGTGCGCATTACCGGTGGACCGGGAAGCGGTGGTGAAGGAGGTGGTGCTAGCTCTGAGCAGCAGGAGAAGATTACTGCGGTTGTCAATGTACCCCAGTCCAAGTATACCTATACTGCGCTTGAGCCGCCGGTGATTGAAACGCCGCAGCTCCGGGATATGGGTGAGGCTACGCCGCCGTTGGAGTGGATTGGGTTGCAGCGCGATAAGCTGCCCAATGTGACGCACCAGATTATTATTGTCACGCTGTTGGAGATTGCTAAGGAAGTGGAGGATGCTTATGGCAAGATACTGGGGTCGTAACCTTTTTGGAGGTGCTGCTTTTGCCTGCTACTGGTTCGTTTGGACAATTCTTATCCTTCGTTACGCTTTTTTTTTTCACTTTATTGCCTGATACCAATGTTGTTTTTGTACATTACATCACATCCTTAATTATAGACATACTATTCTTTCGATTCGATATTGAACTTCGGGAAGATGTTGACTGAATAAATCAATAAATCGACCAAAAGAGGTAAAATTGAGAATGAAGCATGTTCCCTGGAACACAAAAAGCAAACCCTTCTACAAAACCGCGATCTCTATCATCTAAAATCGCAAAACTACCAGCGTTAATGCATCCTCCTTGTAATCAAGAAGATTCGTCAAAATCGTAGGCCAGGAACCAATTTACAGACCAAACTGCACGCGCAGAGCGTCAGCAAAGCGCGAAATAGCCTCATCAATCTTCTCCGACGAAGCAGCTGCGAACGTCGCACGGAAGAACATCTTTTCTTCGACAGTGTCATGGTCAGGCTTGAACCAGCTGCCGCGAGAGAGGAGGACACCTTGATCTACAGCGGACAGGAAGATCTCTTCTTCAATAGAGGCGCGAGTCTTTCCTGCGGCAACACCGGGGTGCTTGTGCCAATCGATTTCCACCCAGTGCTGATTAACAAATTAGTATTCTCCAGTTTAAAAGGTGAACAGAATAAAACTTACGAACATGCCAGCCGCGGGGGCTTCCCAGTGAGCGATTTCGCGGGGCAGGTGCTTCTCACAGGCGTGAACGAGCGAGTCACGACGAGCAGTGTACGACATGCGCAGGTTAATCAGCCAATCCAAGTATCCAGAGTGGCCCCAGTGCTCATCGAGCAGTTTGAAGAGCGTGATCTGAGCAATACCGCTAGGGTTCTGCGAGGAAACCTCGAAGGTACGGATGAAGCGCTCGACGATCTGTTCGGAGGCGACGATCCAGCCAACCCGGGAACCAGGCGAGATGACCTTGGAGAAGGACTCGAGGCGGACGACACGACCATCAGTGTCCATGCTCAGGAACGAGGGGACAAGTGACTTGATGAACTCCTCGTGGGTGGAAGGGGGAGGGACTGGGGAAGCGTCCCCGCTGGTGTAAGGTTGCATCTGCAGGAAGTAGTATGGCTCGTCCTCGATGATGATGAGATCGTGCTTCTGGGCGACCTTGTACACTGCATGGCGACGTTCCGCAGACTGGGTGGCACCAGTCGGGTTCTGGCCTGTCGGGATGGTGTACAGCACATACGGCTTGCGTGCACCCCGGGCAGCGACGTCCCAGTTGCTGAGGATTTCGTCCATTTTCTCTGGGATGAGGCCTTCCTCGTCCATTGGGATGCCCACGGCCTTGATGCCCAGGGGGAAGGCGGTCTCGGCGGCGCTAGCGAAGGTATATTCCTCCATGAGGATGTAGTCTCCGCGCTCACAGAAGACGCGAAGAGCAGTGTCCCAGGCATAGGTGCTGCCGGAGGTCAGGGTGCATTGCCAGTCGGAGTAGGGAGGGCTGTGGATGATCTGCTTTATTTAGGTCTCTACTGAGGACTGAGAAGTCTGGCATTTTGTACTTACTTCGGTATGCTCTGTGACAAAACGAAGCAATGGCGCAGCTCCAGTAGCTTGTCCGTAGTTAAGGGCAATCTCCAAGTCTAAGGAATCGGATCAGTCATGGCCATTTCTAATGCATGAATAGAATGGAGACTCACCGTAGTTGCTAGTTCCTTCTTGGATATCATGCTTTCCGGCACGAAGAACCGTGCCTGACTCCCGAGTAGCCTCCGGGGAGAATCCCGGGGCAGTGGGAACTTTGATATCCAAGTGCTCGAAGGGGAAGTACTCAGGTGATGGCAGTCCACCACCAAGGGAAATAAGACCTTTGAAACTCAGTTAGACTATTGATCGAAAGAGAAAGTATTCCGAAGTATTACCTGGGGTTTTCAGGTAACGAGCAGCAGTCTTCAAAGTGGACGCCTAAGGAAAGTGAATTAGCAAGAGTGGGCTTCGCATTGCGCAATTGAGTGCGAACCTTGCGAGACTTGGCTTCGAGTGAAAAATGGTCTAGAGTCGAATGGAAGTAAGCATAAGTGGCATAATTGTGATAAAACCGGTAGATTCGGAATGGGCAAAGGTAGCCATACGCTCAAACCGCTTAGCCTTAGGCTTAGTATAGCAGATCTAATGGTCCCAAACAAATATCAGCAATCCGCGTCCTGCAATTGAGTTCCTTCACTCATATTCTCGTCACGTCTATGCCGAATATAGAATGACCATACCGGGCTCTTAAACATATCACTGTTGGATGCCGCGGCCACGCCGGTGGGGATCTTGGCCATCTTCTCTCTCCATGCCGGCACGCCATTGACGGTCAATGGATCCGGGACAGGGACAGCCGAGGTGTCGGTGACGCCCACCAGGTTGACATCTAGAGCTGTCGGTGGACTCATTGTGGTTTGGCGGTGTAAATGTGGAATGCGGAATCGGAGGGGTATGCGGGGGGTTGTGCGGAAGGGTGTATATAGCGGATTGGTAGGATTGGTCTGGTATGTCTATGAGCTGAGCAAAGTCAGGCTATATATAAAGAGAAACCGAAGGTGCTACAGAGGTCGGCGAAAGCGGAGCGGAAGTTGATCTCTCTCCATCCCGAGAGCTTTCTCCGAAGCACATGACTCATTTTATAAGATAAGAGATATGATCTTTCGAAGGTTTCCATACGAATTTTGGGGTCAATAGGTACGATTTCTGTGGATTGTATGCACTGACATGTCAAAGGGCGCGGGATTTTGCTTTTTAATTGGATTAGTTTTAGGTATCTTTTGGGTCTTGCATACAAAATATACAGATGCTGTGCGTTTTCTTTGTCACATCTATGCGCAATATAATACTTTTTTTGGCCTTTTCACTTATTAAATGTTACTTCTTGAGTTGTCCTTTTCTCATATTCGCCCCTACTAGTGTATGTAGCTAATAGTGGTAACTAGGTAGACTAGGTATAGAGGGTGAAAAAGTTGAAACATACAGATAGATCGTTCCATGAATATATATTATAGCAACGGGAAAGCGATTCAATATAAATTATATCTATGCATATATTTTATAGGATAATGGCCAGGATGGAGTGTTGATGTTTCCTGCGCAACACCTATGGCTGGTCTTTCGGACATGAAACACCTGATGTCAACCATCTCCCCCCATATCTCATGCTGAATGGAAGCCCAACGATCCATTGACCTACACTGAGTGTTGTTGAATGACAGTCTCTAAAGATGTCGATCACCGAAGAGTGGGCAACCCCTCTAGGACAAAGGGATCTGTATCTTTGTATGGGACGTACAATAGCTACAGCAGTACTACACAAAATCCAGGTTTCGGAAGATATAGAGCTACAGACCCAGGTCAAGGTAGAATCGAGTACTTTTCGACCTTCTTCTATCTCTAAGTACTCTACAACCTCTTATACTCTCCGAGTTCCATGCTCTCACGAGCTCCCCACATATTTGCCGGTAGTCCCGTCAAGCTGGGCTTCCAGCACTGCGGCCTTGCCATCCAGAACACTTTGAATAGCTTCTGGAAGTTTCTGAGCGAGCTCAGCAACAGTCGAGGCACGGCCAGCCCATAACTCCCCACCTGCCGCGGCCTTGGCAATACCAGCATAATCTGGCGTAGGCGCAAAGGAGATGTTAAGGTCTTCGTTTGTAGCACGAGAGCCGTCTCCTTCGGGGTGAACGAGCAGCATGCTACGCCTGGGGGCATTCCAACCCTTGTTATTCAGCACGATTGTCAAAATAGGGATTCCATAGCGGCGGGCGATCCAGTACACAGATCCCGGCACCGAGAAGAGGAATGTTCCATCGCCGACCACCTGGCAGATAAACTTGCCCTTCCCACGTCCTCCATGCTGCATGTCACTGGCAAGCTTGATACCAAGTGCACCACCGCCAGACCAGCCGAGACCACCACCTCCACAGTTGATCCACGACTTGGGTTGGGTAGCTGAGACTTGATCCGCAACAAAGTGGCTCATGGTCACGGCCTCGATTGCCCAAATAGTATCAACCGGAACGCCCTGGCGGACCTGCGCCATGAGATAGTTAATGTTCAAAGAGGCTTCGCTGCCACCCTCCGGGACTACAGCCAGATCGGAAATCTCTTGTCGACGCTACGAATACTCCTTGTCTCGGTGTTGGCCCATAGTGAGATTCTCCTCGGAGGTAATGAATTGCCGCAGAGACTCTTGAGAAGAAACGTAATTGTTGATCTGTTTGAGCGCCGTGGAAGCGTCGGCGCGGAACGTGGCCATTGAATTGATATAGAAAACCGGAATCTGCTGCTTCAAAGGGTCGACATCAATGTGAATGATTTTGGCCGACGCAGATGGCTTGAACTGAGTAGGCACCCAAGGGACATCACAGTCTATCACAAGGATTAGATCGGATGCCCCCACCGCGTCATGGCCTGGATATCTCAATCCCAACCATCCGGGGTGATTAGCAGGGAAGCACATGTCGCTACCACCAGTGTCTAGCACACGGATCCCCTTGAAGCTATCTGCCAATGCGACCAGCTCAGCCACTGCTTCAGATTTCCTCCCAGAATAACCAGTAATGATAAGAGGGCTCTTTGCCGCGGCAAGCTCAGATGCGATTAATTCAACGCCGGAGGTTGGCAGGGCAGCCGGTAACACAGGACCCCAGACAGCCTGGTTCAAGTGATACGGCTCGATATCCTCCTCCATGACCTCTCGTGCGCCAGCAAGGTACACAGGCCCCTGTGGGTCACTAGTTGCGAATTGCAAAGCGCGGTTGACAATTTGCTTAACATTCTTGCCGGACTTGATCTCACCCGTGTACCGACAATACTGGGAGACGATTTGCTTCTGATCCGGCACGTCTTGAATCCAGTGGATATACTCCGTGCGTGAACCTCGCATCTCACCCTCGATTGTGTAAGGCGATAGACCGGCAAAAATCAGAACCGGGGCGCGTCCGCATGAGGCATTGTGAACTGCTGCTCCGAGTCCCTGTGTGCCGACATCGACATGGACGATTACTGCTTGTGGCTTTCCAGTCAATCGGGCATAGCCGTCTGCCATGGAGAGCGCCACCATCTAACGAACGCATTTGATCGTAAGCGGGGCTCTCATTCATACCGACTCTAACCGTAGTGCCGCTACCCTTGGTGGGTCACATGATGCAATTGTTAACGTACCTCATTGGGACAGGTAATGATCGTAGGGAATTCGTCTTTCTTTTCTTTCTGGCCTTTTACCATCGCCTCCAGGATGGATGGGTGGTCTGATCCCAAATTGACAAAGACATGGCTGACGCCGCCCTGGGGTTGTCGAGGTTAGAATTCAATGGATGCCAAGTACAGCTGCTACCACAGAGCACCTATGTAGTACATACCTCCCAGAGGGCTTCAAAAAAAGCAAAAGATGCTGTATAAACCCTTTTGTTATGTGAGCAAGAACATTCCTCGATGTTTGTAATGTGGAACTTCATACATGGCTGAGCTCTATACTATAAAAGGTCGGATAGCAGGAAGAAGGTGCTGGTTGTCTGTGAGTATTTGTGTCTCAAGAGCAAAATGGAGGGGAAGGTCATTGCTAATAAAGATCAAGATCTGTGAAGCCTCCAGTTGGGATATCGGCCACAACTCCGAGGGCGGGGGCCCGAAGGAACACCGACTGCCTTTCAAGAATTCAAATATATATTTCTCGGTTATAACTGATTTGAAAGGAACATCTCCGATCTTGATCAGCTCCATGTTTGGGCCAATAATTGCGGCCATTCGATGAACCGCGGTTGATCAGGCTTGTGCCGGGAATCAGTCTCCGAACTACATGGAAGATCTCATATTGGGTCTACAGCAGTAAAGTCATGAGCATAGCCTACCTTCAAGTCTATGAAAACCCATGATTGACGATTGAGCACACCCGTAAAGCAAGGAAAGCGAATTTGGTTCAAAATGAGATCTGTAATAAGGAACCGTAGAAGGAACTATTACATAGGACTTCATCCAAATTTCAACAGTAAGCGCTATCTGATCTATGAGACTTTATGTCCAACATTGTACTCAAGGGATTCATTCGTTCATGTTATATATATATACTATTTGAATATTCGGCACCAGCTCACTATCCCCACAATGAAAATGAACACCAGTCACTCAGAACTCTGTTGGACACTTTTCCCAACATAGCAGTGGATATATAGCCATCTAGTTAATATAAAATCGGAGTTTGACCCAGGGCAGGGTTATAACATATTGTATTTTTCTCTTTAGGAATAGTTAAATGGCAGTCATGAATTGTACACAGCCAATTGTCGACCAAAATACAAGATGAATAATCCTTATTCCTAAACAAAAACGCCCCTTTTGAGGCCACAAGATCTACCGAGCACATCGGAACCCGCTTTAGATTGCCCATATACGATCTCGGCAAACTGTCCCCATTTCGCTAGTGGGATAGATCGTGGGAAGCCACGTCAATTATAATTGGTCAAATAGCTTCTCGGGGTCCCCTGTATTCATTACCTAGTCCCTCCTAAGGAAGCCCAGATATTAATTTGGCGTGATAGGCATTCATCGCGTACGGCTTTGGGTTCAAATTCGGCTAGGACCTGTGGGCTATACGCCCCTGTGTCGCTATAATCGCTTATGCTTCCTTCCGATCAATCTAGGCGCCGAAATAATGGGCGCTGGCTGTGGATAATGTTACAAAAACTCACTAACGCTGGCTTCGATGGGTCCTTCGCTACAGAGTGTCCGGGGATCTTGGTCAATCTCGAAAATATATGAAGTCTTGATTCCCTTATCGTCAACAGCTTCTGGATAATCTTTTCTTTGTACTCTTTCCCCCCCTATCTTGGTGGTCCTGTATCATCCAAAAAAAATATTAATTTTTTTTCCGAGTACCCGCTTCAAGTGCGACTGGGATTCGAATTACGGAGGCAATGAATGAATGACTGGGCCTTTCGATTGAAAATTAGAGCAGGATCATAATGGGAGCCTCAATGCCTCTTGTGGGCCGAAGTCTCGCTATCTTCGTCGTCGCAGTCGTGATGATGTCTATCTCCATTGTGACGGTTTTATTACGAACTTTTGTGCGATTAAATGTCATCCATGCGTTTGGTTGGGATGATGCTTTGATGGTTGCTGCATTGGTACAGTGATCCTGTATGATGTGCTATGGTGTGGTAGGATCCTAATTTGCTATAGATTCTTTTTATACTTTTGAATGCCTGCTGCATGATTGGAACAATGCATGGGGTAGGGCACACGAGTACAGATTTTACCAGTATGGAGGTTTACAAGAAAGCACTTGTGGTATGTGATACTCCTATTGGGAAATCTCCCTGCTAAATGTCTTGTCTAGTGGTGGTGGCTTGGTCAAATGCTCTACATCTGGGCCTCAGCAGTTGCCAAAATATCAATCGCCGTTGCGCTTCTCCGGTTGGCCATTGCAAAGTCTTACCGAGTGATACTTTGGAGCATTATCTCTGTTGCCATTGCTATTGGACTAATGTTCTGGCTTGTGCTACTCCTCGCCTGTAATCCGATCTACTACTTTTGGGAACGAGTGGATGCAACCAGCACCGGAACATGTATACCCATGTCCACAATTTTGGATATTGCGTATTTTTACAGCTGCGTGACTATATGTTGTGATGTAGCGCTTGGCCTGTTACCCGCTTTCCTCGTCTGGAAACTGCAAATGAATAGCAGGACGAAGCTTGCAGTAGGAGGAATTCTCGGATTAGGGGCCATGTACGTGATATCGGACCCGGCCGTTCTGAAGAGAACTTGATTGCTAACCATACACAGTGCGGCTGTAGCAGTGATATGCCGACTTCCCTTCTTACAATTTTATCCCGATGAGAATTTCCTTTGTATGTCAGCCAAGCCATTTGTCTCGCAAAATCTAACATTCTCCAGACTCTACCTACCAGATCGCCATCTGGTCTCTCATTGAGACCGGCCTCGGAATTACCGCAGGCAGTCTGATCACTCTCCGACCATTATTCCGCTGGCTCCTGGATGCAAATTCGACTCATAACCACAAGTCACCCCTCCAAGGAAAATATTCAAAGCCATACCGACTGTCCAGTTTGCAAAGTCAGGCCATCAGAGAATCGCAGAACACGAAATACTGGCGCCCCGATGTCGACCCCGACAACAACAAGAGTACAATTGTTGCGGTTTCGTCGCAGCGGAAAAATAAACTCAACCTTAGCAACAGCAGCCAGGAAGCCTTAAACCCCGAGCCGATCTCGCCAAATCATGTCACGATACAGAAGACCTTTGTACAAACAGTTACAGAAGGCAAAAATTAGGGTATCTTACAATGTACAAGGATTATTGATTCACTTAGACCTCTGGAGTTTTAGCGCATCTGTACAGCCCCCCCTCTCCCCTGATCAGGATCAACCATATACCCCGGCTTTTAGCACAACAACCCTCAAAAAGTCCATCTCACGTATTTTTATCTCAGGTGCGGCCCTCCCGAGCAAGTCTATAGCTAGACCGCCTTGTTGCTGATCTTTGCACCCTGAAGATAAGGCTGAGCATGTGGGGCTGACGCAGCTGGGGCCATCTGCATCGATGCCTGAGCTACTATTGGCTTGGCTATGGTAAGCTGATCCTATGAAGTGCTTTCATCCTTGTCGCAGCTGAATAGAACACGAACAACGGGGCACCTAGGTGACTCGAAATCGGGTTAGGCTTCCCTGGGTGGCCTTGAGGGCCGTGAGGCTTATGCAGGTGAACAAAATAGATGATTCAAAGCGATCTCGAGATGGATCCCATTCGTGCAGCAACACTAATAAAAACCTAAACAAGAGTGTAAATAAAAAAATATATAGACAGACTCGTACCCACCTACTAACTTTCTTCATCTCCACATCCACATTACAATCCATCGTACTTGCACAATGTCTCTATGCTCCGATGTTCACGAGCCACCATATAAAGTCCGACAGAGAAGGGACTCGATGGCTCGACCAATCCGCAAGCGCATCATCATTTGCTGCGATGGAACATGGCAGTCCGCCGTCTCGGGGAAGAAAAACGTCCCATCTAATGTGACACGTCTCTGTCGCGCCCTGAACAGTGTCGGGACGGACGAACAAGGAAACCAATGGCAGCAAATAGTCTGGTATGATTCCGGAATTGGCACAACCTCAGGTCCTTTTGGAAAAGCGATCGAAGGTGCCGTTGGCTTAGGACTGGAAGGAAATGTCGTCGAAGCGTATAACTTCTGTGTCCTGAACTACAGACCCGGCGATCAGATTATGTGTTTTGGTTTCTCAAGGGGCGCATTCACGGCCCGGGCCATTGCCGGGTTGATCTCGGATATTGGTATTTGCAATAAACAGGACTTGAACCGATTTCCCGATCTCTGGAAGGTTTACAAGAAGAATAAGCCCGGCGAGCGGTTCTATTGCAGTGACCTCTGGTTTGAGTGGATGGATGGCAAGGCCGATGAGAACCAGGGCGCTCGGGGCGAGACTTTTGTATTTGAAAAGCGTCCCGAGGGCGATTGGGCTCAGGAGGGGTCAAGGGATGTCGAAGTTGTTGGCGTCTTTGATACGGTCGGCGCTATTGGAATGCCTGAGGTACTGGGAGTCAAGCTACCATCATGGCTCTTATGGTGGTCGCCGCACAAAGGTGGTTGGGAAAACGTTGGACTTTCACCTAGTAAGTATCCTGAACTATTTTTTGTCTTCTTGTCCGAGGGTTTCATGGTTGATAAAATACTGACAAGCGTTCCTCAGATGTCAAACATGCGTTCCAGGCTTTGGCCCTCGATGAACACCGCAACGCCTTTTCGCCTACCCTATGGTATCTCCACAAGTTTGGAAATGTCACTTCAGAGCAGATACAAGCCCAGAAGAAGATTATTGATCAGAAAGCTCAAGAATGGGACGAAGTCTTACAAGATGCGATCAGCCTCAAAGGTAGCGGCAGGGCTAGTGATGAGGACGTTAACAACGCAGCTCGCAAGCTAAACGAGACAGCTAGATCCTTGAACCAGGAGACTCGAAAGCTCATCAAGCTGGAGGATGACCACAAGCACCAACGTCATCCCCGAACATTGAAACAAGTGTGGTTCCCCGGTTATCACATTAACATTGGTGGAGGTTCGAGTGAAACGCTCGAAGATGAGGGTGACATGGAAGAAATGTCTAATATCACCTTCTACTGGATGTTGGACCAGATCAGACCCTACCTGTCTCTCAACGACGAGGCTCTTTCTGATGAGAGAGAAGAGAGAGAATATCATATGTCGACACTTGTCGAAGACACAGTCAATAACGGGTCCCTGGTAAGCTGGGCTCAACGCAAAGCTGCAGCAATAACCTCTGTTTTCAAACGTCCCTCCGCCTCATCTGTCAAGTCTGTCGAAAAGCGACGCGGCTATGGCTGGGGAACAGGACCACTGGAAGACAGCTTTACGGCATTTTACTACGCCAACGGCTCGAAGAGACGCACACCTGGCGGCTATGATCCTTTCGACAAAGAAGGAAATCTACTGGGGGAGACCTTTGAGTTTATTCATCCAGTGGTGGGATTTAGGGAGAAGCAGATCAAAAATTATACACCCATTGGGCATGATGTCAAGTTTGGGCGTCGGAAGGCCGTTGACGAGAAGGGCCAGCCTTGTTATGTCTATGACCTGGGGAAGGCACGCAATCCCTTGCCCGAGTGGCGCTTAGGGGGACTTGACTCTTATGAAAGGATTGCTATCACTGGAAAGGCTGCGTACGATTATGTCGACGAACTAGATCTGTATCTGGAGACTGGGGTCAAGACATCCCGTCGGTCTGTTTGGGGAGCTCGAGATATTGACCTTGGGATTGAAGTGCCTAGAGTCACTGAGCCCGAAACCATTGGGTCCAGAGCTGGGAGTGTGCAATCGGAGTTTAAATCGGAGAAATCTCAACAGAGAAGCTTCGAATGGACGGGCTTTGGAACCAAAGGAATGCAGTTGAGGAGCTCAGAGATCTCATACACGGAGGAGACAATAACTGTGATGTGATTGTGATTTCTTTCAACAATGTACAGAAAAGAATGTATTGGCAGGTATATGTGGATGGCAACCCAAACAGGTGTGCCTTTGATTCGGACAGGGCTTTATGTATAGTTTCGTGAATATTTTATTTTATAATGATAATTACAGTCTGAGGTCCTCTGCAATTCTTGGTATTGGCATAGTGTTTGATATCTCCCAAGCATACATCAGTCAGACTCAGCGCAAAGATTGTAGACTTTCTATAGATCAAGCCCTATGATCAGGAACAATAATGTACTGTTTATCTTGTGGGGTATTCGACGTCATAGGGCTGAATATCAAGTTCGAAAAAGGCTGGGCATTCCAGAATAGACCAAATGATTAGGCACCACAATTCTTTTCGACTGATTGATTTTCTCCATCTAGACCCATTTATCTCATAGACTACGCAGTCGAAGCCTCTTAGAAGCGAGAAATCTTAGGGCTGCCCTACGTCATCTCAGTCATGAATGGTATATTCCACCCGTGGAACGTTTCTGGAACAATATTGAACTGCTTTGAACTTGTCAAGTTACTTGCTGCTATTTGCTCTTTTTCTGTCGTTGGAATTATTTTGATCATTCGACAACCCCCAAGTTTCAATCGAATTCAATACAAAATGGTATCCCGCAAGGTATACAATATGTGTCAAGGGCAGACAGTGACTTCAGAGTTAGCTCGTGACCCATCGCAGTGTCCGCAGAAGGTCTTCCATGAGCTGTTCGAGAGTCATCATGCGTCGCGTACATACGAGGGCAGAGAAGAATCAGATATCGACAAAGCATCGGAATGGGAGACATTGAATGAGCTGCAGAAAGCTCGCGCTTGCGGGAACTTCGGGTCCGTGGAAACCAGTGATCTATTTCTAAAGGTGAATTATTTTGATGTATCAACGATGAGGCAGGAGAACCTAACAGATGTTAAACAGGTTTATCATGACGCCTTATGTTGTTTAGAAAAGAACCCAATGTCAGGGGTTGTATCGCCCCAGCTGATGGGGAGCACAGGAGTTCTACCACTGACGATTGTCGCCCCGTTACCTGATCTCTGTCGCCATTTAGCGAATTGTATTGTGCGTGCTGAACATGAAGTCTTTTTGGGTACCAATTTCTGGATCCACTCGGACGCATCAACATTAGTGACGAATGCCATTCGGGAACTTTCCAAACGAGCAAGCGAAAGGGGACAGAAAGTAGTTATGAAGATAATCTATGATCGTGGAGATCCTCGTCAAGTGAGTGCTCTTATAATATGTATCGGTTACGATCTGCAGAGATGGTTCTAACTGCTAATGAAACCCTAGGCATGGGACAATAGATTGAGTGTCCGCGAGGACCAATATGTCGGCGGAAAGGTGAAGCTACCCGCTGCGAGTGAGATCCCCAATGTTGATCTCCAAGTCATCAACTTCCACCGGCCTGTCTTTGGAACCTTCCATGCAAAGTTTACTGTTATTGACCGGCGGATGGCTATCATACAGAGCAGCAATATCCAAGACAATGATAACCTTGAGATGCTAGCTCACATCGAGGGGCCGATCGTTGACTCTTTCTATGATACTGCTCTGTTGTCGTGGGGAAAGCTTCTCGACCCGCCATTTCCACTCCTGAACTCTCCAGCGAGGGATGCTCCGATACCATGCCACGCGACAAAGAACAATGATATGTCTACGGAGAATGGAGATGGGCCTCTTCCTGAGCATACTACAAACTCTCCATACTATGATAGGGACCTGGAACAAGAGGCCCGGAGAGTCAACGGATGTATTTATCCACAAAGTGACGAAACACGCACACAGGCTGTCAGCCGTCATCTTAGTATGTGAAGTTTGTGGAATGTTTACGACATGCCTAACAAGCAACCAGATACCACTATCCAGCCCGACACAACAGGCGATGCACCAGAAACCGACCAGGATAATATGTTCAACCCTTATATGGTCCTACCTCGCCACGAGCCCTTCGCAATGGCAATGGTGAACAGGGAACCATATGGGTGTAAGTCCAGACCACAAAGACAAGGTTCCTCAAGCAGCCGAGCATGACTCTAACTCCCCATTTCTTCAAGCTCCAAACCATAGCAGCATCTACACCCCGCAAAATTCAGCGTGGCTGTCCGCAATCAATAACGCCCAGCATTCAATCCTCATTCAGACACCAAACATGAACGCCGAGCCTCTAATAGAGCCACTCATTGACGCCGCCCGTCGCGGCGTCATGGTGTCTTGCTATCTCTGTCTTGGCTACAATGACGCAGGCGAGCTCCTCCCGTTCCAAAACGGAACCAACGAAATGACTGCGAACAGGATGTACAACTCGCTTGATACCAACGAAGAGAAATCTCGTCTGCGAGTATGCTATTATGTCGGCAAGGACCAGACTCGCCCGATTCATAATAGCTTCAAGAAGCGGAGCTGTCATATTAAGTTGATGATCGTTGATGAGCAGATTGCGATTCAAGGTGAGTCCCAAAAACACCAGGAGAGAAACATGTTTCATCCAAGTATCTAACATTTTTTTTTCCAGGAAATGGAAACCTTGACACCCAGTCATTCTTCCACAGCCAGGAAGTCAATGTCCTTATTGATTCTAAGCTCGTTTGTCAAGCTTGGACGGAGTTGATCAATCGCAACCAAAATACTGCTAAATATGGCGCTGCGAGTGAGAAGGATGGCTGTGTTCATGATCCTGAGACTGATGAGATTCCGGCTGGCTCGATTGGACCTGTGCCGGGTCGGTTCAGTTGGGCCAAGGGGGTCATTGGTGCTGTGCAGCGAGTGAGAGGTGTTGGGGGATTCTAGAAGTCCATTTGCTCATGTGCTTGCTTCTATTGGGACTTTTTGATAGAGCGATTGCAAATTATGTTATGAGCGCTTTTGACAATCTGAATGATCTTTGGGTTCATGGATATACTCAGCTTTAGTGTTGGGGTTTGATCTATCATCGACGATATATGATAATAATGGATTTTATCTAGCTCTTCTAGAGGACTGGAAACAGTCCCTTCCCATCTACTCTAATTGTACAACATTAACCGAGGCGAGATGAGATAGGAGGGCATAAAATTGACAGTAATGATAACGGTTCTCACCGAGGTAAAGGAGCAACAGTGGACCAATGCTTATAGCGAGCTGTCCGAAGAGGGTGACATAGTGTGACTACAAGGCCAATAACGCGACCGGGTGATTTCAAGAAATCCACCGAGGACTTCTACAACATGTACAACATACTCTGCACCGAACATTGCCAAAATGATACATTTCATCGTCTCCCCACTTTCACAGCGTACCAGTCCCAGAGTAAACCAAACCTCGACTAAAACACCCATCCATACATAAATGTCTCGTCCATATGACCAACCAATAATCGAGATAGTGGAATATGTCTACCACTACACCCTCGGGCAAGACGAAGAAGCGATCTTGAAATGCGCGCGGACAGCGCTACTGGACGCAATGGGCTGCGCCATCGAGGCAGCAGCGACGAGCACCGAATGTCGAAAGCTGCTCGGTCCCGTGATTGAGGGGACAACAGTGCCAGATGGATTCAAAGTCCCAGGAACAGAGTTGCAGGTCGATCCCGTGAAGGGGGCTTTCGATCTGGGTGTCCTGATTCGGTACTTGGACCATAATGATGCGCTGGGTGGTGCGGAGTGGGGACATCCTTCAGGTATGGGTTGTTGACGACATGGGGATGCGAAATATGCCCGTGGGACTAATATATGGATTTCATTGCAGATAATCTCGCTGCTATAATCCCAGTCATGGATTGGTTATCGCGTGCAGGTTTGTCTGGTCGGCGGGCGCATGATGGCCCGCCATTGACTATGCAGATGCTGCTCATCGCTCTAGTCAAGGCGTATGAAATACAGGGGTGTTATCAAATGCGGAACGCGTTTAATGCTTATGGAATTGACCATGTGGTACTTGTCAAATTGGCTTCTGCTGCTATTGTTTGTTGGTTGCTTGGAATGGCAGAGGAGCAAGCTATGGCGACTATTTCTCATGTTTGGATGGATGGCCATCCCAACCGGGTGTATCGATCCGGCGAAAATACTATTCCGAGAAAAGGGTGGGCAGCAGGCGATGCGGCGAGGAGAGCTGTGCAATTGGCTCTACTAATACAGGACGGCCAGCCTGGTTCGCCGGGGGCGTTGAGTGCAAGGCCGTGGGGGTTTTTGGAGCGGACTTTTGGCGAGGCGGGATTTGTACTTCCACGACCATTTGGCTCGTGGACTGTACAGAATGTGCTGTTCAAAAGTATGCCAGTAGAAGGGCATGCGATCTCGGCTGTGGAGGCAGGAATTTTGCAAGCGCGTCAATTTGGACAGAAGGGCCTGTCCGACCCTCTTAACCAGATCAAGCGAATATATCTTCGAACGACTGCTGCTGCCTTTTTGATCGTGAACAAACATGGGCCGCTGCAAAACGCTGCTGATCGTGACCACTGCATTCAGTATGTGGTTGCCTTGGCTTTCTTGAAGGGGAGTCCGCCAGAGGCTGCGGACTATTTAGACAAAAGCCCATGGGCAAATAGTGAGGAGCTTGAAGCCCTGCGAGAAAGGATCGTGGTGCAGTCCGACCCTAAGCTCACGGAAGACTACTTGGATCTGGACAAGAAGAGTATTGGTGCAGGCATGACGGTCCATCTGGCAGATGGGTCCTCGTTGCCTGAAATACTGATTGAGTATCCCGTAGGACATGCGCGGAATCCGAAAACACCAGCTGCAGTACAGGAGAAATTTTTCCAAAATATGGGGCTTATGTTCTCTGCAGCAGAGATCAGTCGGATATTGGGTGCTGTTCAGAATCCAGATACCTCAATCTCGGATTTCATAGACATGTTTATCCAGCCATCGACCAAGGCAAGATGGTAGAAGGCAAAACTATTTGCAGGGATCATGGGTCGCGTGTACTAGCCAAAAAGGATGATCTTGTTCAGGGTATCTAGTGCTGGCGTTCGCTTCTCTTCAATCGATTCTCCCAACCCCCTGCAGCGTCAAATAAACATCTGTTCCCCATCCCCACAGACTTTGTACCGCAATACTGCCGCCGAAGTACTCAGCGTAGGCTCGGCCGAGAGGCAACCCATAGCCAAGACCTGCAATACTGCTGATGTGGCCACCGCCAGCAGAGATGGTGTTCAAGGCATCCATATTGCCATTGTCTGAGCCCTGATAGTCCATATCGGAGAAAGTCGTAAAGCTGTACGACCAGATATGGGGTAGAACCTCAGGTGGAATACCACCGCCACGGTCACGGATACGAATTGTGATACTTTGAGACGAGGGAGCGGAGTAGCCGATGGTTTCATTCTCATTAGTACCGGCAAGCTCTGAATCAAACTCGAAGCCAGCATCGGCATCACCCGGGACCTTAGGCTCATGTCCAGGCACATCTGGAGCAGCAGCGATCGTCACCTCAATGGGCTCACGCTCATTCCCATTTTCAATAGTTGCCCGGAATGCGTTCTTCAACAGCTCTGTAATAATGTACTCCACATGTACAGGGATATGGGCAAATGTGGCCTCAGGCTCACCGCCAATCTTCAAACGCGGTCGCACTCCGTACTTGAGCTCACAGATTTCTCCAACGAATTCCTCGCATAGCCGGATGATGCGTGCCGGCTGCAACGCCGTATCGATGACGCCGATATAATTTGATGGAATTGAGTTATTTGGCGCAGGTGCATCAGTGGAATCGGCCAGGTTATCACTGATGGGCTGAGAGGCATAATGAAGAGCTAGATGCTGCTCTGCGATCAATCGCGTACCGATGCGCGCACGTAAATGCGTGTCCAAGAAGCTCGTCACGTCAGCCGGGCTAACATATTTCCTACACTCCAAAAATCCGCGTGCAAGGACGGGGATTGTATTTGTATGCGTTTGTACGAGGTCTGCTAGTACATCCCCAAACTGTTTCTCTTCTTCGAGAGTCGTGATGCGGCGCTGTTGATATGGTATGAGGGTCGATAGCGAATGGAGGTAATTGTGGTAGATTTTGGAGACATGGGGGTTTGAGACGACGATAAAAGGGAGGTTTCTCAAAGCTTGAATCCGAGAAGCTAGTCGGGCGGGGAGGAGGGAGAGTGTGAAGTTGGCAGAGGCTAGAAGAGCCTCCTTATTCAATGGTGGGCGGCCGTGCCTAGGGGATTAACATAATTTAGCATAATTTCCTTCTGCTTTGGTGTGAACTGTATATGAATATGACTGACTTTAGCAGGTCTGCAAGTGTCAACGGCCGACGGGGACTTGCAGCCAGCTGCGCAACATGGTCTTTGGCAACTTCGAGTGGGCGACCTGCCCAGTTTTCACTCTGCGTGGATGTTTGCCGACGAAGGCGATGTGCAATCGGAAGGGCTCGGCATCCAGGCCGAAAAGGCATCGCTTTAAGTATTGAGGTTGTCATTGTGAATTGCCATGAGATAGAGATCAGTGGAAGTTCACAGTGAAACCTCGGGACGGAAGATCTGCACCGGTGCGGATATCATCGGTCCAACATTGCAGATCAACAGGGGTCAAGACTTCAAAAGTTGTTATTTTTCACTTAAAGATATATGTTGTATTTTATGTTGATTTCTCATGGATATTGCACAGGGCTCATTCAAGTTTAGATTCATACACCCTATGGACATAAGTCAAGCTGATAGTTGGATTCAGGAAAAGCGCTCCATCTGTATGAATGCCTGTACCTCTTTTGGAAAAGGGACTCATAGGATGCACATGGCATCTTGGATGAAAGCAGATCGCATAATTGGTATCAAGTCATCTCGCTGAAGCAAAATAAAACAAAATCATAAACAAAAGAGCCCCCAGGTGTCGTGTTTCCATTTGGTCATAAGGCGGAACATTCACAGCGACTGCAGTCTTCCGTCCTAGCCATGTTGACTAGGGACATTTATTGAGTCTCCACAGCACCGTCCTGCTCAACATGGACATGTTCAGTAGATTCGAAGGACTGGACGTTGTCATCAGGGAATTCGACACTGTTGTTGATCTATATATTAGTACGCGCCTGGCATAGATCCGACCAACACTTACGTGAAACCTTTGATGATGCTATATTCATGCCTGATGACGCCGCCCTTCTCCCTAGCGGTATCCTTGGCCCTGAGAAGATATATCAGTATCAAAATCCCTTGAAGATGATGGTAATGCAACACACTTTTCCAGTTCCTCGACGGGAGCATCGGCCTTCAGAGTGATCTAAGGAGATGTTAGTCCGGATAAATACTTCGAAATGAAGTTGGACTCACGTTGTAAAGAGGCATGGTGTCAGACAGTGGGATGTTAGAGTGGAGAAAGAAGGGAGATCGAAAGAAAAGAATTTATAGGAAGGGAGAGGGGCTGAGGGGGGTTTGAGGCTACACTTTATTTTTTTGGGGGGGGAACCTTGGAAGATGCTTTGAAGCAGGTACCTTCCATACCTCTTCCAATCACTCTTTATCTCTCTCACCTTGTCACACTATCTATAGGTATGTGCATGTACATGTATACCTAGGTAATGAATACTTGAAATGATTTGTCAGTTGGTGATTGGTATCCTTGTCTTACATGGACTTTGAGAAATCTCTTTGAAAACTGGATTTTATATCATCCCTTGCTAATCTCGTTTCTGTATAATTCTAATGCCTTTCAAAGGGGAGTCACCATTGATGTAACAACGCAAGACAATGACATCATACCTAAACGCGGGGCAATATGTCTTGCATACTATTCAACGCTTCAATAAACGACTATGATTTTGTGATTATCTTAAACTCCGATGTAACCATCCTCGTTGCGGGAAGGCATCTTCATCCCGTGCATTCCCTTGTACTTAGGGCTTTCTGGAGCCGTCCACCCCTCCAGGACCTTGTCATCTGCCAGTTGATATACCTCGACACCTAATGGACGGCAAGTGGCTCCCATATCACCCTCCTTATCATCCCAACCCCAGTTGGATAAATCACCTAAGAGTATCATTAGCATGAAAATAAGACATTCGTGTATGACGGTGCCATACCGCCAGGGCATGCAGATAGCGCACAGAGAACATCCACTTCTGCAAAGAACTCAAAGTATTCGCCCGCTTTTGCAGGGGAGGTCTCCATAAAATATTTCCCATCCTTATCTAGCCCCGTCACTTGAAACACATTCAAGACATCGTGGACGTCCAGCTCCGTCAGTCCATGGGGGACGACAGAGCGAGTCAAGTTCGAATGACAGTGGAAGTCAAAGGTCTCTCCACCCATTAGCAAGTTCACGTAAGGATCACATCGAGTGCCCATCAAATCATGCACCCGCCCTCCAAATTGCGTAGTCCCAAACACAACCTCTGGGTTGCGCTTCCCATCTGGTCCAAGCACGTCATGCAACTGCCCGCCACCCAACGAGTCACCCGTGATTGTTACAAGGGGCCGCAGGTACGGCAGGTTTGACCACAGTCGATCACCCACTGAGACGTGGGAGGCGTGGATCTGTCGGGTACGCGCAGCCCACATTCGTTCTCGGGGGTTATTTGCGTTCCAGATATTCAGGTCGCCCACCTGGGGTCCCTTGGGCGTGGTCAGACGGCAGATGTGGCCGGCGGGAACGATCCACGCTTGGGCGGAGCATGGTCTGATAGTAAATGATTCCTTTGGGATCCGTGCAGAGGGGGTAGATGCGGTTTCAGAGATTGACCGGTACAACTGCGAAGTTGCATGAACCCCCGAATCGGGCGGTGCTGTGTAAGCTGGGGGTGGCTGACGTGTAGACATTGTACGCGCTTTGCGGGACTGTATAGAAATTGGATGCTACACAAAGTTCTCGTAGACGCGGTGCGAGATTGGATTCATAGAATATGGGTGGAAGATATGGAGGACTTTATAGCTCTAAATAATCGGAGGATTCCCGATATCAACAGTTTCGGCCCCGCATGATGGCCGCGAAGGGAAATTACAGCCTACAATTTCTAAAGAAGTGCATTGTGTGAGATAGGGAGCGCTATCGGGCGGAACCTAGTGCCGTAGACTGAAGGAAAGCTCAAGCAGCGGGGTTCTCTCATGTCTCATGGCTCGAAGTGGAGCCAAATGGCCGGGCCGGTGGGGGATGGAGATTTCTGCCTCAGGCCAAGACCGAAGATAGGTTGATGCCTTAGGCCTGAAAGCATCTGATATCCTGACTAAGGCTTATCCACTCCGCTTTGGCAAAAAAATAATTACTGCTAATTTTCTAGCCGTTGGGGAAGTCCTCTGTCTTGCGCTCGCTTTCTTTCTTTTGATAAAACCAGTGGATCTGTTGAGGTATTATACCTCTTTACAGATATCATGGAGCAGCAGGCCAATAGGGCGCATCGCCCCGCCAAAGAGAAGAAGAAATTTGAGGGTACGATGAGACCGCTCCGATAAATCTGCAAACTTTCTGCTTTTGAGCCAGGCTAAATTGATCTCTTCTTTACAGGTGCTAATCCGAAAGCATTCGTCACTTCCAGACCTGGAAAGCTCAACAAGCAGGCTGCGCGATCGCATGATGTATGTATATGGCGTTTTTTCTACCGTTCAATTGATGCTGACCCGGACTTCTCTTCTAGGTCAGAGAAAAGAGGCTCCATGTCCCCCTCGTGGATCGTATGCCCGAGGAGGCCCCGCCAGTCGTCGTCGCAATTGTTGGACCCCCAGGAGTTGGAAAGACCACCCTGCTCAAGTCTTTGATCCGCCGCTACACCAAGCAAACCCTTAGCTCGCCGCAAGGCCCGTTGACCGTTGTCACAACCAAGCGCAAGCGTCTCACCTTCATCGAATGCCCGTCCGACTCTCTTGCAGCTGCGATCGATGTCTCTAAGATCGCAGATATTGTTCTTCTCATGATTGACGGAAACTTTGGATTTGAGATGGAGACTATGGAGTTTTTGAACGCTTTACAGACGTCTGGTATGCCCGGTAACGTCTTTGGTATTCTTACCCATCTTGATCAATTCAAGAAACACAGCACTTTGAAAGACGCGAAGAAGCGCCTGAAGCACCGTTTTTGGAGTGAGCTATACGCTGGCGCAAAGCTCTTTTACTTGTCCGGTGTTATCAACGGCCGTTACCCCGATCGGGAAGTGCACAATCTTTCCCGATTCCTGTCCGTCATGAAAAATCCTCGCCCGCTCGTGTGGCGCAACTCGCACCCTTATGCACTTGCAGATCGCTTTTTGGACATTACACCACCTACTCAGATCGAGGAGAACCCGAAGTGCGATCGCACGGTTGCACTCTACGGCTACCTGCGCGGCACCAACTTCCCCTCCCATGGGGCCCGAGTCCACGTTCCTGGAGTTGGTGATCTGACAGTTGCCAACATTGAGGGTTTGCCCGATCCATGCCCAACTCCCTACATGGATCAGCAGATTGCCAAAGCAACTGGGAAGTCGAACAGGCGCAAGCTCGGTGAACACCAGAAGCTGCTCTTCGCTCCCATGTCTGATGTCGGTGGTGTCCTGGTCGACAAGGATGCAGTCTACATCGATATCAAGACTAACACGTTTGACCGGGACTCGGATGAGGATTCGGATGATGAGGAGCGCCGAGGTCTTGGCGAACACCTAGTTGTTGGCCTTCAAGGCGAGCGCAAGATGCTGGGTGAAGCTGATCAGGGTGTTCGTCTCTTCCGTGGCGGCGAGGCCCTCAACGAAGCGGATGACGAAGAGACAGGCCGGAAGGGTCAACGCCGCGCCCGCGTCGCCGTACCCGATCCAGATGACTTAGTCATCCCAGAAGGATCCGATAGCGAAGAGGAGGTTCTTGAAGATATCGACGAGGACGATGTGACAGATGATGAAGGCGAACTCGACATGTCTGCACCGGCAGACTTTGGGGCCCGTTTCAAAGCCAAACAGAACGAAAATGACGATGGAGAACAAGAAGACATGGCTTTTGCCGACAGTGATTCTGATCTGGGCTCCATCTCTTCAGTCTCAGACCAAGAACTCGAGAGCGGCGATGAAGACGAGGACGAGGACGAGGATCAGGATGAGGACGAGGATGATGAAGATGACGAGGAAGGCAATGTTCGATGGAAGGAGAACATGCTCGCCAACGCCAAGTCTCTTCACGGAAAGCGCCCTCCTTTCCGAGTCAGCGACCTGTCAAGAATGATGTACGATGAGTCGATCACTCCACTTGATGTCGTGAAGACATGGCGCGGTGAAGATTCCGACGACGAGGAGAACGAGGAAGATAGAACCGCTGATGACGAAGGCGAGGACTTCTTCAAAAAGACAAACAACGAGAAAAAAGACCAAGCCGACTTCCGTGCCATTCCAGAGTACGACTACGATGAGCTGGAGCGGAAGTGGCGGGATGAGGAGTTGCTCGAATTAATCAAACTCCGCTTCATCACTGGCAAACTGTCTGGTGGTGGCTCAGATGATGAGGATGAAGATATGGACGAGGATGAGGATGAAGATGAGGGTGACGGTGACTATGAAGACTTGGAATCTGGTGAAGTCTTCAACGGTATCAAGGAAGATGGCGATGAAGACGAGGAAGAGGACGGCGATGATGAGCCTGAGAACGCTGCCGATCTGGAAGCTGAGCGTGAGCGCAACGCCAAAAAGAAGGAAGAACTGAAGTTACGTTTCGAAGAAGAGGACCGCGAAGGCTTTGGAAAAGTTCAGGACGGGACGCATGATGGTATCGATGGCCAGTTTGGTGAAGATGATTGGTACGACCTGCAAAAAGCCAAGCTGCAAAAGCAGGCAGATATCAACCGCGCCGAATTCGAGTTGCTCGACCCTGCCTCGCGCGCCCGGGCGGAAGGTTACAAAGCCGGCACCTACGCACGTATCGTTCTCGAGAATGTGCCTTACGAGTTTGTCTCAAAGTTCAATCCTCGCTTCCCTGTCATCGTTGGTGGTCTTGCACCTACCGAGGACCGATTTGGCTACGTGCAGATTCGGATCAAGAGACATCGCTGGCACAAGAAGATTCTCAAGAGCAACGATCCGTTGATCTTCTCGCTTGGTTGGCGCCGTTTCCAGACTATGCCTATCTACAGCACGTCGGACAGTCGGACGCGAAACCGCATGCTTAAGTACACGCCCGAGCATATGCACTGCTTTGCTACCTTCTACGGTCCTCTTGTCGCTCCCAACACCGGTTTCTTATGTGTGAACTCGTTCTCGAACAAGAACCCCGGTTTCCGCATTGCCGCCACTGGTGTTGTTCAGAGCGTTGATGAACACACTGAAATTGTCAAGAAGCTCAAACTCACTGGTCACCCTTACAAGATCTTCAAGAACACAGCCTTCATCAAGGATATGTTCACCTCCGGGCTAGAAATCGCCAAGTTCGAAGGTGCATCCATCAAGACTGTCTCTGGTATTCGCGGTCAGATCAAGCGTGCACTATCCAAACCTGATGGTTGTTTCCGTGCTACATTCGAGGATAAGATCTTGATGAGTGATATCGTTTTCTTGCGCGCTTGGTACCCTATTAAGCCTCACCGCTACTACAATCCTGTGACCAACTTGTTGGATCAAGTTGAAGGCGAAAAGGGTGACAACGGATGGCAAGGCATGCGCTTGACCGGTGAAGTCCGTCACGCTCAGGGCATCCCCACACCCCAACTCAAAGACTCAACCTACAAGCCCATCGAAAGACAAGAACGTCACTTCAACCCGCTCCGTGTGCCAAGACAGCTGGCCGCCGAGCTGCCCTTCAAGTCGCAAATCACCAAGATGAGGGGCCACAAGGAGCCGACCTACATGCAGAAGCGTGCTGTTGTCCTCGGAGGCGAAGAAAAGAAGGCCCGTGACCTCATGCAGAAGCTCACCACCATGCGCAACGAGAAGCAGGCCAAGCGATCCGCCAAGCAGGAGGAGCGCCGCAAGGTCTACCGTGCTAAGGTGGCTGATAGTCTGGAGAAGAAGGCCGAGCGTGAGAAGAGAGAGCGCAATGATTACTGGCGCAAAGAGGGCAAGAAGCGTAAGAACCCGGATGAAGACTCTGGTGGCCGTGGACGCGGCAAGAAGCGCAAGTGATCTACTCTTTGTTCTTGAACATGTCTTAATCTACTTGGGTCTTTTGCATATATGGCGTTCGAACCCAAAACTTGTACCTACATTATGTTGGATGTTTATTTATATCAAAACTATTTCATGAATGCGACACCGTTTGCCCAGTCTTTTTTTTTCCTCCTCCCATTTCGTCTACACCATAATTCTTGCCATCTAAAGGCGATGCTGCTTCTCGCCGTCATATAGGTCTCCGATGCCAGAAGTAGACATCCGATCCCCAAATCAAAGCCGAAGCACATGCAAAACATGCACCGGTTCCCAAAGCACGACAATCCTGAGCAGCAAACCTTGGATCGAGTTGTTCACATTACTAGGTTTGGTGTAGTAGGTGAAGTCATATTACTGTTTCTATCGTCGGACATCACGAAGCCTAACTCGCAGTCCTGCCTTGATAATGCTCGCGAATTCCAACTGTCCTCGAATTTCAACTATCCAACTACATCTATTTTCCATTAAGCTCCATCAAAGCTTGGTCTTCATCCATCAATAACACATCATAACATCTTTTCCAAACATCAAACAACATATAGAAAGACATGGCTCCTATTCCAGGCCTTGCCAACGACAACATACTGTCTTCTCGGGCTGAAAATAAGCACGAGGCTGACATGGAGAAGGAAAACTTCCTCATGGAGTTCCTCTTCGGAATCTTGATCACTGTGATCGTCGTGTACTTGGGATACAGGGCGTAAGTCCACCATCTACCCAGCGATAAGAAAACAAACATTCTTACAGCTTAGCTACATTCACTTGAAGCCCAGGTACAAGGAAGAGTGGAAGCCCAAGCTTGAGCCCAAGCTTGAGGACTGCAGGGAGAAGTATGAGGGATGGAAGAAGAAGATGGGGGCCTGGCATGGCCCCAAAGAACCAAGTAAGTTGATTCCCCATCACAATGGACTTGCTCTTGATACTAACGCTCCTTCTAGAGGCGCCAGAGCCTGCTCACGTGGCTCGTCATGTTTCTCAGGCTCCGGAGGTCAAGCCGATCGTTCGTGATTTGACCCCGGAGTACATGAGGATGTCGACGGCGGGCATGGTTTAGGTGTGTTTGTGGCTCAGTGCTGGTAGAGGTATCAAAGGCCTGCCAGGCTGATGCCCGTATTGGATAAGGAAGGAGGAAAGGGGTTTTTGTTTCTTGTTTTTTTTTTTTTTCTTTTTTCTCTCTCTCTCTTTTGTTTCTTCTGTTTTTCTTTCTCTCGGCGTATTCTTACTTTCCGCTGAGTTGTATCTTGACTCCGTTGTCATTGGAGTTTACTCATTGCTTCGGAGTATAGTTCCTGTATATCGTATCAATATTGTGGACTCCGAGTTTATTCTTTCTCTTTCGTGACTAGTATATCGTAGTCCCGTAGATCTGGGTATACTTGAAGTATACTAGTATAGCACATCGGGCACAAGCCCACCAAGCCTACTCACAACCTCTTCAGCCATCTTCAACCATCTTCGTCTCTAAATGGCCTTATACTGATGCTTTTAGAATAATCTCCTTCTACAGAAACTCATTGAATCAGATGAAATTGGCCTACCATCCACGTGACCGCGCCTCACACGCGTGTTCCACCAGTAATCCTTCCTTCTACCAACTACTCAACGGGGTTTCTTTTGGTGCTAGCATATTGTGGCGCATCTATATCCAGAATAGTCCTTACTGCCTTCTTTTCTTCAAATCCCTGCGGAGCCCTTCATTCGGGGTCAAAATCACGGAGAACACCATTTGCCGCCTCGTGCTGTCGCAACCCTTGCGCGCTTGCTGGTCGATCGCCACTCGATCGGGCAGATGCTCCTGGTTCCCACAGTACTTCCACGCGTCTTGTTGAGATCTCGAATGTTAGCATCTAAATCATTTGGTATCATACATCCCCGGCTCCGACTCTCGATGTGGTGACTCGAGACAGGGTATGCGTGTTGAGATCGTGCGGCCGCGTAAACTCGCGATTAAAGCTAGCTCGCGCGTATTTGCCGATTGTCGCTATTTCAGCATCTTCTAATCTCCCACATCCTCAGCCTTGATCATGAATGACGATTGCGATGCTATATCTAATCGCGGGGTGCTCCATGCGGAGGCCAGTGCGAACACCCACTCTATGAACAACGCGACGTCCCCTGTGCCGCATAAACCAATGTCTCCGGTCGATACCCAAATCACACAACTGCCGCAACCATTGTCACTACAAATAGATGGCTCGAACGCTGTTACCGTTGCTCGCGGCGACGGTAACCCAAACCCAGCCTATATCGAATCATCGGAGCGCGGCAGCGATACGTCGGGCGATGGCCGACGACTAGACCTTTCCGCTGGCACCATCACAGACTCTCTTTCCAGCCTTCCATCATCCTCGACTAATGGTCATAGCCAGTCTACAGAGTTCGGAAACTCTCATACATTGAATGGACATACATCGAGACCGTGGGTGGATCGGGAGTTATTGGAATCCCAACCCGTCTCGCACATGCAGCCGGTCAATGGAGGCGCCTCAATAGATCGATGGCAACCATCATTGTCGCCAATCAAAGCCGGCAATGTTGCAATATCACCGCCGCCATCGCCAAAACATTCGCGCACAAGGTCGAACTTCGATGCTCGCTTAGCCCCAGGCCAGAAACGGACAGCAGCTGGCGACTTCAAATCCCCTTTAAATCCACCCACGCCTCATAGTGCTGACTCGGATGGCCCTGCACGACGGCGTTCAAAGAGTACGGGCTCATCAGCTTATGGGAGTAGGATTGCACAGGTAACGCGCTCACCCGCTCACTCAAGAGTCCATAGCTCATTTGTATTACCCAGTTGTCGGTCCATATCCGTACACGTCTGTCATATGCGGCCGCGAAAGTAGAACAGGCTCGACAGTCGCGTGAAGCTACCCCACAAATCGCACTGCGAACACACAACAGCGCGCCACTGAGCCCGTCGGCACCAAGTGACGGCGCATCATTACCGGCTGGAAACTCTGGGCGCTTTTCACCGGACTCCCAAACATCCTCCAACGGGAACTCCCATCAATTCCCGGGCCATAATCGCTCGCGATCAGCACTCTCATCTAATCAATTTCTTTCAATCCCAAAGCTAGCACCGCCTGTGGATATCATCTCTTCAAATGGTCATAACCAGCGCCGTCGACCGAATCCTAATGCAGTCACAAAACCCTCAGACCACACCCCTATTTCCCGTCATCGACGCCACCATTCTTACCAAGAGAACGCACTCATCCGACCACTCAATGGCCAAGCACTTCTAGGACCAGAGAAGCCCTCGCTCTCATCATCTTACGCAAGCGCACCAACATCCACGCCGAATGGCTTCTACAGGCCCCGCACTCACTCCGAAAACACACTCATGGAACAAGATGCCATTGAAACCCTGATGTTCATGTCCAGCCCTGAGAACTCGGGGTATCGATTTAGCCCTCGACCGCTGCAAGCAGCGAGCACACAAAACAGCCTGAACGTGTCGATCAACGCTTCTAGCAATGAAACTCACCACAGTGAAACCCAGGGCTCCCAAACTTCCGAGTCTCACAATGGTCGTGGGCCCGAGAGAAAACCAGAGCTGGAAGCTCATGCCGGTGATGATATTGATCGCCTTTTGGATCAAATGGATAGTGACAGCGAGGATGAGGGTCGCTATGCATCATATCGTCTCGGGATCAATGGCGCACATCCATTTAGAGAGCATCAACGTCCGAGGTAATTACATTCGTTTTAAGATTTCAGGATTGTGCATGAGACACATAGTGGGATCATGTCATATCCAACATTTTAGCATTGTGGGGCTTTTGGAATTACCGGCATAAGCATGTTCATATTAAAGGAAGCCTACGATTGGCATGACTCCAAAGCATTTGCTGTAATGAAAATTTCCAGTCCGAGCATCTATCAGGGCCTTAAATAGTTGATTGTATGCATGTTGTCTGCTCCTGATCCTCCACCCTAAAATCATGTGATTAAATTAGTCTTGTCGTATTTATAGTTGATATGCGCTATGCATCATTTAATGTGCCAGTTCCTATCATTTCATTAGTCTCTCACAGTGTGAATTTATAGGGAGCACACTTACACTTGCGAGCTTGCTCCTGGCTCGAATCTTGGGTCCGTATAGGGCCAGCACCCAGGGGACCAGAGTCAAAGCAGCACCCTGATTTAATCCAGTCAATTGATTTTTCTCTTGGAGTGGAAATTGCCACAACTTACAAGTCCTCCCAATAGACTTGATGCCTCTGGGTAGCCAAGATTGGTGAACATGGCATTCGTAACCAATGGAAAGATACCACCGAGCAAGTTCCGGCCTAGTGAGCAAGATATCAGCAAATGTCCCAGCACACACTCAGACCTTCATCCAGATAACGATGCAAGGAAAGAGACACTTACAACAAGACTGCGCTGCAATTGCCGAACTCGCATACCGATGATAAGTATCGGCGAGGTAGTTAAAGGTAGCGAGATAAATAGAAAAGATGCCCATAGTAGCACAGCCAACGGCGATAGCAGGCACAATCCAATGAACGGATGGGAAAGAACTCCAGCCAAACCAGAACAGACCAATAGGTAGAAGCACAGACTCAATGCAAACGAAATACAGTCTGCCTTCGGGCGAAGTAGAGTGTTTACCGAAGCGCATGGCGATGCGGTCTTGGTAGATGCTGATGATTGTGATGAGGATGACGCCGACACACATCGAAGTGAAGACGGCGCCGATCTGCTCGATTGTGAAGTTGTGGTTTGTGCGGAAGATGAGTGGCACTGAGCTGAATTGGAGGTAGAGAACTGCCCAACTGAAGGAGACCCATAGGGAGAAGAAGAAGACCACTGGCTCGGTGAGGAGCATGTCTGGGTTGGAACGTTAGCTTGTTTGTTTCTATTTCTTTCCTTTTTCGTGGGAGGGTGGTGGCTTGAGGATTGTAGACTTACGGAATGGCCGGTATAGCGAGATCTGGATCATGGCTGCGATCGATGCCCGTTGCTCGTCGCTCTTGACTTTCCATCTGATTCGACGGATGCATTTTTCTTCGGACTCTTCGCTCGACAGGATCACACCGTGGTGGCCTGCTTCTTCAAGTTGCTCGTAGTACTTGTTTAACTTTGCGGCTTTGCGGCTCAGCAGGACGCTGCCGCGCGTTTCTTTGAAAAAGACGTAGATTACGATGACAAATACGGCGGAGACGATTGCATGCGAGTAGAAAACCCAGCGCCATGTGGTGCGGGTAATGATTGCGCCTGAGATCAGCGGTGCCAGGCCAGTACCGAACAATGCAGACCCCGAGAAGAGGGCCATGGGCGTGTTACGGTCTTGGGCATGATAGATGTCGCTAATCACGCCGCCAACCATAGTGGAGAAAGTTGCTGCGACAAAGCCAAGTCAATATCTCTAGAGTGGTGAATCGGAAAATCGACCTTTTAGGGCAGGGTATACATACATCCACCCACGCCCTGGAAGAAACGAGCTACCAGCAATCCAGCAAAGGACTGCGTGCCTCCACAGCCAATTAAGCTAGCTATTGCACATATCGAGTCAGGAAACACCAAGTGACAACGGTGATGTGTGGTATACATACCAACGAAGAGAATTCCACTAGCGATAAAGATCGGTCTCCGTCCATTTATCTCGGAAAATGGAGCCAGCACCATCGGTGCCAGGGCAAACCCGCAACAGAAAATCGTGATGCTCAAATTATACACGACGGTACTGATCCCCCACAGTTTAGTCAGTTCCTCGGATGCAGGACTGACCTCGCCCGCGGCATAACCTGCTAGCGCAGTAACCCCGCAAGCAATCCAAGTCATCATCGACTTGCGCCATTTCGGCCACAGAAACGGAGATGTATATTCCTCTAAGCTAGGCGGCTCTGGTGGTGGTGATTGAGCGGGACCGGGAGGTAAAGTAATGCAAGGCGTCGGTAAGGGCGTTTCTAGCTCTAGATATCGGAACTCGATATCTTGGGAGCCGCATAGAGACTCGGGAGTCTCCTCGCGCTTTTCCATGGCTGTCGGTTGAAATTTAGGGGACTCTGGTGTTATCGATGCCATGTAGTGAGTCAGAATGGTTGGCAAGAGTTTTCTAAGTTTAAATGGACATGTTGTTTATAGGCTAAGCATCTAGGGCGTGGAGTCGCCCGAAATAAAATTGGAGAAACATCCCAAGGCCGAGACATTAATAATGCCTCCAATTTGATATATCACTAATGTGGATCATTCTATCCCATTGCAGTCAATGCTGGGTCTCATGCCGAGTTCGATGCCGATGTTTATAGCCCTAGAAGAGTCCGAAGTAGAAAGTCGGTGGAACTGATAACGGCCATTCCCTACGTGGGACCCCGAGGTCTTGGCGTTGGAGTATACCGCCTGCTGAATCTGTCTCTCGAAAGGATTTTCGCTTCAGACACACACTTCATGTGTGTCATCTCAATTGATTTCCAGCAGAGTCTCGATGTTTCCTAATTTTGGCAAAGACATCACGAAATATAATTGAACAACATCGATCATCATAATATGGGGTACTCCGTATACGTCTCCGCATGCAACCCAGGCATCCATGTTTGGTGGGAATTTCCCCAATTTGGGGACATTTGGAGTTCGGGGAATTTGAATTGATTCGATAGTGATTAACAATCAAGGTAGACTTAGAATAAGCCAATGGGGTATGAATATGCAGGGACAAAGCAGGATCAATTCTAGTCTGACCTGACATGTGTGGCACATGTGAACAGGGAACATTAGGCACTATGGCATAGTCCAACCGGAGTTGCGCGAGAATCCCCCGAGATATCTCACACATTCACTCCACATCCCCAATGTTGACTAGCAAGCCTTATCAATGTCATCGATGCCCAAGGGCATTTGCTCGTCTAGAACATCTTCAAAGACATGATCGCTCACGTATGTCTTTTGAGACGGATTGAATACCCCACACCCGACTAATATCCCCGCAGATACCAAAGAGAAACCGTTTGTTTGTGTTCAATGCCCCAAGGCCTTTACACGCAAGTATGATATATCATCCAAGTAGATGTATTAAATACTGACGACTCTAGGGATCTGCTGGCCCGTCATGAGCGTCTTTCTCACAACCCCGATGCCAGTCCTGCCAGCAATCACACACCGACACCCTCCCCCGCAAATCCTCCCGCCCTGGACGAGTTAGATTCATTGGCATCTGCAGTCACAAACCACATCCAATCTAATCGCAGCACCTTGCAGGGTTCCGATGACCATTTTCCAGCATTATCACGTGCTGTGCACCGTCCGATGCTGAGCGCCCAGTTGGCTAGCACAGACCCCTCGTCTATAGGACCTAGTACCCCATCTCCAGGCCCGGATTTTGGATATGCGCTAGGTGGCTTTGGACCTGGATCATATCATGGTCAAGATTTCACCTCATTCCTGGATAGCGTCCCTTTGCCAAATCATCCATTCTCGCCAGCTTATCAGCCACTCCCGCTATTCCCCCGTTGAACTTCTCCGCTCTGGACTATGATAGATCTTCTGATAGAGGGACTTTGACTGAAACTACTCCCTCGACTCCTTCGAGCTCTGTACTTCCCCGGCATGGCGCTCAGTTACCATCGCTCCAGCCGGAGGGCTATCACATCTCCCCCAAGGCCCGCCAGCCCACAGGATTCGTACCAGTCACGGCTCAATGTCGGGACAAGCTCTTGGATATGCTATCCGACTACGCGAATGTGGTCCCAGATCCATCATTACCATCTCGGCATGCGCTATCCCGGTGTTTGACCGGGTATGTGACTGGATTCCATGATCACTACCCCATCGTGCACATCCCGACTCTCAATGTAGACTCGATGACATTACCACTCTTCCTATCAATGGCGGCATTGGGGGCGCGGTATTGCCGCGAGCCAGACACTAGCATGCGTCTCTATCAGATTGCCAAACCAGTGACTTTGGAACATGTTCGTCGGGTCTTCCAGTCAGGCAAGCTGCCCACGGTCAACGCAGCCAACGACATTGATACCTTAGAAACTGTACAAGCTTTATTGTATTTGAACTCGGTATCACTATGGTTCATCAATGACCCCCCATATCACGAGGCGCTATCACTTCGCAGTCTAATGGAAATGCTCATCCGACAAGGAGGACTCAACCGGCTACCCGAACAAGACGGGACATGGGGTAGCTGGATACGACGGGAAAGCGTAAAGCGTACCAAGCTAATTGTTCTCTGTTTCTTCAACATCCACACCATCGTCTTCGACGTCCCACCCATGATCCTCACAGAAGATTTCACACTCGAATTACCTTGCACCGAAAAAGAATGGCAAGCCGCGAGCGCAGACCTCTGGCAGGCAGAGCGCATGAACAGTCCCGGCGAACCAAAATTCCAAGACGCCCTCTCCGCCTTATTCGGGCCAACCGACAATGTAGAGAGATTCTCCTCGCTCGGCGGCTACGTTCTAATCCACGCCATCCTGCAAGATATCTGGCTAATGACGAAAGCCGGCCGACTACCCGTCTCACGACGGAACCGCTTCGCCTCATCATCAATGACATCCACACCGGAGCTCGTGCACGTCGAACAAGCGCTAGAACGCTGGTGCCAGTGCTGGGAGCGCAACCAAGAATCATCCATCGACCCACTCAGCCCGAACGGTCCTTTATCCTTCACATCAGCAGCCCTGCTTCGATTAGCTTACATCCGACTCAACGCAGACTGCGGCTCAGCCCGCCAGCTGCAAAGTTGGGACCCCGTCCAGATCGCAACAAGTCTCCGTGAAAATCTCTCCGTGCAACGCGGCGACCGGCTGACGCGCGCTGCGCTTCACTGCGCACATGCCCTCAGTACACCTGTCAAGCTCGGCATTGGATTTGTCGCGCACTCGCAGGTAGCGCTGTGGTCAAACCAGCATGCTTTGTGTTCTCTCGAGTGCGCGGTACTGTTGGCTAAATGGCTTGAAGCGATCACGGTGCCGGATCCGGAACCGAGGTTGACGGAGCAGGAGACTCGGTTGCGGGATTTTGTGCTCGAGATGGTTATGGAGGTGCAGCATGGTGCTTCGAGAGAGTGGCTGCTCGCTACTAATACCCGGCTCAGTGTTGCGATTACCCGGTTGTGGGCGCGACTGTTCACGGCGGATTATATTTGGGAGATGGTTTCTTTGATTGGGAGGTCTTTGAATAGTTATGCGGACTTATTAGAACAATAATGGGTGTTTTTGTTGCTGTACTGGTATGAAGCTCTTATGGGGTTATTCTGCTTCAAACTTTCCGGCCACTTAGGGCAATTCACGGTTGTCATTGTCGTTATAGTGGCCGTCTAGCTGCCAGACTAGTTATCCAAGAGCTGAGCTTGAATCAACCATATTGCTCATGTCGGTTATACTCGGCCCCTGTCTTCGTCCTGCTGGCCCATCTGACCCCAACTTCCCGTAGGGCGTATGCACATCGTACGGACTCTGCACAAGGCTCCCCGATGACTCACTGAATATCAACTTGGCGGTCTCGGAGATTGAGGAATTTTGGATGTGGCTACGTTCATTTATTTATATTTCTCCGAATCTCCAATCCTGATGCTTAACGCCTGTTTCCTCAGGCCCTCCTAGCTTAGTTAGATCAGACTTCGTTAGCTTCTTCAATCATGCAGTCCTTCTTCTCTTCTTCTCTTCCTTCTCCCCTTCCCAGTAACCCAAGACATAACCCCCATCCCTCAAATAACCAAAACAATTCAAAATGTCTCCCTCACCTCTCGCAGCATCACCAGAAGTTATAACCCTCCTAATAGACCTCCACACCAGATCCCTAACCCAAGAATCCACCGTTGACTGGAAAAGCCTACCGGCGCAATGCAGCCCCGAATTCGACTCCATCATGCTGGACAAGTTCATCGCCCTCGACCAAGATAAGTGCGAACTAGTCTACCACCTCCTACGCAGCATCAACGCAAAGACAGTCGTCGAGGCCGGTACCAGCTTCGGCGTCAGCACCATCTACCTAGCACTTGCTGTTGCAGAGAATGCGAAGCGGGTTGGCGCTACCTCTCAACCACGAGTCATCGCCACAGAGAAGGAAGAATCCAAGGCTAAGTTGGCCCGAGCGCATTGGGCCAGTGCGGGCAAGGATGTTGAAGATGTGATTGATCTTCGTGTTGGAGATCTGCGTGAGACTCTTACTTCGGATTTGGGGACGGTGGATTTCTTATTGTTGGATAGTAAGTGGTGATTTCCCTGGGTGTCATACGAGATGAATATCCATATCTGCTTCGTTGCTTTGTACAGCTTCGATGTTTGATATTCGATGCATGTCCACTTCTGATAATGACCTCTATACTAACCACCACTCTTAGTCTGGACCCCTCTTGCCCTCCCTGCACTCAAGCTCGTCCAGCCGCACCTCCGACCTGGCGCTGTGATCGTCGCTGATAATACAGTCAAGGCGGGTGATAGGTATCAGGAGCTCTTTGCATATGTCGATGCCGAGGGTAGCGGGTTCCGACGTCTGACGATGCCGTATGAGGGAGGTTTGGATATGATTGTCTATCAGTAGATGTAGCCCCTTGAAGTAATCCACAGCAGCACGCTGTCGAATATCAATTCGTGCACCTTACGAGCTACATCAAGATAGTTCCTATTCTTTGATAGGCCACACGGGATCCGCCCATATCACAACCCCTCATTCTATCAAATCTCAAATTTCCCAAGTTCAGGGTCTTTGAGATCTCCAACATTGCTCTTCCACCAACCCAATACATCCATCTATAACCATGTCCGAGTCCAAATTCCAACCCATCCCACCCCAAGAAGAAGGCCACTTCAACGCAGCACCAAGTCTAAACCCACCCCCAACGCCAGCAACAAAAGACTATAAACTTAACCACCTAGCCCTACGCATCCAAGACCCAGCCCGCTCACTGCACTTCTATATTGACCTGCTGGGGATGCGAGTAGTATTCACTATGAATGCCGGGCCCTTCACAATCTATTATTTAGGTCACCCGCCAGCAGATGCAAAGACCTCAGAGGATATAAGTGCATGGGCGAAGAGCACGAGTGAAATCCCCGTCATGACGAAGACCAGTGGACTTTTGGAGTTGTATCATGTGCATGGTACGGAGAGTGCAGGTGATGGGTCTGTTTCTACGGGGAATACGCCACCGCATCTTGGATTCGCGCATCTGGGGTTTACTGTTCCTGATGTGGCGGCTGCTGTGCAGAGGTTGCGGGATGGTGGGGTTAAGATTCTCAAGGATGTGGGTGTATGTTCGAGGGAGACTGTGCCACTTTCAGAGTGGGAGGAGGAAAGGGGGATTGGACGTGGTGAAATTCATGAGAATTATGCGTGGTTTTTTGAGAAGTTTGCTATGGTTTCCGATCCGGTGAGTTTTCGAAATTTGATATCCAGAGTGTTGAGCTGATGCGAGTTCATAGGATGGGTATATGGTCGAGTTGATTCCTCAGAGTGTGTGATGCTGTGAGGATTTACTTTTGTACAATCTACAAGTATAGAGCTTTGTTTGAAACAGGTCAAGAATGGAACTTCCATCCTGGGAGGTTTTGCTTAATGCAGCCTATACACCCAACATGTGATGGTACACTCAAAAGTAACGAAATTACGCGCCCCAGCGGTCATCTTCCGCAACGTCGTAGTCCATATCCCGCGCAGGAGCGGTGTTGCTCACCGACGAAGACGACATGACTGTGTCTTCCGGTTCGTCCTGTCCAAGACCACCCTTGAAATCCGTCGATGACCCAGCGGCGGGAAGTGCAATGGGAGGGTTGGCCACCCAAGTGAGCTGAACCTCGCCCACAGATGGGATGTTCCAGGGAGAGAACATGAGCTTCTCGGCCTGGAAGCGCTCTTTGAATGCCACTATGACGGTGTTGGGCTGATCTGGGTGTGCCTCAATAGATTCGTATTCGCCAACGCCCTAGAACATAACAAATTAGTACATACCTTGCTTTGGTCCGAAAGATGATAACATACCATCAGGTGTTGACGCAATGCTTCGTCCTTGTCTGAGTTAAGCTCAACCCCCGATACAGCGACCCGTCGAGGCCGGTTATCCAGACGCAGCACACCTCCTCGTCCCCGAGCCGCAAATCCGCCACGCCCGCGATAACCTCCGCGGAAATTGGGGTCATAACCACCGCGTCCACGGTATGTGCCTCGGCCGCGGAAGGCTCCACGACCTCGGTATCCACCGCGTCCAGAAGGATCAGCCGCAGGGTCGAGGCCAAGGCTCTTTGCCTCAGCCTCGAGGGCCGCCAACTGAGCCCGGAGTTTTTTCGTCTCCTCACTGATATTCTCATCGGCAGCAGGCTCGACAGACATGGCGTCCCCGGAGTCGGCCGCATCGCTCATATCTGCTGTACCCCCAAGCCGCTGCATGAGACGAGCCCGCTCCGCGTTCTGTTTCTTAAGAAGTTCGTCGCGCTGGCGCTCTAGAGCCTGCTTGGCCGCTTCGGTCTCCTGTCGCTTCTTCATTTTCTCTTCGTGTACCCTCTGTGCTTCTTGTTGTTGCTTCTCAAACTCTTCTTGGTTGAATGCTGGGGCCTCAGGTTGTGTGCTCTCGTGCTTTTCCTCGCGATTCGGTTTGTACCAGTAAACCTTCACGAAACGGTTATCGAAGATGACCTTGGGGCTGGACCACGCGGCCTTGGCCTCGGGGAAAGTCTCGTATTTGATCAAAGCAATCTTTTTGTAGGGTTGCAGAGTGACCTCGGTAATGTTGCCAAACTCAGAAAAGAACTCGCGCACAGAATCCTCGTTGAACTTGTCATCAGGAATCTGCTCGACAACAATCGTCGTAATAGACTGGTCCTCATTAGGTCCTGCCGATGAGAAGTCGGATCGGCCACGTCCGCGTCCGCTGAATCCGCCGCGCCCACGGCCGCGGCCACGATCACCACGCATAGGAGCACCGCCTCGCTGTGCATGCATGCCCGCAGTCTTGGGGTCATATTCTGAGACTGTTAGCAACGGTATATCTAGTATGGATGAATTTTTCTCTTACCATCGTCTTTGGAGGCACCTCCCTCGCCGTGCTGATAGGGGCAAGTATTTCCTAAGTAACAAATACCTTGGGTATCATAGAACGGACATCGCTGGTTGCTTTGTGGGATTTGATCGACTCCTGGCTGGCCGGGAGGACCAGGCATCCCGGGCATAGGCATACCCGGCATCTGCGGGAATCCCATGCCTTGCATAGCCATCATTGCTGCCATAGGATCGTTCGGGTCGAACGGCGGGAAACCGGGCATCATCGGGAAGCCGCCAGGCTGCTGCAGAGGAAACTGTTGGCCCTGCTGTTGTGGAGGAAATTGCTGGCCTTGTTGCTGCAGTGAGAACGGTTGGCCTTGCTGTTGTGCGGGGTATTGTTGACCTAGTTGCATCTGATGCCCACCCATGAAGTCGCCGCGAGCGCCGCCGCGACCGCCACGCCGTGCAGTCTTCATGGCACGATTTTGGAACCCACCATCGTCGTGCTCCGACTCCCCTTGGAATCCCTCATTAAAAGTTCGTTTGCGATTGGCACTGCCGGGGGTGACAGCAGCCCTCGGGCCGCTGGGAGCATTCTCAGGAGGCTGTGACGAGGGAATATGGGCAGCGGGTTCGGGCTGGCGCTGAGGCTGGGGTGCAGGTGCGGGCGGAGGCGCAGGTTGTTTAGGGCCGAAGGTTGTAAAGAGCTCGTTGACAAATGACTGCGTATCTAGGAGATGTTAGTATTATGAAACAATGCAATGCGATTGAGACATCAGACGCACGTTCGCGCAGGAAGTCCTCCAAGTTTTCCACCGAGACCTTTTTGATTTCCTCGGCCGGCGCATCAGACCTCACTAGCGCTAAAACATAGTCTGCAAGCACATCCGAGTCTGCATCAGAGCTATATGCAGAAACAGCATGATTAGTCGCTGCTTTCTTTCTCGAGGCCCGTGTGAAGACCTGATTCTAGTACTTGACCAACTCACATGTCCTCGAGTTTTTTGACCACCCATTTCTTTACATCGGCGGCTTCCGCATCGGTAAACTGCATCGCGAATATGATTGTCAAGCAATTTCAAACTGTGAAGGTTGAGTTGCGTCGAACAAACAAATGACGTGAAATGGCGATGATTGCAGGGATTCGGTTTCAACAGAGCCGTCCTTCGGGAAGATTCCTGACTATGCAGTGATAATTGTGTACGGGGTGAATTCACACTTTGGTGATTCAAAAAACAAAGCTTGAGAATAAGTTAATTTGAGCTGATAAGCATTCACCCCCAACCGTGAGGGAATGTTAGGGTCATGACTGGACACGCGAAGTCGAAGGCAAAAACGCGATTACCGGGATCACGTGGTTGAATGACATACCCAACTGCTCAAGCTGCTCAACCTCAGGAGCTCATGACTGAGGATTGTAATCAGATTCCTTGTAATTCTCTAGTCTTTAAATCTACTCGCACTCTACAAATAAGCCTACAAGAAAAGCAACTGTGCCTAGCATACCAAGTTTATTTTCATATCGAAACTGGTTGCTAGACAACAGCAAAAAACATAAAAGCAAAGAGCCCTCAGTAAAAAAGCAAGATGTAAACAGCAATAAATGGACAGATCCAACGATACCAGAGGCTTCTAGGCTCATGTCCAGATTTCTAAAGACGGAACGATCAAAGCAAATACTGACGAATGAGGGAATAAAATTTTGTTGAACCGAAGAAATTGTATTGAATTCATCAATCTCATGAAAGATTCCACGAATGACTGGCAGAAGGGAAATTCTGGGTGGCCGGGAACATTTTTACAGCTTGTCGTAGTACTATAGGACACAATTAGTGAGTGGGACCAGAGATATTGAGCAAAAAAGTGACTTACGTTTTCGTAACCGGGAACGACCTCCTTGAGACCCTTGCGCTTGCGCATCTCCTGGACGACCTGTCCGGGCTTGGTGGTGGGGTCGAGGGGAGAACCACCGGGGAGGATAGCCCAGTGATCGAAGACGGACTGGGGGAAAGCCTGACCACCGGTAGCGGAGCGCAGATCGGCAGGGAAACCGAAGGACTCGTTGACGGGCAAGTATGCCTTGACCATGAACAGAGGGGTACCGGGACGCTGCTCCTCAGTGTAGACGTGACCACGGCGGCGGGTAAGGACACCGTAGATACCACCCATAGCCTGCTCGGGAACCTGGATCTCGACGTTGAAGATGGGCTCGAGGAGAGCGGGGTCAGCCAACATGGCAGCGGCGTACAGAACACGACGAGCAGTGGGGATCAGTTGACCACCACCACGGTGAATGGCATCAGCGTGCAGAGTAACATCGAGAATGTTGAAGCGGACGGAACGCATGGGCTCCTCGGCAACGGGACCCTCGCGGGTAGCCCACTGGAAACCGGAGACAACGGAATCCTTGATTTCGTTGAGGTACTGGACGGCCTTGGTCTGGTCGACGAGCAAGTTGGCACCGGTGGTGTCGGGACCGAAGCACCAAATCTTACGGGCATCGGTGACATCCCAGCCGTACTCGTCAGCAAGGACACGGGCACGGGCCTTGAAGTCGTCACGGGGGCTGATCTTGCCAGACTCGATGGCGAGGGAAACCTCCTCCTCGATGGGCTGAGCAGTCATGTACAGACGGTTGTGCTTGTTGGGCGACTTGGACAGGGCAGTCATGCTGGACTCGCCAGCGACGGTCTCACGGTAGGCAACGACGGGGTCGGAGATACGGAGAGGAACACCAGCGTGGTCCTCCTCGAGATCCTTAAGACAAATCTCGAGGTGAAGCTCACCGGCACCGGCAACAATGTGCTGGCCAGACTCGTTGATCATGGTCAGGACACAGGGGTCGGACTTGGAGAGACGCTTGAGACCCTCGACAAGCTTGGGCAGATCCTGGGCGTTCTTGACCTCGACGGAGCGCTGCACGACGGGGGAGACGGAGAACTTCATGACCTTCATGTTGTGGGCGGTCTCATCGGTGGTGAGGGTACCGGACTTGAGCAGGAACTGATCGACACCGACCAGACCGACAATGTTACCGGCGGGGACATCCTCAATGGGCTCAACGAAGCGACCCATCATGAGAATGGTACGCTGGATGGCCTTGATGAAGAGATCCTCCTTGCGACCAGGGATGTAGTTGGGGCCCTGGATGCGGACCTTGATACCGGACTTGACGGTACCGGCATAGACACGACCGAAGGCGTAGAAACGACCCTTATCGGAGGTGGGCACCATCTTGGAGACGTAAAGCATCAGAGGGGCAGTGGGGTCACAGTCGCGGATACCGATGGCGGCACGGTCGTCCATGGGACCCTCGTAGAGAGTCTCGGCACGGTACTTCTGGGCAGTGACGGGGGAAGGCAGGTGGATACAGATCATCTCCAGCAGGGCATCAGCGGCAGGCAAGAACTTGCGCATGATGAGCTTGAGGATGGCCTTACCCTCGAGCTCCTTCTCATCGTTGGTGAGAGAGACCTCGAGCTTATCGAGGAGGGTGAAGATCTCATCACGCTTGTTGTGGTTGACAGCGGCGAAAATCTTGAAGATGGGGTCCAAAATGAACTGGTTGAAGGCACGCTCAAGAGTCTTGCCCTCGTACTCACCCTTGGTGGTCCACTTCTTGGTCTTGGGGTTGAAGTAGTTGTCGCCCCAGAGACGCTCAAGCATCTTCTTGCGGTCAACACCGAACTTCTTGGCGTAACGGACAGCGAACTGGCGGACAGTGAAGCACCAGCCGTGGAGACCGGAACCGAAAGCGATGGTACCTCTATCGGGGTAGACCTGGACGTCACCGAGAGCCTTGTCGAAGTAGGTGGAGATGATGACGTTGACGGACTCGATGGTACGGGAGAAGGACTGGTAAAGATCCTCCTTGGAGACCTGGAGCTCGAGAAGAGCACGATCGACCTTGTTGATGATCAGAACGGGCTTGATGCGCTCGGTCAGGGCCTGACGCAGGACAGTCTCGGTCTGGACACAGACACCGGAGACACAGTCGACAACGACAAGGGCACCGTCAGTGACACGGAGAGCGGCAGTGACCTCAGACGAGAAATCGACGTGACCGGGAGAATCGATCAAGTTGATCAGGAACTCGTCACCATCGACGGCCTGGGGGATCTCCTTGAGATCCTCTGGGTCGGGGAACTTGGCGTAGAGGGAGATGGCGGTGGACTTGATGGTAATGCAACGATCCTGCTCATCAGGACGGGTGTCCATGAAACGAGCCTCACCAGCCTTAGCGGCGGAAATAATACCGGCACGCTGGACAAGGGCATCGGAGAGGGTGGACTTTCCGTGATCGACTAGGGCACAGAAACAATGTCAGAATCAGCTATTTCACTACACATCATGCCATCCTTGGTAAGAACTTACCGTGAGCAATGACGGACATGTTTCGGATGTTAGCCCGACGGTCCATCAAGGTCCGGATCTGATGTAGGTTAGCATCGACACTCATGATGATTTCATGTTTCTCTGTTGCAAGAATCCAAGTTTTCTAGCATCACCAGTGGAAATGGTAGATAGAGATCAGTAGATCCAAGAGCGATCGAAGGAAAGCACCCTTCCACTGGTAATGCTAGAACCTTGGAAGCTTGCGGACAATCACTGGGACAATCACGAACCTCCTCAATAGTGAAGCTGTTCATATCATGTTAGCTGTGCATTCTGAGACTTGGGAGAAGATATCCTTACTTAACCATTTTGGCGGTTTATCCTTTTTTTCAAACTAGGATAGAAAAAAAAAAAAGAGAAGAGCACACAGATGACTAGGATCGATATGATCGATCACTGAATCAAAAACTTCTATGTGCAACTGCTCCTGGACAGAGGTGGGAAAGAAGAAGAGAGGGGAAGTGGAAAGTGGGAGAGAAAAAAAGAAAAGCGAAAGTGGGGACTTTTTTTCCCTTCCGGTTTTGTGCGTTTGAGCTGACTTAGCCCTTTCGTTCTCTAAAGATTTTAGATTATCTTTTTTTTTTAATTGCTCATCTGCGTCTCATCTACGGTGTGTTTTTCATGGCCTTTTTACTTTGATTTCAAATCCATACTCTCATGTCTTGACTCATTGGGAACTTTTTTTTTTGGCCACCCGCGGGTTCTCCGGTGACGTTTGACAGCATATCACAAGCGAGAGGTGTTCCGAGTCGTTTTTACAGCTGTACCGATGGTATTTATAGTCTTTTGATCATCCTAAATTCAAAAATGAGTCAATTCAGAGCGGATGATTCTGCTTTAGTTTTCCCATATTATCTTGTAAATGGCTTGCCCCCAACCCCTCTATCAACTTGGTGGGGCAATGTACATTAATAATCAAATTCTGGCCTCAGGCAACTTCTGAGCTTAAAGTATGGTACTATATACTCCGTAGCTATACACCTATACACTATCTTTGAATTGAATTGAAAATAGCTCCAGAAAAATAGGAGTCCTTGCTGAGAAAAAAAAAAGGAAAGAAAGAAACAGAAAGAAAAAGAAAAAGCTCTGCTTGCTCTGCTTGCTCTGCCTCGAGCAAATTTTCATTTCACTAGCTGGCTCGTGCATGCATTAGTGGGGTAAGATAACTCCTCATTTGAAGGCACCAAGGCATCAAATCATCCCACCTGCATTGTACACAAGTAAATGACACCACCCTGAAAGCTGCATATAGCAAGGACCAAGCCAAGACTTCAACTTAACGCTCGACTCTACTACCACAAGATAGTGGATCTCAAAACAATAAGCCGGTCTTCTAGCCCGAGTATCCCGGTGCTCCCGGCCACCCCATATTGTCAAATACAATGGTATCCTGAAATGTATGGGTCCAATCAATAGTGTCAAAATTTCTGTATTGCAGTATCCGTTTTCCTAGCAATTTATATAGATAGCGGATTACTAATTCAAAATTACTGCACAACCTAGATTAATTAAATCCCCAGTATGCCGGTCTATATACTCCGACACGCCCCCTCAGCGATGCTAGTATAGGATTACTAGAACCCCTATATACCTTGGCATACTGATCTCTCTACTTCTGTATACTATCAAATAGCCTATTGAGATCCGAAAGCTCATTTCAAACATGAGACTTGCGTCTTTGGGAACTATACGCACCTATACAGGTCCTCACGTGACTACTATCTACCATAGTAGTCTATCTACAGACCCGTACAGATCTGTATATAGTCAATAGATCCTCCTAGGAATAAAACTCATACGATCCTTTCTAAATTACATCTGGTAGTATATCGGTTTAAAGCCTTTTTCTATAAACGTTTAGGGATAGGGGTAGACAGAAGAGATAGAAAGAAGCCTTATATAGCCTTAAGGAAATTGTCACGGATAAAATATGTGCGCTACTATATATATTGGTCCTGGGCATATCAGAGCGAGAGCTCTGATATAATGGTCTTTTGGCCGAGCGGGAGAATGTGCGCCCAGGCATATCCTTCACAGAAATATATAGTCCTAAATAGCTTTATTCCTACTACCCCTATACCCAATTTACGATCTAGCGGACTGTGAAGGATATGCCTGGGCGCACATTCTCCCGCTCGGCCAAAAGACCATTATATCAGAGCTCTCGCTCTGATATGCCCAGGACCAATATATATAGTAGCGCACATAGTTTATCCGTGACACGGACCTAGAATCTAACAAAAATATCGATAAGCCCTAATTTAGAGGTATAACTAAGTAATTAGAGAAGGAGAGCTAGTTAACGCTATACTAAGGACCTAGACTAACTTATATAGTACTATATAAAAGAGTGGTTAGGAAGATAAGAACTAGCTAACACTACACTAAGTACTTATTAGAGACAAAAGAATCCAATTAAGTAATATATAGGTCTAACTAGGGCTATATTAGGCGGTATAAAGTATAGCTAAGAAAGAGGGGTTAGATAAGACCTCCCGAGTAGACTTCGGCACAACCCACTCTAACCCAGACCCAACCTAACCCAACCTAACCCAAAATGGGTTTTAGGTCTATTACTTCGACCTAACAATAGGTTTTAGGTTATAGCTTATAACCCAAAACCTATTAGGTAACCATAAGATATCGCTTTTTTGACAGCCGACTCAGCAGATACGTCCCGAGTTAGATCCAGTGAAGCTGTGATGTTAGACGCCCTCACATACCTTGCATTATATCTGTACGCTGCTTGGTATATGTTCGTCTTAGTTGCAGTAATCTGCTATTGGTTGAGACCAGTCTATCTCAGGATTCGTCGGGGATATTGAACAGTTTAACGAAACCAGTCGTGCGCGATTGGGCCAATGCACACCATGGCCAAAACCGTGGGCCAGGATACAACGGTCCAAAGCACAATGGATAATGGCTTGATCGAGGCCAAGCTCATTTCAAGGGAATACTGCCTGTCTCACTGGGTCATCACGTTCAGTCAATCTGGCAAGTGCATCAACGCCGACCTGTCGAAGAATGTAATTCGGTATTCAGGGGACCCTCTTCCAGAGGTTATCAGTTCCATCGGCTTTCGCATTAAGAACGGAAAACCCCCAATTGATGAGCTATTGGAGGATTTGTATCTTCCGCCATCATTCATGGAGCTACAACAGGATTTCTGCGATTGTGTTTAATGGGTGTAAGTACACAATATGACATTCGGTCTTCCCGTACTAATAGGCTGCAGATTTGGGGTTATCTACAACTACTCCGGGCTTGACTGTATCGAGACCGTCTCTACAACTCGAATTTCTCGAGATAATTTGGTTAGGGAGCTAGTCCACAGATAATCAGATGCTTTGGTCGGTATTAACATCCATGGATGGGCCTTACCTTGTCGGAGCTCGCGTGCGTTGAAGACTATGGCAGTCTGGTCAGGTCTAATGATCGCAGCGACAGTTATGCAGATGCTAATCCCCGGGACGCGGAAGTGGATGATGGAAAATGATTTGTCTTGGTGATAATGTATCTGTCCTGCTATACGTGCTTCTTACAATCAATACTAATGTCACGTCTATCGTTTGTAGGCAAAGAATTGTCTGTGGTGTCTGTAGACGGTCTCAAGCTTAAGTGGGTATATTCACGTCTTCTCTAATTGAAAGGTTGCGCGGCTACCTGTAGCTTCCTCGCCTATTCGATTATAAAGATTACTGCGAACGAACCACAATCTATGTTTGCCTTATCGCAGTCCCTGCTGTGCAATGTCTAGTGACCTTTGTCCCTTAACGTTGTAGGATTGACGTCGAATGCCGTAGCGGAACATTCCTTGTGCCTAGTAACGCAAATGTAAGGTCGGATATACGGGGAGGAGTCTAAATAAGTATGTTAATCACTTCGAGCGAGAGTAAGTCCTATGATCGATACTTTATATAGATAGGGCCTGAGATATTGAGATCAAGGGAAACAGCTACACTTTATTTTGAACCTATATTATGAGTCTACCCTTGAAGTAACAGATATCTATTTCCCCATCAGCTCCAGCGAAATCAACGGCTGTTCCACACCACAACGCTTTGTCTCCTAATATATCCTGTGTTCTCGGCGTAGTATCCTCTGTGCTGTGGACTTCACAGCGAGTACTCACTGGTCGCCGATATATTTTGCAGACAATTCGCGCTATGTTATCTCTTGAGGTTTCGGGTAATGCGAGGCCTATCTCGTCAGCGGATAATTATTGAATGGTGACGACACCTACCAGTTGCTCCCGTGATAGAGGCCATTGGCTGTTAGAATTGAAAAACACTATTTGGCCGTTGTGTCTGAGCCGTATCATCATAAAAACTTCGGCATCACACTCCCGACAATATTCGAAGGACTTCCGTAGAAGACTGCTTCTTCGACGAGCCTGTTGCTGGCGTATTGATCTGAGGCTGTTGAAGCGGCGTCTGCTGGTGAGATTTCTTTTCGCTGCCATTGTGCACGGGCCAGGAACCTTTTACCCAACTCTCATCCATGAGGAGATGGCAGGTTTAAATAACCACAGGTTGACACTGGGGCGATCCATGATCAGAATTGAACGCGAGGAAAGGCCACGACGAGTTGAGGGGGTGTCATGGGTGCGATGAGCGTTGCTAAGCGCCGTTAATATTCGTTACGGCGTGATGAGAAGGTTACCCTTTCCGCTGAAGATGTAGACCAGGCGCTGAATGCAGGTTGCCTGCGGACATCTCTCTCGTTGGCGGTGTATTTTCGAGGTCGCTGGCGAGGACCGATGGAGACTTGCTGCATGAGAATTCGCTCGACGGATAGGAGCCATGCTTCCTCGATAATGGGAAGGGGGACTGCGGGAGTCGAACCTGATAGTATCCGTCATGAAACTTGGTGGCCTGGTGCGGGGCAGATAGTACAGTCCATGTGTCTAATCGATCAGTATATCGGCTCGCGGGGGGTGCGATAGATAATCTAATACGCGAGGTGCGACACGAAAGACCGTCCTCTAATTATTTTGTATGTACCCCCTACTCCGTGCAGATTTCTATAATGTCACTTCATATGTAGTAGCTACAGTGTTAACCAATCCCCAAAATAGACCCCAAACGCTTGGACACCGGACGCCACCCAATCGCTAAAAGTTTCCTTTCCATAACCGAGTCCAATTGCGACTAGGCTGGGTTATGTTGCCGGAGCTAAGCGACAATTTTGCCTGAGCGAAAGGCTTAGCGCCAAGATGTCTCAATATAATTTTGCCCCTATTGAGATAAAACCCTGATAGTTCCTCCGTACAAAGACGAGCTATAAAGTATATCCCCGCGCTTAACGGATCGACATGCGTAGTGGGTCATGGCTCTGGGCCCTGTTAGGCGCCTCTTTTACAGATGCTTTGTCTCTGGAGAAAAGAGAAAAGCCTGCTGTGTTCAATGTGCCATTGAGACACAAACAAGTCGCAAAGTCGGCTGCTAAGACCCAGTCAAAGAGGGAAAATACAGTTCTTCTTCCAATGGGCAATGGTGTACGATGCCTTGATCCTCATGCTGATATCTCCTTCTACTGACTTCCACTTTTTCAAGGAAAATATTTTTTACACCAACATCTCATTAGGCACACCACCGCAGAGCATCGATGTGGCATTTCGGACGCTCGGCAATGAATGCTGGGTGCCCAAAACGACTTCGCGGGCTTGTGGTATGCTTCGGGGCGATAAATATTGCAGCGGCTCCGGTGGCTATAACAAGAGCCTTTCTACGAGCGTGAATGATCTGCATTCCAATTTCACCCTGAGCGAGTCGATTGAATCATTTTTAAGCATCACCGGGGACTTTGTGACCGATACTCTTGTCATTGGAAACACAACCGTGAAGTCTATGAAAATCGGGATTCTAAATGTGGATGCCACCCATAGTAAGCCCACACGTCTATACAATCATATTCGCGGTGAACTAATCCCTTGAATAGACATGCTCGGTCTGGGATATGGCGAAACGAACTCATCTTTTGTCTCCCTTACTCAAGCATTGGTTGATGCTGGAATCATCAAATCCCCGGCTTTTAGCATGTATATGGAGAATTCCCTACATTCTGCATCCTCGGGAGATTTGCAGGATAAGAAACCGGGCACTCTACTTTTTGGTGGTGTGAACAAATCCAAATACAACGGCACACTACACACACTTCCCATCGTCAGCAACCCTACCGATGATAGAAAGACCTTCCGGGTCAACATGACAAGCTTTTCCATCAACAAGACATCGGTGTTTCCCGAGGGGCTTCCGACACAAGCTCTACTTGACTCCTCGTTATCTTATACCTATGTTCCAGAGTCCATCGCACAGGAGCTGTCCTCTCAATTGGGCACTGAGATCCCAACGTTCGGCCCGACTCTTATCCCGTGCAATACAACTTCTAGTGATACAACACTCACGTTCGGGTTTGGAGTTGCGAGTTTCAAGCTAGACATCGGTCTATTCATCGAAACACATAGCGTGCTCAATGGCGAGGACATCTGTTACCTGGGCATTAGCACGAAAACCGATACCAAGGATGCGAACAGTGTTGTGCTTGGGGCAAATTTCCTTCAACAGATATACACAGTCTATGATATGGGAAATGATGAAGTCTCTTTGGCACAACGGGACTGGGACTCCAATGAAGATGAAATTTTAGAAATCACGACTGGCAAGAATACAGTCACCGGGGCTACATCGAAGCAAGATGACGCAGATGATACAGACGCCAAAGATGATAGTGAGAAGATGAAGTCCATCGGCTTCCGCATTGATGAAAGTGTAAGCCTACAGCTCTCCCTTTACACCTTTGTGATCTGGGCTCTCTTCTGTTTATAATTCGATGTATTCTAGTATGTTCTTTTAACTTGTATAATATAAGGCCTTGCCCCCTCTGCTGTGCACATACGTTCATAATCATTTCTTGGTTTGGAATTTCCCGGCTTGATCCATAAAACGAATGTCAACATATTCGAGACCTAGATAATCTAAAGCCGGGACAGTAAATGGGGCGTAGCATTCCCCTCGAATGTCTCCAACCCAGCGACAAATTCATTCCACAAGCCCTTCGATGTCATAGGAGCATTACTATAAGCCTGCAGTCCCGAAGCTTCCATGATGTCTTCCAAATCTGGGAACAGGGCATCTGCCGCCTGAGTTTCCATCTCTCTTTGGATCTCTCTACTCAGTCCACCTTGTTCGGCATACCAGGCAGAGTCCTCCTTTATGACACCAATCGCGTAGAGATCAAGCAATTTTGAATCAATATTGGCTTCCCGGGCGGCTTCAAAGGCCATTCGATGCCCGATTGCTTCGACCAACGGAAGAGCAAGTGGTAGGATATCACGATTGAACCGTTCGCCCCGATGAGTTCCCTTGCCCGATTGCAGGAGAAGAGCTTTCCCTTCAGAGAATAGAGAGGTTTCATGGCGAGAAATAGGACTACTTGGCTTCTTTGGCGGGGGCATTTGATACCGACCTATCAATAACTCGGATGCGAGTTCTGCATCATATTTGTCAGGCTTGCGATTTTCTAGAGAAATGAATGTGGACGTTGGTAGTGGTCACATACTGATAGCAAGCACCCGTATCTCGCCTTCTGCGGTTGACACGCCACGCATTTCTAACTGAAAATCGCCACATAAGTTATTTTTCTAGCATTCTAACAAAGTTGCTAAACACTCACCTCGAGTTGAAGAATTTGATTATTCTCAAAATGCCCATGCCATCCACATCGCTCATTCATAGCCTTGACACTCTTTCCAAAATGAGCTAGAGCTGCTGCTTTAAAGGCAATAGCAATGCCATGACGGATTCGTGAATCGATGCTCTTGTCCCGAAAAGCTTCCACCGAGGAGATGTAGAATGATTCCAGCACGCTATATTGAGCCACAGAGTAGAGAATAGGAAGATGCTGTGTTCGGAGCCCAATAATTGCTATTGGTTTCTCATCTTGTCCACTTACAATTCTGTTGCAGCTGAAGCGATATGCGTTGAAGGTTGCGACCTTTAGGCCCGGAATGGCAGCTCCGGATAGAGCGAGGGTTCCAACTACGACTCGATGTATTGTCGATAAGAAAAATCCACGCTCCTCTTTCCTTGATTCTAGACTACCCAGTAAGGCAGATCTTGGCAAGTGCACATGGTTGAAGTACGTTAGGGCATGGTCAACTGGGTGAGCACCGGTACGTGGAGGGAGTACTCTATTTAACCACTTAGCCCACAGATTTGACTCGATAACTTGACAGCATTCAACACTCACTTTGCTATAATACCTTTGCACATCTCTTTTCCATCTCCAATTTGGACAAGGAATGGTCGGATCCCACAATCCTTTTCTTCGTTTGTAAGACGAGCCATTACAACGGCGATTACAGGAATGCCACCTCTTGGGGTAGTTGGTGGCATAACTCTGACAGGTGCCTGTTAGCCCTTTTCAAGCAAAATACAGGGTGAGTGCCATACTTTGCATCGTTTGGAGACGGGGTGTGCAGGTCAATATCCCCATTGGGTAAAATTGTAGCCGTTGTCTGTATATTTCGCGCATCTAATCCATGATTGACTTCGGTCAGCATGAATTGTGCTCTACATACAATTTCTAGTCAGTTTCCCTTTCTGAAGTTAAATTATTCAATGTGGAACTCACGAGACTTCGAAGTTCATAGCAGACTGGAGGATTGAGTGAAGCTCTGGGCGATTTATGGCAAATGGGGCCACTGTCCCAACAAAGAGGTTACATTGAATAGTGAGCAGAGTGAAAGCCCCGCCATCAAGTGCAGCTAGGTGATCCATATGCATTCTAAAGAACTTTGGGGTAATTTCTAACACATCATGAATTGTCAAGCCTAGTACAGTCAGAATCACTTGACATGGCAATAAAGTAGATAACAAAAATACCGTATGCATTTGCAAAGGCCTTTGCTCTTTGGTAACTCAATCTAGTACGCTCCAGTGTGTGAGGCGGGCTTGTACAGTGGCGACCGTGCTAGATTGGCAATGGATATGTTCACAGTCGGTTCCTGTAGGGGCCAACGCTGCTCGGAGTACGTTTTCTTCATCAAAGATACCATATTGTGGAGAGAAGTACGGAGTGGCATTAGAGAATCAAGCACTTGGTGAAAGATATAGGGTTTATCAATAGTGAGATCAATTGGATAGATAAATTTGTACTAGGCTAAATTTACCTTTTCTGATTTTTGGAAACAAGCTGACTTAATTTTGTGGCATATGGCACAACAAGTGGGATGCGTAGCGAGCTAATATCCCTATTGGGTATTCATGTAGTCGAGATGCAGCAAACCGAAGATCTTGTGACGCACTCTGAAACTACCTACCTAAGCATATGTATGATTGATGGCCCTATCAAACGCAATTACCTGTCGGTCTAACAAGCCCTATCTATACGGCCTATCATGCACTTCTGGGGTGAGACTACCCTCGCATCATCTCCCACTCTTTCCCAGTCTTACTTTATCATGGATTATGGTACGGAGTACGGAGGACTGGCTCCATATGGGCATACTGGTTGTTATGTTTCCTCAAGCAATGTTTTACGACAAATCGTGAAATTTGCCTTCCAGCCCCTTACATCTTCTGGGGTGACTCTTCAATCCCCGGATACCCCTGATTAGCAGCGACAGAAGAGCCTATCATCAAGTTTCTTGGCGTATATTTTCTTTTTCGCGCAAATACGGAGTAGATACTCCGTACATACAACATAGATTATTGGTCAAAATTCCTTAGCCGCCGTATCTCGAGTCCTAAGACCTATATTATGGAAGGGTGATCCATAAGATCTCCGACATTAACCCTATCGGGGCTTGAATGAAGATCTATAAAACGAAGAGCCCTGACAGAGACTGTGGCTCTGTGACATGACCCCATCAGAAGACTTATAGCGAAGCCTCTAGGCCCAATCTACCAGATCATCTTCCAATATTCTAGAAATTGTTCTATCGCCCTTGACCTAGCCTTATTGCATATAAAGGGATGTAAAGTGTACAGGTGAACCTCACTATCTGATATTGCATAACTTGGGAACACTGACCAAACTTGCATATAAATTAACACATAAACTCCTTCTTCGCACTAAGCTTTAGTGTATTATCTATGCATTTTGGGAGTACATACTCCGTATATCCACGGATATGTGAAGGAGCATTTGCGGAGCAACCTTCACCTAAGAAACAAGCGATAAGCCTTCATCACGATAAGCGATAAGGCCCCATCTCAACCTGAAGGCTGCCTCTGGGAATCATCGAATGTACTTAAAATACCATGCTCAGGGAAATGCAAAGACTTCCAACGTTCTAAGCGGGCCCTTACTAATATACTTGATAGGAACTGAGGACCTAGTGGACAAGTCTGGATGCTTCTGAATGGCGGTCCGAATTCCCACCTTCAAAGGAGTAGGTAGACAAAGCGGTCAGCTCCTTGAGATCACGATAAGGGTGTACATATCACGTGCCATAACATCGCCAACGACATCTGGCAGCCAGTCTTCATCGTCCTGTTGTTCAATATATCCGCACGTCTCAAGTCTCTCACATTATCAGTGAGAAGCTGTGTGAATCAGATTGTAGGCTCTAAAAATTGGCCTCTACCTTGATTCACGGTCAAGACCCGCTTGACATTCCACATTGGAAGAGTAAATGGAGAGACTCGGGGTGTCTACTCGATTACATGGACTTCCGGGCTTCTCAGGTGGTGGCTCGTCTTTCGATTAAATAAGCGACCAGGTAGGTCCCAAATTGATGGATGGCGTGACACGAACGCTTTCATCCTCTCTGTTTTTCTCCCATCATCAGATTGACTCGCCTTTGTAATCCTGAAACGGAATGGCTAACGTGTCTCCCAGTCTGCAAAACCTAATTGAGGAGCTCGGGTTTCCCTCAAGCGAGTACCCTTTTCTGGTCCGTCTTTTCGGGTCCTCCGACCCATTTGCTGGGCTTCCTGGTACAGATCTCGAGCCCAGCCACAACCGAAATCAACCTGGCCAACTCAGTTCTACTAGTATTGCTGGCAGACTTGCATCTACTAGGCTCTGGCAAGCTATTCCTCCGCTTCATGGGTGAGTTTCATTGACTAACATATCGCCCTTGCAGTGAAGGTGTCAATCAGTCTCTTCTACCACCCACCCACCGTCGCCCTGGTGGCTTTCGCGAAGGTTTAGAAGGCAGAGATTTAGTCCACTACGAAGAAGAGTGGACTTCTCTCATCACCGCCGATTCAGAATCTCTGTTCTCCGAGTTACTCCAACAGCTTGTATTGGACGGCGAGCAATCCAGGCTTGAGTCCTCTGAGCTTCCCGAGCACCCTAAGGCATCGGACAACGTTGCAAACCCTGGACCCGTTGGACCTCCAAGCCCATCGGTCTATGATAGCGAAACAGGTGAGCCGCCCGACTCTATTGTTGATCTCAACGAGACCCGTGGAACCGAAGGCGATTGCAAAACATCCCAGGACCTGAGGGCTTCAAAGGAAACTGGGAGCTTTGAAAAACTACTTCAATCATTTCCAATTCCTCCCGGTCGCAATCAAACGGTCGCGGACCGAAGTTGCTCCCAAGTTTTATCTGACTCCCCATCTGACCCCCAACGAGTGCTACCGGAAGACTGTGCCCAGGCTAATACGTCGACCGTCGCCAGAAGTCAGATCGAATCTGTGACCAGTCTACCTAGGATTTCCCGATTCTCTGAAGAATTGGCTGACAATTATCCCATCGGAGAGCAAGATACTTCCGACATTTCTGTTAAAGCCAATACATCTGCACTCGACACTTCAAACGTCGTCAACACTCGGAACGTTTCCTTTGGGATTCTTTCATTGCCCCCTAGCACCTCTTCCAGAGAACGTTCCCCCACTGGCCATCACGAGGGACAAGAAGCGAAGCTCGACAGCCCATGTCAAGCCCAGGATCGTGCGAATAAATACATCGCTTTCCCTGAATACCCCCCGCGAGTCCGCCCAATCAGCTACGTGATCAGAAGGCAGCGCTCCTTAAAGCCTATCTCCGAAGGGCGCCCCGCATCAAAAGCTACCCCTCGGTATTACCAAAAGACGCCTCTCCGTATCTCTTCTCGTCCGTCTACAACCTCTTTCGCCTCGGGAAAAAGGAGCACACAAAAGTGCAAGAGAGTCTTGAGACGTTTTGTTGAGAACCTCAAACGTCTGTTTTGTTAAATCTGCAAACACCCGGGCACATCATCCACACTCAATCATCAACTCCACGCCGGAGAAGCCGCATATCTTCACCTTCACTTCAAATCTGACTCACTCAACCCCCATTATTATCTTTACGTTCTTCTCACTTTTACACCTATCTTCCCTCCTCCCTGTGTCATTTCAACGTCATCTTCATTCACAATGGATTCTCGAACATCCCGTCTCTTGGACCCATCCTCCGCAATGGCGGCCATCACCAGGCACAAAGCAGAAGCAATCAAGCTAGCTCGTGAACAAGGGGTGGCCGTTCAAGAGATGTGCCGGCGTGCGAAAACTGAGATCCCACCATACGAGTTTGAAGAGTTGATAGGCAAAGGTGCCTATGGTCGTGTCTACAAAGGTCACCAAAAGCAATCCGGCCGGTTGGTTGCCATCAAAGTCCTAGATATTGACTCGCTGGATTACAAATCGCTTCGAGATTTCAGAGATGAGTCGATAAAGGATTTCATCCATGAAACTAAAGTGATGAAGCAAGTGAAAGATTCTGGTGCCAAGAACATCAACGAAATAATTGAAGCCATCTCCATCCACTCCCAATTGTGGCTGGTTTGCGAGTACTGTCCCGGTGGCAGTGTCCGCACCTTGATGCGTGCAACGAACGACAAGCTTGATGAAAAGTACATTATTCCAATTGCTCGTGAGCTGGCTGTTGGACTTCGGGCTATCCACGAAGCTGGAATCATTCATCGCGATGTGAAAGCTGCCAATATTCTTGTTCATGAAGAGGGTCGTCTGGAAATCTGTGATTTCGGTGTTGCTGGTATTCTCCAATCACAGCGCGACAAACGATCAACCTGGATTGGAACACCACACTGGATGCCGCCGGAGATGTTTGCAACTCGCGGAGAAGCCCATCTTTACGGAAGTGAAATTGATGTATGGGCGTATGGGTGCACATTGTTCGAATTCGCGAACGGAAACCCACCAAACGCGGGCCTACGGGAACGAATGCAAATCGGTCGCCAACTTAATCGCAAGACGCCCCAGCTGGATAGCGATCAGTACAGTCAAGGCTTGAAAGATCTTATTGCCTACGCTCTTGACTCCAATCCAGACACTCGGCCGACAATGGCAGAGATCCTTTGCCACCCCTACATTGCCGATACAGATGAAGAATATCCCACCGCCTCTGTGAGTGAATTGGTGAGAAACTACTACCAGTGGTCCCAACGAGGAGGCCAGCGTATTTCTTTGTTCCACCCAGGCGGCGCCCAGGCGGCAGAGCTTCCAGGCATCGAGCAGTCAGAAGATGACTGGAATTTTAGTACAACAGATGGGTTCGAGAGAAGATTCTCTGTTATTGATCTGGATGAGATTGCCGCCTCGTTGGCGGAAATGGAGCAAACAATCAGTCCTGCCGATACAGGCCCTGAGCAGGACATGTACGAACAGTTCTCAGAGGACGATCTTAACTACGAAGATAAGGCCAACTTCGATGAACGTGTGCGCCGAGGCGCCGAGGCAATGGAAGGCCTGTTTGACGAGGAAAAGCCCAGCTATACATACGAGACCAAAAATGACTTTGTTCCCATCGAACCCGCCCAGTCTACCTCGGATCTTCCCCTCCGTGCGGAAACAGACCGATCTTCTGTCACGTCAACATTTCTTGATATCGACATCGGGTCATTCGAGGCCTCACATTATGCGGCAGGAGCTCCATCTGCGCAGCCCTTCCAATTGGTCGATGCAAACACTATCCGTGCAAACCGTTCCAGTCTTCGCTTGAACAGGAGCTCCTCTGAACACAGCTCAAAATCATCTAATAGCAGTGTGGAGGATGATCAAAACCTTGAAGATACATTTGTGCCGTCTGGTCCTCGACCTCCCACCATGGACTGGAAGTTCCCGTCATTTGTACAAGATGAAGAGGGACAACCGGAAGAAGAAAAAGAAGAGGAGGCTCCTGCGAAGGAGCCCATAACGGAGGAGTCTTTCCAGGCTGAGAAGCGAGCCACCATGCAGTGGACATTCCCAGTCATGGGATCCGTGCCCGAGAGTCAAACTTACGATGACCGACATGACACCCTCCGGGCTCCACTGCCCGAGGTGCAGCCTCCACCGCAGTCGCAGCCACAGTCAACAGATGAACCGGGTGACTCGCGTCCTTCAACTTCGGCATCGAATGCTTCCGACTCGGATTATGATCCCTTCCGCTTTGATCGCCCCGATACCCCAGAGGGCGCAAACTCACTCCACCACAGTCATTTCTTCGACACAGAACTCCCCGCGATGATGGAATTAGCCGGTTACAATGAATATGAGGCTTCCGGGATCCTCGATGGCCCGGGGCCGGATGAGGAATCTCACCCCACATGGAGTGCGCACTCAGGGACTTCCTCGTTTGAAGACAGTACGACAGCTTTACCCACGGCCGTCCCAATTCCCCAAACTCCCACTGCTTCTTCGGTGACTTCGGGCCCGGTCTCAGAACCGGGATCTCCAGTGTTCGACACTCCCGTGTTCGAAACTGTACGTAATGTACGACACGACGTGTCTGAAGCCTCCTTACCACAGGCAGAAGATAAGCGACCAATCTCCTTCCCGGCTCTCAATCCTCCAAGTGCAGCGGGTCTGATGGAGGGTATGGATGACGGTGTGGTGATAGCAGAACTTGACCGCCTGCTGAGCGATTTCCTAGAGTCGCTATCGGCGACTGGTGAGGCAATGTCACGGGTCGGTACGAAACATGAGACAAATGGTGTTCATGTTGCTGAACAGGTCTAAATGACCAATATGGGGTGGGATATCATCACTGGCAAATATCCTTAGTAAGAAAGCATACAAGGAGGCCCAGAATTGTTAAGATTCATGTCATTGTCTACGATTTCAGGAACTAATATTACGTCCATTTATTATGCAGATTTCCAAGGCTAATGTAGGCACTAATTTCGGCTGGTAGAGGCAAATATGCACCTTCTTCGATGCCCGTAAAATTATCCTTGGGGCTGCTGTGCCTATGTAGCCTTGAGACTGAAAAAGACAGGCATGGGCGCTGGAGTTGTCTAGCAAACTCTGGAGTGTCCAAGTCTCAATTTGGAGAGGCAGACAGTCCAGTCTCTCATCTCACCTCTCATCTCCCTTCTCTTCTCTTGTCTCTTCCTCCTCTTACATCCTATCTCGTGTTTCATCTCTTCTCCCGCCACACTTGACCTGCCTACTTTCAAAATGGCTTCTCTTTCATCCTTGAATACCTCGGAAAAGCCACCAGAGGCCTCGTTGCCCTTGGGTATCTTTTCTCCTCCACAGAATTCCCATGAATGGAAGAGAGCCCTCGCCTATGTAAAATGGCTATGTTTCAACCAGCAATACAAACAATGTGCCTTGCGTTGCAATCAGCTCATAGACACCGCGTCTAATCCGGTTTGTTCTTCACAGATCTCATCTCAGAGTCTGATCTTAACAGGTATATACATAGCTCCACCCAATCCGTGCCACCTACCTCCACTACTATGCAGCCACATCATATGAGTACATGGGACGAGCAGCTCATATCTTTTCGGCTGTCAAAGTCCGGCTTCTGACTTCTGCCATGGAGCGGTTTCAGACTGCCTATGAGTTTTTGCCAGCTACTATTCCACTGCCGGTTCTAAATCCCAACCAGACATACTCGCCAGTGACTTTCCTCCATTCGCCTGGTTCATCTCCTCGGTCTTCCGTTAGTGTTGTCATGTGGAGCCCACCTTTGCTAAACAACGATGTCGCTCCTGGTCCTGCTTCAACTTCTGGGGCTCTGTCATATGAGAATTTGTCGGCGCATAATGCTATCCAGATGCAAACTCCTCCCCCGCCTGTCCCGTTTTCTTCTTCCTCTTCGAACTCGACTATTACTACTGCTTTTTGTATCACGCCACCTCCTGCTGCTCGAGAAGTCTCGCGTCTTGAATATGACGCTCCCCCTCCAGCTTTTCATATCCCACCTCCAACTCGCAAGCCCCCTCCTCCGCCATGCGACGTTTCTCCCCGCCTGGCTACGAGAGACCAATTGATCTCCTTTAACAGTGCTAAAGATAGGCTTCCCAACGGGGGATCTATCGTCCGAAACATTGCCCGAATGATTGATAACTCTATCTTCACGAGAGGCGACGACCCTTTTGTGACCCACGCGCCGCCAAAACCTCGCATCTTAGATCCACCGCTAGTGCGTCTGTCTCCCATTAAGTTCCCAACCGGACTTGACGATCCAGTAAAGCGTAGGGAGCTTATTCCGCCCCCGCTTGCGATCCGGAAGAATTCCGGCGAGGTACACATGTGCAAAAGTGCTGGAACGGTAATTTGTGGAGGTCCAGAGCAAGAGACGTCTAAGTTTGAGGTGAATCGACCCGTCCGAAGTCGCCCTCCCCGGCTGCCCTTGAAGATAATCCCATCCAATCGTTTGAATGCTAACACAGAAAAGCCGAGCACTTCAACCCCAGCACTGCAGCTGAAGCGTCTGAGTCCCGCCCTTCTTGGGTTCATGGCTACGCCTCCATCGACACCCACCCCTGTTCTGAGAAAGAAGAAACCCTTCCTCGGTTCGCCATTCACCAGCCGCGTAGGCTTACCAGAGCAGGACAGTGTTCAGTCACTCTCATCGCAGTTGACAAAGCCATCCACCGCGTCTGTCAGCGCTGCGCGCGCCTCCCAGATCAATGAGTTCAACGAAGCCGTCAAATGGCTCCGTGAGCATATTCCCGCCGACGTGACCGGGCTACGCAAGCAGATCAAGCATGTTTCGGATCTTCAGCAGGCTCGTCGTTCTCGGAACACGACGATGGCCCGCTCTGCCTCTTTCTGGACTTTTTCGCCCGTTAAGTCGAACCCCGGTGAACCACAGGCACCTCCTGTGATTGAGGGCCCTAATCTCGATGCGTATGGAAACGTTATTCGGACTGAGACTAAGGTGCAGCGTATTAAACGGCTCAGGGAGGAGGATTGGAGGATTGGTATTCGGTCGAAACATAGTCTCTGGAAGGGGTCTGAGTACTACGATAACCTTTGCGAAACTGCTTTGGCTGAGCTTGGTGAGACAGGTTATGGGTCTCGCGAATGGTTGAAGCGATGAGATCTTACTCTTACCGCATATTCTCTTGCTGGTGTCCTTTTGACTGTGATCATTTTGCGCTTTGCGTTTTTCTCTTCTCTTTGTTTTTCATTTTCCGGGGTTGGAAGTCGTGCAAGTGCTCATGCGATTGCATGACATTGAAGCCTTTCGCTTCAGGATGCTCAATCTGCCTTCGCGGTTGATAATTTGAATCGTGGATATCACCATGGACCGCGTTTAGGCAACTTGATTGCGTATCGAAGTGGTTCCGTGAATTGAGGAGTCGACGAGTATGCCATCAGGGCTACTGAAATCATGGCCTCTTCGCCCATTTGGTTTGGTACAAAAGATCCTGACATGGTCTTTTGTATATTACCAATTGGGTGAAGGTTGGAGACATCCTATGGTTGGGCTTGTTTCTTAATCTTACTCCTAATGTCAATTTCAATGAAAAGTCAGATTTGTTATTCTCGTCCTTTGTGCTAACAGCCCACTCCTCAAAGACCTTTGCTCAAAACAGAACCAAGTCCCTCTCCCAGACCTCCTTTGCCAAACACGCCACCCAGTTGATTTCCGAGTTGATCTTGAATCTTGCTTAGATTCTGGTCCTCGGTGAGTTTCTTGCCGGTCAGACTTTCTATGAGTCAATTCTGATTAGTATGCTCCTTGTTTTCTTGTTTGGGTATCACATACTTTTCAGTCCATAGGACACCTTTGTTTCACCCATGTAATCGAGCAAAAGCTCTTGGAGCTGTTTTTGGTATGGATCTAGATAACCAGCGACCCACGCGCCGAGTAGAATTACCTGGAAGGAAAGGAAGAAGAGTAAGGATATCATTGAAAGTTCCAGCTGAGAATATTGTGTTCTGGTCTAATAGAATCAGTCCAAAAACTTGTGGTTATATATACACCTCTAGGCCTATGACGTCTGGTGACGCTGTGGCACACGAGGCACCGGGGAGTATTTGCCAATCAGGGAAGGGCTTGTATATTAATTTTCCAAGAGTTTCAAATTTGGTTCCTATTCTTTTTGTCAAATTGGAATGGAAGTAATAGTTCTCTAGATCCTGATTCTTTTTTTTTTCTATATTTATAGAAAGAAAAGAAAAAAACTGAAGCATATTGTTGTACTTTAGACAAAAAGCAGCTGTTCACACGTATAGTGGATATTTACTAGCGACCTGTGTCTATCAAATACCTAAGCATTTTGGAAATGATCTCTAGGAATCTCCGAGAATAATGTGCCAGTTGTACTCTTCTGTATACAAACTAGCGCTCTTCAGCCCTGGAGGCAGTAACATTCCCGTTGTGGCTGTGCTTGGCGCTAAACCCTACAGTCATCTTATCGCGTCTAGAACTGATCTTCCTCCCTTTTTTTTTTTTTTGGACATTTTTCATCTTCATCTTCTCTGCGATTGATCTGGGATCTCTGATCGTCTCAGAGTGTTATCAGTCCTGGGTTGTCAATTTTCAATCCGGTCAGTTCTGTTTGGATTGCAGCCACCCCCGCGCATGGTCACCCCTCGAATTTCGGTTCTATATGTTCTATACTAACCCTGACACACTCTCTCTCTTAGATTGGACTTCATTCACCATATAACCCTCAATCCTTGAACCCTCTTCGTTCTACTCGTTGCTACCTAAGTCGTGCCCATTCGAGCCCATCACATACATCTACCTTGGGCATCTGCAGCCCTATCCCCACATCATGAGTTGTGAGTCGATATTTTATATCCATGGGACTTTTGTGCGCTATCCAGCCTTGATATGATTCGTCGTTTGATGTTGCCCAAATATTGTTCAGCGTCGCATCAGCCTTATCCCCAATCTGACTCCTCGCTGCGTTGGAATTGCCATGTCGATCTACACCCTTCTTGTCAGCTCTCTATGGAATATATGGGGACTAGGGGCACTGCTAGCTGTCATTTTGTGCCACGGTCTGCTTCGTAATTCCTATGCCCTCTCCCTTCGGTCGGCTCCTCGAGGGGTCCTTTGCTTCATTTGTCTTGCGCGTTTCATCGGAGAGGCCCCGCAATTTACTAACTTTCAGTCTTCCAGTCGCAAACATGCTCAACAAGCTGTCCGGACAGCCAGAGAGCTACGAGAAGAAGTAATGCCTCCTTATCCTAGTCCCTTCAGCCCACATCCGCTGACTTTGTTTTCACTGCCTGTAGGGCTCTCTATAAATTCGGACGGACGCTGGGTGCAGGTACATACGGAATTGTTCGCGAGGCGGATAGCACCGATGGACAGAAGGTTGCGATCAAGATAATTCTCAAGAAAAATGTCCGTGGCAACGAGAGCATGGTCTATGACGAGCTCGAGATGCTGCAATCACTCCAACATCCCCACATTGTCTCATTTGTCGACTGGTTCGAATCTAAGGTGAGCACACAAGGACCTTGCCCTGATCGTTGCGGAGCTCTAATCCTGGAGCTAGGACAAATTCTATATCGTTACACAGCTAGCCACCGGTGGCGAGTTGTTCGACCGGATCTGTGACTATGGCAAGTTCACTGAGAAGGATGCGTCGCAGACTATCCGCCAGGTGCTTGATGCTGTGAACTATCTGCACAAGCGTAACATCGTTCACCGAGGTCGGTCTCAAGTCATACTAGCAGTTGATGCGTAACTAACCTTTACAAAGACTTGAAACCCGAAAACCTCCTCTACCTCACCCGCTCTGCCGACTCTGAATTGGTCTTGGCTGATTTCGGTATCGCGAAGATGCTGCATGACCCGTCTGAGGTACTGACCAGCATGGCCGGCTCCTTTGGATATGCTGCCCCCGAGGTCATGCTCAAACAGGGCCACGGCAAGGCCGTCGATATGTGGTCACTCGGTGTCATCACCTATACCCTCCTGTGTGGCTACTCCCCCTTCCGATCCGAGAATCTGACCGACCTCATTGAAGAATGCCGTACAGGCCGCATCATCTTCCACGAGCGGTACTGGCGCGACGTATCCCAGGACGCCAAAGATTTCATTCTCACCCTCCTCAATGCGGACCCCAGCAAACGAGTTACCTCCGAGGAAGCCCTCAAGCACGAATGGCTGACCGGAAAGACTGCGAGCGACCGTGACTTGCTGCCTGAAATCCGCACCTATATTGCACGTGCCCGTCTCCGCCGCGGAATCGAGATCGTCAAGCTCGCCAACCGTATCGAGTCACTCAAAATGCATGAGGAAGAGGGCGGAGAGGATATTCCCAGCCCCATGGACATGGGCGCCGCCTCATCCGAGGAATCAAGTACGGCTGAACCATCAGTGTCCGACGGTGATGCCACTCCAGCCCCTGCCCCCGGCCACGCAAAGAAGAAGAGTCTGGCAAGCGCCGCTCACGGTGCTATCTTCCGTGAAGTTGTTCTGGCCAAGGTTCGTGAACAGAAGGAGGCTGAGGAGCGGGAGAAGGTTGAACGTCAAGCTCGCGAGAAGGCTGGCTCTGCTTAAATTGTTTACCGTATTTCTTGTCACTTTTATATCTTCCATTTTGTTCATACGCTGTTCCTACGTCTACCCTGCCCTGTTATTCTCTTTTATGTGCCTGGCGGTTTTCTGGATATAGTTCTGTGATTCCCATTTTTCAAAGTCAATCAGAGTGGACATACAACATTTTCACCACTGCTCTTCTTACTGTTCTTGATGATTCAGTCACGAAAACCTGTCCAATGACCTTAGAAAAAAGAACAAACTACCCCACGTAGCCATTATAGAGAGAAGTTGTCCAGGTGAATACCGAATGATACATTCCATAATTTTCTAGTGGATTGCTAATATTCACATTTTAATGACATTTTCAAACATTTTACCACACATTTTATTTCTATCTTTTGCGGCTGATTCTTCTTGTCTAGCTATGTCGTATGACATGGTACATTTGAGACTTCTCGAAACGCCGCATGTGACTATTCTTATTCGTTGATATATATTGCACAATGGCTGCAATATATATATACATTAGCTATGCAATTTGACTGGAGCCGCATACACAAGCTGGATTATCTCAGGCTGATAATTTTTGTAACATGCCACCTGTTTGATCTCCATGCCTATAGAGAAATTGAAACGTTTCTGAAGGTTATAGAAAATCATCAAGTAAAAGGAAAGTAGTAAGTGACAGCAATATAGAGTCAGGTGTCGATATCACGTGCACCAATATATGATCTCCCCACTTCCAAGGCTAGCTTTCAGACTGTTGGTCTTTGAAGAATATCGCTGTTTGAACCCTCTTGTATTTGTTGCTTTATTCTCATCGTTGAGAAGTTTCTCACTTTTCCGTCTTCACGTCATACATCCGCTCTACTCCACCTAATCGAGTCACCGCCCCTCCTTCTCCACCGGAGCTCAAACATCTAAATCTTTTCTTTCACCTATCGCAGCAATGTTCGCTACGAAGCGTCTGAGCAAGGTGAGTTATACTTTGAATATGAAGGGAGAATCTTCCTCTTACTGACTCTATCTTTCTGAAATACAGGAGCTCATTAAGGTACCAATCCCCCCGTTTCCTTCGCGGCCTTATCGCATACTTTACGAGCATACATACCCTTGCATATTGCTCATTCGATGAACATGTGTCTCTGACATTGTGGACCGTCTAGATGCAAGAGCATATTCCTCCGGGAATTGCAATCGTGAAATGTGACAATCTAGAGGAATGGCAAATGGACATCAAGATCCTTGATCAGAACCCACTTTATCTGGACCAGACTTATCGCCTGAAGTTTACTTTCAGTAACAAGTACCCTATTGGTAAGCTCCATCTTCTAAACAGCCTCCGTGCCTACCGTCTCTCGGCAGCTACATTCCACTGCCCTTGTCTTCGCTTTTGTCTTTTTATCAGATCATTCCAGGTTTTGACACATTCTAGAACCCCCAGAGGTCCAATTCATCCAATGTCCCGCCTCCACCGGCACCCCCCGCACAATTCCAATGCATCCCCATATCTACAGCAATGGCATTATCTGCCTTGACCTCCTGGGTTCCGCCGGCTGGTCACCAGTGCAGACAGTCGAGAGCGTTTGCATGAGCCTTCAGAGCATGCTTACCGCCAACAATCGCAACGAGCGACCTCCCGGTGACCAGGAGTTCATTGCCACCAATCGCCGTCGCATCCGTGACATCAACTTTGTCTATGAGGATGATAATGTATAAAGTTCTAGCTCCTCTCAAGTTGGGAGCTAGTCTATGGGGTGTTATGGAGATAGGGGTGGCTTGCGTTGGCGGGGTGGGGGGGCATACATTGGCGTTTTCTGCATGAGATAAAATTCCGCCCCTTGAGATTTGAGCGGCTGGATTTACATCCTGCCTGGTGATATTTGATTCTTTGCGTTTGCATTCATCCTGGCGCTGGCCCATTGTTGGTCTCAATCGTGGAATGGGTGGTCTTCTTGCGGGCGTTCAAGGGTTTCCATGAGTTAGTAATACGATCAATGAGAGAACCGTTTCTCTTTGAATGATATATGGTGATTAGAGTACGGAGTAGACATGGAAGAAATCAAGTAATAGAATCTACAGTCTGAGCGATTGCCCATTTTGTTTGAGAAAACGATAGCGGATGTTCAAATGTGATTGGCCGAATTGCTTGTATTCCCAAAGCACGAATTGTATGAATCATCCAAGCCCCAAGTATAAGATCAAGTCACAAATGTCCGTCCTTTACGGGCGATTAAGTATGCCACCCGACATATAACTCTTCCATAGGTTATTACCGCACCGCCTCTTTGGTCATCACCTAAAGCATCCATGGGCATATAGTTCGGTACAATGATTTCAATTCATCTAACAAGAGTAGACAGCAGCTTATACAGCCTTGGAATATCTTTCTGATAGGGCTCTTCAGCAGTATTCTTAGTAGGCTTCTCAGATATTCTCTCTGGATATCTTGAATGTAGTTTCCCGCCTTGCTAGTTTTATAGGTAAATAGTAGGAAAAGGCGGAAGGACTATACCTCATAAGAAGACTTTGTTTTACATAACCTCTAACTTTATCTTAGAGCGGCCCTTTCAATAAGTAGATTACTACAACTCTTCGTTCCCAAAGGACATAGGAGACATTATCTTCTGGTCCCAGCAATCAAACACATCTCGGTCATTTCGTCGCATTAACCACGAGTCAGGTGTGTCGGGAAGCCCTAAAGACGCCGAATTTGGTGCCGCGTAGCGGTGAGACATTTGCAATTGTATGAGGGAATGGTTCAGGGGAAGATTTGCATCGCAGACTGAGACCTTGTTTCATGTGGGAGGATGAAGGGCGGCTAGTTGAGGGGGTGGAGAGGCTAGGGCTTGTCATTCAGAGTACATTGACAAACAACGAATAGAAGAAATAGAAATGTTTGGAGTAATCCATGGGTATGTTCATTAGATTGTACAATATTTACGTCAGACTTCGAATTCCTTAGCAATCCCATGATGTCCGCTCTTGCAGTCGTATATATCGTTGTAAAAAGAAATCCAAAACTCCACCCCACACCGTATAACTTCAAACAGGAATTGAGCGCACTTCTATCAGCCATAAAACCAATACTCTGCAGCATAATCAACTTGGATTGTTCTTTTTTGACCAGCGCACGTAGAGGGCGGGTCACCTTGAGATGTCACAACCCGGTAAACTTCCTACATAGAACGATTCGGTCAGATATATGTGCTTCAGATCGGGAGCGATGGATCACTTGAGCCTACCTGAATGCCCTTTCCCTTCTTGTGTCCTAACTTAAGCCACGGAACATCGTCGGAGGATTTTGATCTTGACTTTGGCGCTGGGGAAGAGGCTATCTTACTAGCAGCAATCCAGGACTTAGAGCCACTGAGCTCCATGTCAAAGATCGGCTCTCCGTCAGCGTCAAAGTAATGTTCACCAATGATGAGGTTGGTGCTTCTCGTGCTCTGGGCCATAAGGGTTGCCATGAATGCGAGAGATTCAAGAGGAGTGGCGCTGATGATTGCGGGGATTTCGTGGAGAAGAGTTAAAGATGATGATGCAATGCAGGAGGCGTCGAAGAGCGTAGCGGCCGCTCCTGTGGCTTTGGGCTTGATGGTGGTTTTGGAATCTGAAGAAGCATTCGATGGACATGTATAGTTCTGTGTTCCTCGACCCAATGCAACATATTTGAGGGTCAAATCCTTGGAGGGGACTGGAAGTTGTAATTTTGTCGCGCTCAACGGGAGGGATACATTTGCGAGAGAGCAATTCCCAATATTGATCTTGCCAAGTTGGTGGTAGATGTGGGAAAATGAGGAAGCGAGAGCCAGAGGTTGAGGAAGGCCTGAGTGTCCTTCCACACTTGTTGCTCCGAGAAGTAACGGCAGCGCTAAGAGGAACTTCATGGTGGCCAGGCGATTTTGGATGTATATGAGGTATAGACGGTTTCTAGAATCTGTTCGAGGGATTCTAGTTCTGGGGTTGTGGGGAGGAACTAGGGTATAAGGGCCAGGGTAAGACCATCAAACAGGGAAATACATCCCATTTAATGAAAAGGCTAGCAGGGCTACTCTCATATGTAACAAAGGATATGCTCTGAGTTTGAGATATACCGCACAGGTAATCAGGCTCTCGGCGTAGACCGAATTAAATCAAGCGTAGTGGATTCTGGTTCAATGAACTTTTGAGGGGGCCAATGATACATTCAATCTAGATTGATACCGCTGCACATGCGTTGTCTACATAGTATAGCTTGGAAATTATCCGAGTCTGCTGACTGGGATACTGGGCTACTGTGCTAAAATTGGCTTCTTTGTTGTCATCCCCACCTATGATGAAAGGTTGCTGGAGAGATGGGAAATGAGCTTTTAATCCTGGGTTGGTTAGGAAAGGAAGAATGTAACCACAGGGCTTTGTAGGTTACACTAGCCGTTGTCGTTTACTACCCGGCAGCAAATTGGCAGCAAACTGTCAATTTGATGTCGAACAACCTTGGAATAGATTGGGATATGAGAGTAATACTGTATGGTATTTGTTAATCTATAGTACGTCAGTACAAGTCAGCCTTGGAAGGCATATTGATCAAGTACACCCTTTCGAATCTTAGAATGCTGTAGGCGCTTATATGAAGCACCTACTATAACCTAGATCTGTCATTGGCTATCGGAGATTTTCGTTTCCTTTTCCCCAGTTATGTTAAGAACCTTATTCCTAAACTAGACAATTAATTTCGAGTGCAGGCACACTAAAACTTCATGCAGACTTTCAATAATAATATCCCTGACACACCGGTGTGAGACATAAATAGACCATAAGCGCCCTCGCAGCGCCACAGATTTAAGTACCAATCAGGCCGTATTACATACAATTATAAGCTGTAAAGTACAGTGTGAGATTTGATCATATACAAAGCATTATAGAGTGGAGAGAGAATGGCACTACATGGTAGAATATCACAGTTTCCTGGAAGGTTTCAACAAACGATTAGTCATGGTAGCTCACATGGAGTTCATACAACATATGGAGTTGGTTCCGTGATAATGTAAAATGTTTCGAGAGATTTCACTTCAGCATGATCCATAACCTTGGCCTCTTCGCACTATTGTCCAACTCACTATTCCCTCCTGTTGGGGATGTTTGCCATATCTCTTTCATTCGTTGTTAGACCGCCCGATGGCCTCGGGGCAAAATCAAGCTTATATCATCATCGAGCACGTGATCCTAAGAACCAACCCAACAAGCTCAAGTGTCTAATCACGTGCAAGTTAATCACGACCTTTTCATCACGAGGCGGCTAGCATTACAGCATCCTCAATCACCATTATTGTGACCGTTACAGCGGTTTTCAATCCGGATGTAGCTGCGGTGTTCCCTTCTGCGGTAATACAGGCTCACTCATATCCTTGCGACTTTAACGTTTTGCCACCATGTCTGACGGTAAGTTTTCGCAAGCTCTCCCGCCTGGTCCTATACTGATCTCCACTGTAGCCGATATCGAGGCTGTCCGACGGCTCCAGGCTGAGCGCAATGCTGCCGCTAGTGCTAAAAAGGGCTCCAAGACATTTGACCCATCTGCCCAACGTACTGATAACTCGACCAAAGCCTCCCTGACGGAATCCTTTGACACCTTTTTGTACGAACGGGATGGAGCTGAGAAGTTTTCGAACTACGATACTTCGATCGCTGTTGATGGTGATGACGAAATGGAAGATGCGGATGGAGGACACAGACTGGTTGGCCAATACACTGCTACCAGAAGCCAAATCGATGAGATGGCGCAAGGAACTGGCGTCGAGGAGGAGGACATTCTGCTAGGCCGCGAAAAGGCGGCGCGGATCGCAGATCGTGAAACTGACTACCAAAAACGCCGATTTAACCGTGGCGCCCTGACCCCGACGCGTGCCGATCCCTTCGCTGCCAATGCCCACGCGAATGTTGAAGGAGAAAGTCAAACCTACCGTGAAGTGATGGCTATTCGCGAAATAGAGAGGGAAGAAGAACGCGTTAAGAAACTCATTGCAGAGAAGCGTGAGAAGGGTGAAGACACCACAGAGCACGTGGCTACCTTAAAGAGGGTGGAACACGATAAAGAAAACGCCGAAGCGGGTTCGACCGTTGCGGTGGCTACCGAAAGAAAGCGAAAGAACCGATGGGGCACTATTGACGAACCTGCTGGCGAACCAGGTAAAAGATCGCGTTTCGATCAAGCACCTGCTCCCGAAGAAGCACCAAAGACCGGCCGTTCGAGATGGGATCTAGCGCCATCTCTCACAGCTGCCACCCCCGTCGGCCATCAAGGACTCGCCACTCCCATGCATCCATCCCAAGCAGGCGCCTCTGCGACTGCCGTCGGATTTGGGGTCGATGTGCCTGGTCAAGTTGTCGGTTGGTCTGATGAGGAGCTCGATATCATGCTTCCCGGTGAGGCCGATGGCTACAAGGTCCTTGACCCTCCTCCTGGATATGAACCCATCCGCACCCACGCCCGCAGGCTCACAGCCACGCCAGCACCCATGTCTAGCGCTGGTGGTGTCGGAGGGTTCATGATGCAAGAGCCAGAAAGTGTTCAGTCTGTAGGAAAGGATCTTCCAACCGATATCCCCGGTGTGGGTGAGCTTCAATTCTTCAAAGCGGAGGACATGGCTTACTTCGGTAAGCTGATGGAAGGTGGCGATGAAACCAGCATGACTGTGGAAGAAATGAAGGAGCGAAAGATTATGCGATTGCTACTCAAGATCAAGAACGGTACTCCGCCCATGCGCAAGACCGCTCTGCGCCAAATCACAGACAATGCACGCGACTTTGGTCCTGGAGCCCTGTTCAATCAGATTCTCCCCTTGCTCATGGAAAGAACTCTGGAAGATCAGGAGCGTCATTTGCTGGTAAAGGTTATTGACAGAATCCTCTACAAACTGGACGATCTGGTCCGTCCCTACGTTCATAAGATCTTGGTCGTCATCGAACCTCTGCTTATTGATCAAGACTACTACGCTCGTGTCGAAGGCCGAGAAATTATCTCGAACCTTGCAAAGGCCGCTGGTCTTGCTACAATGATCAGTACTATGCGTCCTGATATTGATCACGCCGATGAATATGTGCGAAACACCACAGCACGTGCCTTTGCCGTTGTGGCCTCTGCCCTCGGTATCCCCGCCCTCCTCCCTTTCCTCCGCGCTGTCTGCCGCAGTAAGAAGTCTTGGCAGGCTCGACACACCGGTGTCAAGATTGTCCAGCATATCCCTATTCTCATGGGTTGCGCCATTCTCCCTCATCTCAAGGAGTTAGTTGGCTGCGTCTCAGGCAACCTCAGTGATGAACAAGCCAAGGTTCGGACCGTCACCGCACTGTCTCTGGCCTCGTTGGCTGAGGCTGCGAACCCATACGGTATCGAAAGTTTCGATGACATCCTGAGCCCTCTTTGGACTGGTGCCCGCAAGCAGCGTGGCAAGGGTCTCTCTGCCTTCCTCAAGGCTGTTGGCTATATTATTCCTCTTATGGACGAGGAGTATGCCAACTACTATACCACTCAAATCATGGAGATCCTTATTCGAGAATTTGCCTCACCAGACGAGGAAATGAAGAAGGTTGTACTGAAGGTGGTTTCTCAGTGTGCAAGCACTGCAGGTGTGACTGCCACTTACTTGAAGGAGCACGTCTTGACCGATTTCTTCAAGGGCTTCTGGATGAGACGTATGGCGCTCGATCGACGAAACTACCGCCAGGTAGTTGATACCACAGTGGATCTGGGCCAGAAAGTGGGTGTTGGCGAAATTCTCGAGCGCGTCGTCAACAACCTGAAGGACGAAAGCGAGCCATATCGCAAGATGACTGTGGAAACGGTTGAAAAATTAATTGCATCACTTGGAGCCGCTGACGTTTCTGAGAGGCTGGAAGAACGTCTCATTGATGGTGTCCTCTTCGCCTTCCAGGAACAGAGCATTGAAGATCCTGTCATTCTTAATGGATTCGGCACGGTGGTAAATGCACTTGGCACACGATGCAAGCCCTATATTCCCCAGATTGTCAGTACTATTCTCTGGCGTCTGAACAACAAATCCCCCACCGTCCGACAACAGGCAGCCGATCTTATCTCCCGCGTTGCGTTGGTGATGAAGCAGTGTGACGAGGAAGCGCTCATGGGCAAGCTTGGTATCGTGCTGTACGAATACTTGGGTGAAGAATATCCCGAGGTTCTGGGATCGATTCTGGGTGCTTTGCGTGCCATCGTCACTGTGGTCGGTATCACCCAGATGCAGCCACCCATTCGTGATCTTCTTCCCCGACTTACACCCATTCTGCGCAACCGTCACGAAAAGGTGCAAGAGAACACAATTGACCTCGTCGGTCGTATTGCCGACCGTGGTCCCGAGTCCGTGAACGCGCGTGAATGGATGCGTATCTGCTTCGAGTTGATGGATATGCTCAAGGCCCACAAGAAGGGAATTCGTCGAGCAGCCAACAACACCTTCGGTTTCATTGCTAAGGCTATTGGACCTCAGGATGTCTTGGCCGCTCTTCTCGGTAACTTGCGAGTACAAGAGCGTCAATCGCGTGTTTGCACAGCTGTCGCCATCGGTATTGTAGCCGAAACCTGTGCTCCGTTCACTGTGCTCCCGGCACTGATGAACGAGTACCGGGTGCCCGATCTCAACGTGCAAAACGGTGTGCTCAAGGCCTTGTCCTTCTTGTTCGAGTACATCGGCGAGATGGGCAAGGACTATGTCTACGCTGTCACACCGCTGCTCGAGGATGCCCTTGTCGACCGTGACCAAGTCCACCGACAGACCGCTGCCAGCGCGGTTAAGCATGTCGCGCTCGGCGTCATCGGTCTTGGTTGCGAGGACGCCATGGTCCATCTGCTCAACCTGCTCTTCCCCAACATCTTCGAGACCAGCCCCCACGTCAT